AGTCAAACGTCAAATCGGGGGTCTTGAAATCATAAGACAGTCAGTGGATGTGTTGTCAATCAATAGGATTTTGTGTGTTCTTTCTTTATTTTTATTTTTATTTTTATTTTTATTTTTGGAATCTACACACACGGGGCAAAACAACAGCTTCTCCTTTCTATTTTTTTCCTTTGTAAAAAAAATTTTATTTTTTCACTAAAATAAAATTGACAGTAATTCTAAATTTTACACTAGTAAAAATATATATAATTGGTATAAGATAGAACTATACTATCTTGATTTAATTAAATTGGATTTTGTGTCGTGTCATTTACGCACAAGTTTTAGCAAGAAACAGTGAAACTCTTTTTCCCTTCTGCCTTATGCACGTGCCAAAGTCTTGTCTCACGTGCAGGTCTGGTCCCCAAAAATAATTAATTAAAAACTTGATGTTTCTTGTTGCTCTTGTTGGGCACTAGTCCCAATATTTGAACATGAACATTGAACCCCCTTCAAACGGCCGACACGCTTTCCAATGACCCTTACACCACCACTTCCACCACCACTTCACCACCACTTCACCGCCCCATCCACTTCTTTATCCCCCACAATTTAAGTTCTTGCCACTTCAATTATTTCTATCATTTTCAATCTGTCATTATCTAAATCTCTCAATCTTTATCATTAATATTTTTTTCAACTTAACCAACATTTGACTAGATGGGGGTAAAACTATCCTACTATACTAAATAAATTTTAGTTATACAGTCCGTTTGAAACAAATGAATTAATGATTGTAAAACTTATTAAATTTTAGTTGTACAGTCCGTTTAAAATAAATAAATTATGATTGTAAAATTTATTTGTAAATAAATTTAGGTAAAATTCATTTGTAAATAAATTTATCATATTTGGTATGCTATAATTTAAAATAAATAATTTAATTGAATACCATAAAATTATGTTTGGATAAATTTTTTAAATGAAAATTCATTTGTCTTTATTTCTTATAACACTCTTGACACAATAATTTAATAAAAATAGATAACAAATACCAATTATATTTATTATGTACAATATAAATTTGGTATGCTATACATTTAAAATAAAATAATGTTAATTGAATACCATAAAATTATGTTTGGATAACTTTTTTAAATAAAATTCCATGTTGTCTTTATTGTCTTTAATAAACACTCTTGGATCACCATAATTTAATAAAAATGATTACAAATACCAATTATACTTTATTATGTAACAATATAATAACTTCGTCATTTTTTTTATTAAAATCTAAAAATAAATAATTCTCATATAAATAGCCATATATAAATATCCATGCTAATTAATTTAGATTATATAGACAGTAACTAACATTCATCATAATAATTATTTTTAATTGATGTAAAAAATTTTGTTGATTTGAGCAATTAATTTGAAAACTAAAAAAAAAAATTACGAATGTTACTATTATTTTTAATTGCATTTAAAAACAATTGTTGAAGTTTTTATAGTTTCATATTAATAATAGCTAACGTTATTACTAGATTTAAAAAAAAAGTCATTACTGATTTCAAATTTTCCAAAAAATAAAAATAAAAATATAAAATAACATCATTATTGGATTAGAAAAAAAAAAAAAATTTAAGTTAGACATACTCAATTCCATAGAATTCAAATCTACATTTTTTTTATTCTAAAACACAACATTTTAAATTTCTACGACCGCTGCTGTTAAAGAAATTTTATTTGAATGTCCTTTTTTTTTTTTTTTTTTTTTTTTTCGATTGGTACAAATTTTTTTTTTTTTTTTTCGATTGTACAAATATGTTTCCAAATAAATACTCAATTTACATATTTTATATTTTTTTTATTTACGGTTAGGATGTTTTCAAATTAGTATATACATACCGAGATTAGGATGATATTTGATAAAATTAAAACTTTCAATTCATCATGCTTATATGCATTTATAAAATTTTAAAATTTATATTATTGAATATGTAAAATTCAATATCAAACAGATGATAGTATGATTGATCTTCTCACTTATATAAAAAATGAAAGGCTCGAGTTCGTAGCCCGCTGCAAGTGCACTCATTTTAATGTAATATATATTTAAAAATATTATTTTTAAAATATTCATTAAAAATATTAAAATTTCCTGATTATTGTCTTAAAATATTATTTGGCAGCAGTGTAGAACCCTGATTAATGAAGAAGGAGAATTTATATGATTGCCAACTGGACTAACACTGTAAGTTTGATAGTTTATATTAAATTAATTAAAAATTTTGTAATAAATTAAGAAAATTACAGCAGTAGTAGTGAGGCTGTAATGATTTTGTTTAGAGCATGTCTGGTAAATAATAAAACTTGAGGAGACAAAAACACTTTTGTATTTCTAATGTGCTTAAACTTTAAGGTTATCTTTCCTAAGTCTCATAATTAATTGCTTAATTGTATTTTTTTATGTTTAATACTTTTCTAGATGTTTGTTTATATTAATATTTTGTAAGGCCTTGGTGTTCTTAATTTATAACATTCAATGATTTTATTATAACACTTAATATAATATTTTTTTTCTTTCTTTTTGAGAAATAATATTTTATAAATATGTTAATTGGAAAAAGAAAATTCTAAAATATATATTTAGGAAGTAATTTCATGAATCAATAATTAGGTATTGAACAAAAATTATTAATATAATAGAAAAAAAATCTCATCATTAATTAATTATTAAATCAAGCATTTAATGATCGAATTTTTTATTATTAAGTCAAGGAATAATAATTACGATTAAGGTAGAACTGAAAACTCTACCATATTACAATTCTCATGTATACAGTTTATAATTAATACATTAAAGTCGTTTGTATTATTATGACATGTGTAGAGGATAATCTTGATTATACAAACAATTAATTAATGCAAGATTACGCAAATTGAGGAACAACCTTTGAAAATAATTACAAGTTTCAATTACCAAGTCAAGTATATTTCATTGGGATTTGCAAATATATACTTCAAAATTTGCAAGAACATGATACATGTTGATGGAAGTATAACCAGCAAACATCAATCAGAAATTTAACCTGGAGTTAAATTTTTTATGAATAGATATAAATTACAATTATTCAATTGAAAATCAATAAAAATTCTAAATATAATTAATCATTTTCTTGTAATTAACCATTAGAAAATCCCAATTAATTCTCAATCTTTTTATTTTAGGTTTAGTTTTGGATATTAATGGAATTCATCAAAATGGAAAGTTAATAAATAATTTAGTAGTTATTATCGACGAGTGATAAGATAAATGGTTGGGACGTTATTCTCTATTGAGTAAGACCAATGGTTCGGTCCTCAAAAATAAAATTTACTTTAGTTTAGTAGATTGAGAATACACGTCTGATACGCCTTTTTACATTTTTCTTGTAACAAAAATAAAAAAATAATTCAGTAAATAAACCGAATTATTTGGCGTGTGTGTATATATACATATATATATGTAGAGGCTATCTTAAAAATTTTGAATATGCCAAAATTAATTAATTGATAAACGTGTAAGTGCTAACTTATTATTTGAGTAAGTAATTAAATTTTCAATTTTTGCAATACAATTAAATTATAAATTTTGATCGAATGAGAGAAAAATAATAGAAGCATAGATAATAAGAAAAATACTTTTTAATCAATATAAATTAGCCCAAATTGAGAATTAAAAAGAAAAAAATTGGATCAATGTGGTTGTGAAAAGCCACTATTGAATCAGTGATGTGTTATTGAGCTTCTCTACTCCTTTTTCTTTTTTTGGCTCTCCAAACGATCAAACAAAAAGAAAACGCAAATAAAAAGCCAAAATAACTAACAGTTTGAGTGCTAGGTCAGGTGTGGTGCACTATGATAAGATTCAATGTGCTTTATTTCATGTTAACAAAGCATAAAAAAAAAAAAATTAATTAACAATTTGTGCATATTTGATACATTAAATATGATATTAACCTCTTAATTAATAAGGTATGGATAATAAATCCTTCACCAATACTCTAATTTTCCAAATTTATGATATTTGGAATTGAATTTAGATATTTTAATGGCCAATTATAACAATCAAAACACTGTAATTTTCTAAATTTCTGTAAAAACTAAAATTTACTAAATTATAATTTTAGGTCTAATTATGTGATGTGTAAGTCATAAGTGTCAGTAAATTGCGCATTAACCTTTTTTTTAAGGACAAAATCGCACATTGACTTTTCTTCTATTAGATGGGATTCAAATTTATAATTTATAATTCTAATATCGATTCTAATTCCACTTAAACAAATCTTATTTTCTCACTTTAAAATGAGGGAGAAAATGATACAATACATAATTTTTTTTTTAATACAAGGGATAGGAATTCAAATCTAAATTTATTATTAGATCGTTTACACACTTACCACTAAACTATGATTTGGTGCGCGACGATATAATACATAATTAATATGAAAAGAAAAGAAAAGCATATCTGAAATAAAAGTGAGGGAGAAAACTGAATTGAATACACGTTAAACACACACACACAAGTTAGAACCCAATTGCTTCAACTATACATATATATATATATTTTTTAAAAGGACTATTTTGTTGTACATCGGTAGAGCAACCATAAAATGATTTGAAATAATAAATCCTATAAATTAATAAATTTAGAGAGGTAAATAAAATAATAATTACATTACATCTTATAAAGAAAGCACATCATTAAAATTTAAATTAAAAGAAACTAAATAAATAAATAAAGGCATGGTCCCATATTAGTCTAGGAGTCAACACAATTAAGTCATAAAGAACATGATTTTGCCCTCAGGCTACGTGTACGTTCAATTCAAATAATATACTACTAAATATTATTTATTTTTATATACTATGATAAAAAGATTGATTATTATTATTTTTATCAAATAAAAATTCATAACCATTTCTTTTTATGTTATTAATTTAACCATCTCCCTTTTTTAAATACCTCAGCCGCCCAGAATAGCCACCCATATTGCCTTCTATCTCTCTCTCTCTCTCCCTTTCTCTCTCAAAATATCTAATTCCACACCGCAACACACCTCTCCATCGAGAGAAAAGAATCTCTCTTTCTCTCTCTTTTAAACACACAGTAACTCATACACTACCCAAGACCCATCATCATCATCATCATCTCCAGCAAGAACAAGAACCAACACCAAACAAGAACAACAAGAAAGAAAGAAAGAAAGAAAGAAAGAAAGAAATGAAAATTTTTCTTTATTACCCCCTTCTCTTCTTCTTTCTCTCTTAGCCCTTCAAATTAACCTCTCCATGAATTCTCTTTAAAGAATTCCCTAGTTTTTCCTCTCCCTTTCTTTCTCATACAGCAGATATACAAGAGCAACAACCCTAATAATAAAGAAAAAGTAAAGAAATATATATATATTTTTTAGAAGAACCATTACCATGACTCTTGAAGAATCCTTAAGATCTCTGTCTTTAGATTATCTAAATCTTCTAATCAACGGTCAAGCTTTCTCTGATGTAACTTTCAGTGTAGAAGGAAGATTAGTTCATGCGCACAGGTGTATTTTAGCAGCAAGAAGTTTGTTCTTTAGGAAATTCTTTTGTGGACCTGACCCGCCATCAGGGTTAGACCCGGGAAGCGGGTCAAGAATGATAAACTCGGTTGGAGGAGGATCGGCGACCGGTTCGAGGCAAAATGTAATACCAGTAAACTCGGTGGGATATGAGGTGTTTTTGTTGCTCTTACAGTTTTTGTATAGTGGACAAGTCTCTATTGTCCCTCAAAAGCATGAGCCAAGGCCTAATTGTGGTGAAAGAGGTTGTTGGCACACGCATTGTACCTCAGCCGTTGATCTTGCTCTCGATACTCTTGCTGCCGCTAGATATTTTGGAGTTGAACAGCTTGCATTGCTTACTCAGGTCTTGATACTACTGCTCTTTTTCTTTCTTTCTTTCTTCTTCTTTTCTCTGTCTAAAATTTTACCTACTGTCTTTGAATCTTGATTAGTGTGTGGAGTAGTCATATTGTGTTGTGGGTATGGAGTCACTACTGGTTTTTTTTCCTTTTTTTTTTTTTTTTTTTTTTTCCTTTTTTTTTTTTTTTTTTATAATTTTTGGTTTTTGGGAAGTGGGAAGGGATTTTTTGAAGTGGGTGGTTTTCTATTTTCTTTTTCTATTTTTTTTAATTAATTTTGTTTTGAGGGATGGAGTTCTTATTATCTCATGGTGGAGTAGCTAAGTCATGAGGTGTTATCAATTGGGTGATCCGTTTCTTTGATGATTAGCAATAATCAGTAGTTTTCTTGAACTTTCTTGTTCAATTCTACCATTTTTATTTTATTTTTTCTGTTTAGCAGTTAATTAATTCCAATTATACACTGATCTTGTTCCTCCTCTTTCTTCTTCTTCTTCTTCTTGACTTCTGTTTCTTCCATTTTTTTATATATTGACCAAATTAGTACATGTCTTATTTTCATTAATATTGTTATTACATAGATAGAGAAGGTTTAAAAATCTTGATTTCATGTTAATTTCTTGACTTGAAATTTTCAATCTTTATTATATAATCTTTACATAGCCAAGAAATCCAAATATACTTCTTGATCTCCAGTCTTGTCTTCCACAGTAAAGCATACTCAACCGTTCCAACTGTAAAAACTTTCCCCATAATTAATACGGTTTAAAAATAAATTCATATTTATAATTTTTTTTAAAAGATCAACTGCACATGTATCATCTATCTGCAACTAACTATTTTCATTTTCCAATATTTCCGTTTTGTACTAACAGAAGCAATTGGCTACCATGGTAGAAAAAGCTTCAATTGAAGATGTAATGAAAGTTCTAATTGCTTCAAGAAAACAAGAAATGCACCAACTTTGGACTACTTGTTCTCATTTAGTCGCTAAGTCAGGCTTACCACCAGAAGTTCTTGCCAAACACCTTCCAATAGACGTTGTAGCAAAAATCGAAGAATTACGCCTTAAATCATCTCTAGCGCGTCGGTCTCTAATGCCACATCACCACCACCATCACCACCACCATCCCCACCACCATGATCTTACCGCAGCCGCTGATCTTGAAGATCAAAAGGTTCGAAGAATGCGAAGAGCTTTGGATTCATCAGATGTAGAGCTAGTCAAACTTATGGTAATGGGAGAAGGGCTAAATCTTGACGAAGCATTAGCTTTACATTATGCAGTAGAAAGCTGCAGCAGAGAAGTAGTAAAAGCCTTACTTGAACTTGGAGCAGCTGATGTTAACTATCCGGCTGGACCGGCGGGTAAAACCCCACTTCATGTTGCAGCAGAAATGGTATCACCAGATATGGTAGCAGTTTTATTAGACCATCATGCAGATCCTAATGTTAGAACTGTGGATGGAATTACACCATTAGATATTTTAAGAACCCTAACTTCGGATTTCTTGTTTAAGGGGGCAGTGCCTGGTTTAGCACATATTGAACCAAATAAGTTAAGGCTTTGCTTGGAATTAGTTCAATCCGCTGCTTTGGTGATTTCACGTGAAGAAGGGAGTGTTAATGCAGGAAGTAGTTCAAATGCAATATATCCGCCGCCGATTAGCGATCATGAAAATAATAGTACTAGTAGCGGTGGTGGTGGAAATTTGAATCTTGATTCAAGATTGGTTTATTTGAATCTTGGTGCTACAAGTGTAAGTGGTGGTTCAGGTCAAATGGGTTCAAGAATGGAAGGAGATGAGGATAATAGTCATAATAGCCAAAGAGGGCATGACCCAACAATGTATCATCACCACTCTCATGACTTTTAGCTTATTTTCAAGTTCTTGATCTTTAATATTTATATAAATATAGGGAAGAAGAGGAGGAGAAAGACAAGTTCAAACAACAAAAAAAACCTTCGTGAAAGCTCATGAAGATTATGATTAGTATTATTATTGGAATATATATATTTATATCCTTTTCTTGTCAGTTCTTTTTTTTTTTTTCCTTTTCACTTGCCTTGCCTTTCTTTCCTTTTTCTTTTTCTTGTATTTTCTTTTGGGTTCTCTGTTCTGTGTTGGGTTGTTTTGTGTAGGCTTTCTTTCAATGATGATCGTCATACGAAGAAGTGCAGTTTCATTGGAGATGGGATATATATCTTTTATATTTTCTCATTGGATGAGACAAGGAGAATCTGAGCTTTTGCTCTCTTTCTCTCTCTCCTCTCCTGAAGATGATATACGGAGGAAGAAAGAAAGAAAGAAAGACAAAGACAAAGAGAAAGAGAGAGAGAGAGGGAGAGAGAGAGAGAGAGAGAGACGGAGAGAGAGAGGGAGAAATACAGGTCAATCTTTTCAAAACCCGGCCTGTCAACTCCTTTGTATTTATTGATAAATCTAATATCATGGCCTATTAATTGCACCCTTCTATTTTTCTTGTCCCCCCACCCACCTCTCTACATATTACACATACACATATACATGCATATGAACATCAAAACATTAAATTGATCATATATTTAATTAATTTACAATTTGTTATGAGAAACTTAATTAACTTGATAATTAAGGGGGAGATTATTTATTTATTTTGGATAATTATAAGGGTGGTGGGGTTTGATGTTTTAATCATATATATATAGGCTTTGTTTGGACATGAGGTACTAAATATTCTATTGATGAAATGAGCTGTCTTTTCAAATTTTTTTTCCACAATTTTTATTATTTTTAATTTTAAACAAGAATTTTCTCAAATTTTCATGGGTTTTTTTTTTTTTTTTTTGTGAATTGAAGCTTGATTGGGTATGGGTTTAATTTTATTTTGTTTAAATATAAATTAATACTTGCTATTTTATAGAAAAAAAAATATATGTGGGTATTTGTAGACAAATTTGATTGGTTGTCTTGCATGGATGCAACACTGAGTGTGACTACACACGACAGCTTAATATATTGGTATTATCTAAACGTGGATTCTCTTCCATCTAAATCCTCTTTTTTGTCCCCCTTCTTCTCTTGCCTTATTTGGTTTTTCTTTTTCTTTATTATAACTCCAACAGACATACAGGTTAAACCCTAGCTAGGCCTTTCTTGATATATACATATTATATATTTATAAACCCAGTGGTGGGTGTTTTGGTCTCCTCCTTTTGATCCCTTACTTAGCTGCTCTTTTTTATATTTCTTGCATTAATCATCACCAAGCTCTTTTTGTCTCTCTTTCTTTAAGTTTCTCTCATGCATTGCCTCATAAATTGTTAGGAAACTGCAAGTTAAAGAAAGAGTATTCATTATGATCTTTTAGTTTCTGTTTCTCATAAAAGTAAACTGAAATATTACCTATTTTTCATGTGTAAGTTGGTTTTATTCATATATTTTCAGAATCCTATAGATTAAGTTTTTATGCTTTCAGTTGAGATTAGGTATATATACATATATAAATTGTTTCACTATTAAATTTTAAGAAAGAAAGAAAGAAAGCAGAATGAATGCCCTTTCTTTCGTTTTTGGTGGTTCTTTCACCCAAAATATAGTTACCAACGTTTGCATTGAAATGGGCTTTAGAACGTTTGGTTTTATGAACAGATGATCTTGAAACTTATTTACATCGAATTTTTGGTTTATGAACAGATGAAGAGTGATGTTTTATATTTTAGTGTGCATTTCAAATTTTATATTCTTGGGGTATATTATGTTAGACATTGATGAGATATGATACTTGACAAGTATTAAGTCAAATTTAATTACTTACATTTACATTTTGCTAAAGGTCATTTGCAATATAAGCAAAATAGATACATATGTTTTGGTGCAAAAAATGGAATCATTTAATTCCATTAAGGGCCTATGCACTGCATATGTATATGTCTGGTCTTAACTTCAATTGGATGACATGGACAAAGAATCACTTATCTTCCTTGTATTCCTAAAATAATTCTATTTGCTGTTTGTTTATGTATTTCAGATTTGATTAATTGAGTTTCAACACATAAAATTGAAACTTGTAAACAATTCATTTGTTTTGCAAATTGTTGAATTTACATTACGTTTGGATTAATCGTTAAGAATTCATTTTAAATATGTAATTTTTGCTAGCTCTTTAGCTTTATATATTTAAATATATAGTTTGTTTGCATAAACAAATTTCATTAAATTAAAAATGTATAATTTTGAATTTTTTTTATACCATTAAACATGAAAATATCGTTTTGTAAATAAATTTCAAAAATTTATTTTATAAGAAACAAGCAAATAGATTTTAATTTGACCTACACTATAAACATTATAGACTATTGATTTTTTTATATGCAAAAAACAAAAAAAAAATTATATTGTGTGTGTATTAATCTGACTTTGATGGACATATTCAATAATATATCAAGTATGAGGAGACTATGAAAATTATATTGTGTGTGTATTAATCTGACTTTGATGGACATATTCAATAATATATCAAGTATGAGGAGACTATGAAAATTATATTGTGTGTGTATTAATCTGACTTTGATGGACATATTCAATAATATATCAAGTATGAGGAGACTATGAAAATTATATTGTGTGTGTATTAATCTGACATAGACATTTGAATATTAATAAGAATTTAGATTTGAGCTTCAGCATTTAAATAATGGTGTCAAATTTCAAGTATTCAATGATTTCAAATGACTAATTATAAATTTCAATTTTTATTTTCCAGAATATGTAATATATGAACATCTAATCTATTCTTAGGTTACCCCTAATGTCTTATTTATTTCTCATTTAATATATGCCTTTAATTACGTTTTAATCTTCTATGAGACTTTAAATGATTTATTAGAATGAAGAGAATATAAATGATTGTAAAAAATGAAGTTTATGATCTGACCTATGGAGGGAAATTCATTTTTTTAGTCCTTATTTAAGAAAATTGTGTGAAAATATGAAAAGTTATACTCATTTAGCTTTTCAAATGACTTTGGTTATTAAAAACTTACTTTCTATATCGCGTAATTTTCCAAATATAGTTTTTATTATCTTGGATGCTTTAGGTGAAATTTTAATTTCCTTATTGAAGAAGCATTCCTGATGAGTCTTTTCTCAAGTAATCATCTCCTTTATTAAAAGTATGAAAGTGAAATATCTGGACAAGACTATATATCTTCTCTCTGCAAATATTTATATATATATTTTTTTATGGATTTTCCAAGTAAAATTTGCTAATTTTCTTTTCTACTTTCTTCCTATCTCCTCCTCCTTCTTAGTTTAGGGTTTTGAATTTTATTGGATTTATGTTTTTTGTCAATTTGAAACATTTTTTTGGTTCAACAAGATCACCTGGAGCATCTTTTCTAGGCATAAAGACGACATAAAGCAATAATGGAAAACAAACAAAATTTTTTGACTCCAGCATGATTGAATTATTTTTACAAAATTGAGGGGTTAACTTCAATTTTTACTCATAACTATAGATCTAACAATGAAAACACATGAAGCCAGATAGAATTCACTCCACAAATCACATGCGTTGTTAGCTTATAATGGTTTTATAATCATAAAAATAATTTCATTTCAAAGTATTTAATTACTTAGAAACACCAAGGACAACAATTATTGGTTGACAATACTTTTTCCAAGCAAAAAACAGGGATTAAATTTTGAGAAAGTTCAAAGAATATAAGCAAAGAATGGGTCCATTTCTTAAGTACTCCAGAATGTAATAATTATGGTAGAAGAAGATAAAAAAAAAAAAAAAAAAAAATATATATATTATTGGTAGAAGAGATAAAAAAAAAAAAAAAAAAAAATAGTTCTTTAGAATGTGAGTTTGAAATCGGTCCCATGCGGTTTGGTTATATAATTGGGATTTAGCTCAAACACAATTAAAAAAAAAAAAAAAAAAAATAGTTCTTAGAATGTGAGTTTGAAATGGTCCCATGCGTTTGGTTATATAATTGGATTTAGCTCAAACACAATTGGTCAAAAATAGGGTGATTAAGGTCCACAAGTTTAGCTTTTAGAGACAATCTTTCCAAATCATGTTATCTCAATAGTATTCAGAAGCAACTAAAAAATGAGTGAATCTAGAGCTTCAACCTAATGATTGTACCTGCCTTAATTACCTAATCTAGTTTTAATATTTAGATTACTATGTTAATATCATTAAATCAAAGATAATTAATTCATTAAAACCAATGTATATGTCATAAACTTGATAGGAGAAAATAAAATGTTATATAGAATAAGTGTGGAGCCTTGTTTCTTATAGTACAAACAAGAACATTCATTCACTTTTGTAAATTTCAATTTTGTAGAATTTAATATAATATGATGAAATCAAATTGTAGTATTCATAAATAAACTTTATAATTTAAATTAACTTATGAATTTTAAGGGATAAAATTTCATAGGTAAATAAAATTTGACATTGAAAGGATTAAATACTTACTCCCTTAATAAATATAAGTCGTTTAAAACTGTTATACGGTGATTAATGAATCAATTAATTCTCTTAAATTATAACAAAATATTTATTAATTTGACTAAATTATCCTTTTAGACAATTATTGAGATAATTATATATATTACATTTAATATAAATAATAGTAAACTTCGAAAAACTTTATCAATTATTTATACATACTCAAAATCACTTATAAATAAAAGAATAATTTTCAAATGACTTATATTTATGGACAAAACGAATATAAATCGGTTACTTTTTTCCATTTCTCTTTAGTTGAAGTGAAAAAGAAGGCGAAAGAACAGTCGACTGCAAAAGTAAAATTTATTGTTTGGAAAAATTGAAACAAATAATAGTTTGCAAGACGCACCTTAGTGGCCATCAAAATCTTTTGAGCTTTGATGATTAAATTTAATTAGATTTTAAGCATGCATGCCATAATTTGCTTCTTAGGGCTCGTATGGTTGGGATAACTTGCTCGGGAACTTGAAATTTCCAAAAAGTGAGAAATATCATTTTATTTGGTTCTAAAAAATATAAAAATTTCTGAAAACTTAAAACTCTTTATTCTTTTTGACCGAATGGGAAATAAGTTATCCCCTCAATTCAAGTGCATTTCTTGAACTCTATAAACTAGAAAACTCTACTTCGAAGTAGGTGCAGTTCAACCAAATGAGGTCTTAAGATAAAAACTTTTTCTGGACCCTAATGATAGAGTAGAAGAGGTACATGTATGAGCTACTTTCTATGGTACATCCCCTAATGGTTATGGTGATAGGGAGCTAGTATACTGTGCATTGGGCAACAATATATATATATAGATAATTGAAAGAACAAAATTAAAGTAATTATCTTTTCCTTAATTATATACAAGTATGGAATTTTTAAGGAAATCCTGCAATGCTTTTCATTCAGAATTTATATTTTCGCATGTATGGGGAGAGAAAGGAAAGTGAGAGGGCGAAAAAAAAAAAAAAAAAGAAGAAAACATGCATTATTATTAAATTACTCTTGACATTCACATTTAAAACTTTTACTCTTGAAGAGACAAGATTAAAAAAAAAGGTGCATAGGAGCAGAATATTCTTATTCTCATTCCTTATTTCATTCTATACCCTTAGATTAAAAAAAAAAAAAAAAAGAAGAAAACATGCATTATTATTAAATTACTCTTGACATTCACATTTAAAACTTTTACTCTTGAAGAGACAAGATTAAAAAAAAAGGTGCATAGGAGCAGAATATTCTTATTCTCATTCCTTATTTCATTCTATACCCTTAGATTACAGTTTTTCAATGCATAACTTAGCAAAGCAGTGGTGAATGTTGGTTTGGTTTCGAAATGCTCCGGTATCAACTCAGTCGATATCATCCATTAGTCAGTACCGCGTTCTTTAAGTGTTTTTGCTTTGAAAGCATATATTCTTTGGAGAAGACAAGTTAATGTTTACTTACAACCTTTCATATTATTCTTTATTTTCCGGTCGTTTTCTTGCTTTTTTTTTCAGAGCAGACTTTCTATTATCCTCTGTTCCAAGTAAAGAACCAAAATCCTTAGCCTCCATTGGCTTTTGTTTTGTAAATCTTTTGAGCTGTAAATAATATGTTCCTAATCAGTTTCACATACTAGCATTCTTTTATAGAGTAGAAAGATGTCTAAACTACAAAGATCAACAGTAAAACTTTTATTGATTGGCTTTTCAGAGTTCTTGATCCTTCTTAAGGCTTTCTTTTTCCCTTTTTAGATTTAGCTTTCTTCATTGAAAATGTTTAAACTTTTAACTTCAATTACATTCAGCACAAGAGGTTTTAGGTAATCTTATAATTTAAAAGTTTTAGTGATTCAAATTAATTATTAAATTTTAGTATCATTAAGTACCATCTTATTTTGATTCAGGAGCGAAGCCAAGATTTAAATATAAGAAGAGCAAAACTTAAAACATATAAATCAAGGGAATTAAAGCATCAAGAAAGTTCGTAAAAGTTTTTGAATTAACTATTGCCTGAATTTATGTTAAATATACATGATATGTTCGGCAATATTAGGTTTTAGTAGCTGCTAGTTGTTTATGAAGGGATTTAAATTAGAAATGTTTGATAAAAATAGTTATTTAATTTAAAATGATAAAAAATGACATTACTTATCTAATTAGTTGAATCGGGAAAAAATACAGTGAGTAGAATTTTCAAAAAAAATAATCGATATGAAACGTTAACGGTACAACGTTTCATAAAAAACTCTATCAAACTCTATAAACTATCATAAAACTTGTGTTAGTGGATGATATAATTAATAGGGAACACTAATTCCGATTTAGTCAAAATACTAAAATCTAATCCAAAACTATTTCGGAACAGGGTACAAGTATGAGTGCATTGTTAGAATTGATGTTGAAACTTAACAAAAATGTTTTTTTTTTTTCTTCAATGTAGCTTTCAATGTTAGTACCAGTATAAGTATGAACAGCATTTGGATTACCTGTCCACCGACCCAAGAGAAAAAAAGAGAAAAGACACAACTTTAGGAATCAATTCGTGGCAATCAAAAGTAAAAGCTTAATTATCAAGCTTTTTTACCCATTCATATGGAGGAAGGAAGATGTATGAATGTATATATATACAACCCCAGTTCAAACATATCTTTGCCCAAGTGAATACACAAGTTGCTATAAAGTTACACAGAAGCCAGTCTCAATATTCATTATGCCTAAGTCAGAAAAACAGGATAACAAGCCTCCTCCAGGTTCCTCACAAAATTAAATTCGTCCCTCTAATTGTTACTGTTGTTAATGTGATAAGGAAAGAACTAACTTGTATCTCTCTTGCATTCTTAAAAAGGATACCCAACTGAGACACAGACACCTGCCACCGGAAAGAAATGCTGCCCTACTACCAAGAAGAAAGGAGACACGGCCTTCATCGAGGGATGGTATGTTAAGAAAGAAAAGCTATTTTTTATAACTAGCAAACAATAGGTTTTCAGTTCTTTCTAGTTAAAGCTTGAAAGTTGAATTATATACATTTGTTTTCTTATTCTTTTCCTACTCTTGCAGCCTCTTTGCTCTATGCTGCTGCTGGCTTTGCGAAGCATGCTTCTGAATTATGCGCTTGTGATTCTAAGTAGCATAACCTGTGTATTCGATTATTCTAGTTTTATGTATTTGCTTATATATTTCTAATAAAAAGCTAATTAGTAGAGCAAAAATGCCTAGTAAAATAACCTAATGTTTTTCTTTTTTAAAATTTCCTTAAATTTTGAATTTTGTTTATTTGGACTTCAACATTTGCTACTATTTCAATACCATCAAATCTAGGTGATCTAAAATGGAAGCAAACAGACAATTTATAGTTGAGACAAACAATAACTATAAGCCATCTTTCCCTTGAGCTAGCTCGTTAGTAAAATCACAGTGTTTTGTTATCATCAAAACCTCTTATGAAACCTCGGGGCAATGATCCAATGGAAAGAAAATATATCAGAGGATTGCAGAGGCCAGATCACTAGGATTCAAACTTTTACTAATTGCTTTCAGCCATTTATTAACTTCAAAAGCTTTAGAATGCAAGATTGAACCTTTATCACTAGAAAATTTCTATCAAATATGTTACAGTTAACGACTACACGTTATCCTTTTATGGCCAGTTCCTTCAAATTAATGTACAGGAACATAGACTGAAGCAATACCAGCAGAATATCAAAAGCATAACAAGAAACATGTATTTAAAATTAATAAGAAAGAAACAAATGGCCAACCAATCAAAATTAATGCTTTTCAAATGTCCTCTGATAACGGGAATAGCTTTTCCAGCACATTATTAGAAAGGATTCTGTTGGGGTCCAATTCTTTGCGTGCCTTATTATATGCATCCACGGGAAAACGCTTTCTTAGTCTAGCTTGTAGAGATGCAAGCTCTTCCATGTCCTTCGGAACCTGCAACGAATGTTTCTTTTTCAATTTTTAAATAAAAATACATCAAACTGAAAGCAACAGTATGTTGGTAACATTAAGTCGGCGCAAATTAGATTAATGAGCTTCTTAGCAGCATGAATTCCCCAGATAAATACAGAAAGAAAGGGACAAGGAAGGTGAGTATCCGATATTATATCAGTGTGTAACAGTAAAGAAATGTATAAATCCCTCCTTTAGAATGATTATGAACATCAGGCTTATAGAACTGAAATAAAATCACTGCTCCAAACACTAAAAATAGATCAGAATTGCACTGCAGATCACATCCAAATGAAAATTAGATTTAGATTAATGAAGATGGCATATTAGATGTCAACAGGGGAGATCAAAATAAGATCAACCAATACCTCAATCTTGGCCCAATGTTCAAAACAGTAATACTTGTCCCACAACTGTTTCTGAGTTAGCTGCCTGTAGTGGAAGAATTCTTCTGTGATTTCCTTTCTTTGGCGAGCATCCATTGTAGGAAGATACATGATTATACCAACCTGATAAAAAAAAAAAAAAAAAAAAAAATTGCGAGCATCCATCTGTAGGAAGATACATGATTATACCAACCTGATAAAAAAAAAACAAAAAAAAAAAAATCACAATTGAGTTTGAGCATTCCATCTGCAAGTAACCTACAAGTAAAAAAAAAAAAAAAAAAAAAAAAATCAAATGAGTTTGAGCATTCCATCTGCAATAACCTACAAGTACAGCAAATGTCAAATATATGACTGTCAATTAGGATGAGGTAGCTGCATGTATCCTCAACCGTACCAGTTACCGAAGCAGATTACCAGAAATAAAAGAATTGATGACTGTCTCAGCCATTTTCCCTATAAATGTCTGCATACTAGCGTTTTTTCCCATCACAATATATAAATGGCCATCCATTGAAGTCTTATCTTTTAGATTCATAATTTCAGATTCTAGGTCATCTAAGGTAAGAAAGCATAGTTTATATGATGATCACCAATTCAACTGCCACAAAGTTCCAGCAATAAATAATGAATTTTAGGAAGTAGAAGTTGCAGTGAACTTACCCACGAGAATATATCATCTTTGGCTGAGCTTGAAGCTGGACTCATGGGACTTTGGCTGCAAGCTGTCCAGCGCTGCTCTATAGGAGCAGGTGCAGGTATATCTTCTTTGTCTATGAGCTGCTTCAGCTCTTCTATGTATTCGAGGTCTTTCATGCTTGGCTTGGAGAGGGTACCAGCAGGAAAACAAGTTTCTGATACCCACTGCTGCCCACCACAATCAAAACCCAGAATCTCATCACTCCAACCCACTCTGTATCCTTCTGACTTCTTCCAGAATTCAGCCTCAGCCTGATTAACCTTTATGACGTGGTCTTTGTTGAGAGGATCAAGAGCAAGCAATTTATCTCTTAGCTCAGTGAATGAAAGTTCATTTATGTTTGTTTCATCCTTGTCCACAGCTTTAGCTGCAATTTCTCCAGTCCTGCAAGTAACTGAGGTATGCAATTAACACGCAGGGACAAACATATTAGGGGGGAAGACATATCATTACTAGTTTCCTCTCCTCCTTTGTCCATAGTTAGCATGTATGATATACATCTATATATTTTCTTATAAGGGGTATGCAGATACATAATAGGACTGATGTGAAATTATCAACTAGCTCAATTTATGTCCCCAACATTGGCTAACAAGATATGTGTAATACAAAGCTAAAAAAAAAACTGACGATAGCTATACCTGTACTTTTTGAGGGACTCCTTGTAAAGGTCACGGACATGCTCTATGGCCTCATCTTTACTATATTTGGGTTTGAATTTGGGTGGACCTTTCCATTTTGAAATAGGGTTGCATGTCACTATCACAACACTGTCAGTGTATGGGATATATAAGTATTTCACATGCTTATTCTCAGATAACAGTTTCCTGCAAAAGGAAAAAACGAATGGACTTTAGAGACACAGATAGCTGACTACTAATTATTTCATTTCAACTATGCAGTGATTTGTATATCTATGTGTCTGTCTGTGTAAGAGGGAGAGTTTGCACTCCAAAAAAGACTATCTAGAGAAGGAAGGATCTTGTATCAGTCTCACACGAGATTCATATAAATATAGGCAATGATGCATCACATGACAGATGAAGGCAGCATACAACTTATCACCACGGGAACTTCAAGGATGTTCATATAATCAGAGACTAGAATTGGAGGACTTTCCAGTCTTAACTACAAATATTTTACTAGACAGATTGTGATAGATATTGAGAATCCAAAACCACGTATTTTTTTAATTATTTATCTTTGGACTTAAGAGCTGCATAACCTCAAAAACCTACTTTCTTTGATTTTCATTTGAAGTTTCAACCATCCACTCGATCCAATAAAATAAGCAAATATTTACTTGTGGTTCTTCTTGATGTCTTTCATGTTGGAGATGTATGTATGCTCCACAAGCTCTTGTCTCTCAACACATTGTAAGGTGACTTCAGCAACCACTCCCAGCCCCCCAAGCCCGCAACGAGCTAAATAAAATAGCTCTGGATCTTTCTCTTTTGAAATCTCTATTGTTCCTTTAGCAGGAGTAACCAGTTTCATGCTGATGACCTGCTCATCAATAGGTGGCAATCTTGCACCAGTACCATGTGCACCAACCTAACCAGAAGCCCATCAAATAGGTCAAATTCAAATTAACACCAATTCATTCCTCAAAGTTTTAGTGCAATTATATTGAATTTGTCGTTTCATCTACTATGGTTGCTCATAAGTTTTTAAGTTTCATATTATCAATATATTCATACTAAAAATTTTGGCTGACTAGTTAAGCTTCCTTATCCAAAAGCAAACATCATTGCAACCTAAACACATATACCCATGAAATTTATCACACCAATTGCAAGGATCATCACCCACTTTCATTTCTAAGAGGAAGAAAATAACCACTTCCTCTATAATCCAGGGAGACGTAAATTTAATGAAATTGTGGAAGCCATTCAATTTCTAAAATTTAGCAAAGCAATAGATCCTAAGTTGCAGGAACAATAAATAAACCATTCTAGCTATCAAGTAAGCTCATTTATTCTTCAAATATATAGATCCTAAGTTGCGGAATCAATAAATAAACATTCTAGCTAATCAAGTAAGTCTTTCATCTATTCTTCCAAATATATATATATATATATATATATATTATATATATATATTTATATATATATATATATATATATATAATATATATATAAAACAGACCTGAATCAATGCCACCAATCTGTTGCCTTCTCTAATAGAAGCTAAAATTCTATATATAAAACAGACCTGAATAATGCCACCAATCTGTTGCTCTCTAATAGAAGCAAAATTCTGTAGAGTAATACCATAATCTTTTATCCCATCAACTAATTCCTGAACTCTAATCCCAGCTTGCACTCTAACCCTCTTTTTCTCCTTATCCACCTCCAAAACTTTATCCATCAACGCCAAATTAACCATCCCAGCCCGGGCCAACCCAATGCCATTTGGTGATAGTCCGGACCCAACGGGTCGGATCTTGGCTTTCTTCTCATTGGATTCCTTGACCAAGTCCTCAAGTTGTTTAAGATTCTCAGGCTGATGGAAGGCTCGAGTCTGGACCTCGTGGGTACCACTCCAATTGGAGACAGTGTGAAGATCCTCTGGTAACGGAGCGTAACGGAAAATTTGGGCTTTTTTGTGTTTGGCGCTTTCAGAGAAAGGGAAGGAGTAGTATGTGGCGGCTCCACAGAAGAGGAGAAGCGCTGTGTAGCCAAGGTACTTGCGAAGCTCAGCATCTGAAGCAGTAGAAGATTGTGTGGATGTTGACAATGCACGTATTGGGTTAAATGGGTGTTTTAAAGAGGCGGCGGAGTTTGATGCAGCGGCGAGAGCTTTGGAGGGATGGTGGTGGAGATATTGAAGGGAACGTCGGAGATAGAGAGCTCTGAACATTTTGTAGCAGCGATAGTGACCGTGAAAAGTGAAAGGAGAGAGGCCTTTTGTGGTTTTCGGTCCTCTTTTGGATCGTTTCTTTTGCTAGAGGTTTGGTTCGGTTCAGGCTAGCGCAAAGCCGAAAAACGGGCCAGATTTTTTGTATTTTTATTTCAAGGAAAAATAGTAAAAGGACTGTTCATGTTTAGCAAAATTTGGATTTTTATTTTCTACATATGATCGAACAAGGCTGTGCTTGGCTGGTATAGAAGATCTTGAGAAAAAGTTTTTTGAATAATCAATGGATTTCGAAAATTCACAGAATTAAACCAAATTCCTCATTTTAATCACCTAGAAAATTTAAAAATTCTACTTCTTTACCAGAAATTAAACTTCATGAATATAATATTTATATCAAGCAGAATAAATTCTGCAAATCTATTGAATTTAAAAACTTAGATTTTTAATTCCATGGATTTCCACAAATTTCATAGATCTTAATTAAAATCCTTAATTCAAACATTGCCTGAGAACTTACCAGTCCAGTAGTATTCCACTGAACCAAAGTTCAGGTTATCAAGAAATAGAATCTTCAGCAGAGGAAACTAATGAATGTACAAAAACTATAACAGGTCTCCAAAATAGTATATTATACATCACCATTGTTTTAAGGATAGCCAAATTCCTTTTTCTCTAAACACATTATGTTCAGGCAAAAGAAAACTAAAGACAACATCAAGTAATTATGTACATTTGAGTTATTTATATTATATAGTAATTCTTCCGAACACAACTATTAGGGTATCAACCTACTGACAAGAGAAACTAAGTGGGGTATTCCCTGGCTACCCATCTCTGTTCATACTTCCCAAATGAGTAGGCTGTGTTAGGAACTTCATGTAAGTGAAAAGGATCAGGTTCTATGCCATAATCTGTCAATGGTCTATCCTCAAGAATATCATCATGACTGCAAACAAATTCGGGGATCTCAACTTCTCCTCTTTTAATATCATCCCATAGGTACTGAAGGCGGCTTACGTACTTGATCTTCCAATATAAGCTACCAATGTCAAAACAAAAAGGTTTAGAATAAATCAAAGCAAAGTAGAACTTCTAAACTTTAAGCTGCCTAATCTGACATATATTGTCCCCTAATTTGGCTGTTTGATACAAAATAGCAATAGTCCTCTCTCAAATAAAAACATCTAGAACATCCTTCCTAAGTACTAATTAGTAATGCTTACTCCTCCCATTTCATATGAATGGCAACAGGACTTCCCAAAAAAAAAAAAAAAAAAAAAAAAAAAAAAAAGGACTTCCCAAAAAAAAAAAAAAAAAAAAAAAAAAAATAAAAAAAAAAAAAAAAAAAAAAAAAAAAAATTGCAGCAGAACTAATACATCGATTGATGCCCTGTTGCCAGCACTGCATTAAAAAACAGGTAATTGCATAAATAAATGTAATCATTCTTAGGAAATGCTCATTGGCAACCTCTAATATGATAACTTTTAGCTCTTTTTAGCTTCTGCAGTCTATCATCAGTCCTAAAATTTCATGGATTTTCCCAAGTCTCAGCCATATACCGAATCAACAGTACTTGAAAGTTAAGGTGAAGCATGGAATAAATGAAGTACTTAGAACTTAATATGAGGAAACCACTCACCTTCCACTTAAGAAAAATCGGCCAAGGGTGGCAAAGACAAGCCTTGAGCGCAGGCCAGGGTGTATGAAGTATACAACTTGAAGTCTGTCCTTGTAGTCAGCAGGAAGTTCTTCATATATCCACCTCAAGATAGTTACACCAGGGGAGTTGTCCTCCTTTTGCACAGTAGTATGCATGTAAACAATGCAGAATGGTCCTTCTGGCAACTCGCTGCATATTTTGTGCAAAATGTACTTCTTGAGTCGCTCTCCACTAATAACTTGAGCTGCATACCATAAAGGCAAACACATTGCATGAAGGTTTAGTACGATAAAGTACAAACTCCACTCAAAATAAGATTCTCCAGAGGAGAGAGAAAATTTATAATATAAAAAAGGTCAAATCAATAAATATCCATTCCATTTCATCCAAAACATTTTCCTTTGTCTGGTTGAGAGGATGGAAATTAAGGACCTCACTTCATTTATTTTGTTGGGAGGAAAAGAAAGGCAGGAATTTTGACTTAATTCGTTGTCAGAAGGAAATAAATATCTATTAAATTACAGTTGTACCTTTTTTAAAATTATGTGGTTAAGTAGGAAGGAGAAGGTGATATTCAACACCCTCCAACCCCTCCCAATAAAAAAAAAAAAAAAAAAAAAAAGAAACTCATAATTATTTATGGGTCAACTGGAGATTGGTAAATAATAATTTTTATTGAAAAAAGATGCGAGGGGCCGCGGTGTAGACGTGGCAACTCCGGCTACACGATTCTCTATCTCACTCATATAGGGACTCAATCTTACTATATTAGGCAATGCGATAAGGCGCGCTAGGTTTTTCTCCTCTTAAAAAAGATTTTAAAACTTTTTTTTTTTTAAATTCTTATTACTATCTATTTTGATAATTTTCGAGTTTTCACAATAATCAATAAAATAATTGAACAAAAAAAAAAAAAAAAAAAAAAAGTGCTAAAGATGAACATCACAGGAGAAGAGATTTAATATCAAGATAACCAAACAACTTCACATTTTCTTCTAAGAAAACTTGAGGCGCATATCTGAGCTGACTTGAATTTAGCTAATTAAAAAGAAGAAGACTTTGCAAACAGATTTAGTCATGGAATATTTTGTAGTTTTTCAAAAAGAAAACTTTCTTGGTGATGAAATTAGAGTAGCAACACATTATCATAAAGTACAGTCAAATATTCTAGTAAGCTAAGAGAAGACATGACTCAGCAGAAAGAGCTTCCAAAAACCATATACCTAAACTGCTGAATATGCTTTGCCTTAATTGGAAAGGAACCAACACTAGAGTGTTTCATCTCAGTGATAAAGAATCCGCTGAACATGTTAGATTAACTTCGGTCTAGCACTAGAAAGTTTTCACAAGAAAAAATATAGATACGTCCAGTAAGATATAATCTTTGGACTACAATACCACCATTGGGTATTTCCATATAGCATAATGAAATGCTTATAATACCAAGATGCACAAAATTGCTACTTTTCTATAACGTTTCCGATCATTGAGCTGTCAAATAAAACCAAGCCTCATTCTTGCAAAAGAAAAAGAAAAACCCTACAACTATATAAAAGCAAAACCCATTTCATCATCGAAAAGCATATAAAACCCATTTCATAAACATGGCCCATAAAGTAAAATTCACTAACAATATAGCGTAAATCAATAATTAGATCAAAACCCAATAAAAATTAGCAGAAATTACAAGAGAATGAAAAATTAAAAACAAGTGATAGACTAATTACCGGGAAAGTACTTGCCGACTATACGAAGTATGCGGTTGCCAGATTTATCAAAGCCCTCTAGCCGGAAAAATTGCAAAAGTTCGAGATCGGAGAAATCCTCATCGTAGACGAGATACTGAGAGCAATCATGCCAGTTTTCAGTTTCTTCTTCTTCTTCTTTGATATCTCTTTCTTGGTGGTTCAGAAATGGGGTCGCGTCTATACCCAAATCAGATGCCAATACAAAGACTGAGAAATCATCGCTTGGTGTTTGTGATGATGAGCTCTCCATTTCTAAATTCAATGTTGCTGTGGATACGGTCGAGGAAAGAACTGGATAGGTTGGTGTACGGAGATTTAGTGTTGAGATTCCGTTTTGCTCCAGCGCGTGATTTATGTTGTTTCGATATAAGTTTGGATCTGTTTTACCGGGTCGGGCCAGGCCGTTCTGCTAGTATGCTGCATTTTAATTAATATTATTAAGGTATTAATTTCCGTATTTCAGTATTTCTTCTCATGAAATTTACATAATTTAGTTATATAAGAAATACAGTATTTGTGAAAGTGCTGAGGATATTGATGCTTTTTTTATTAATTTTATTACTTAATTGATCGTATTATTTTCTTTACTTTTAAAACTAGTGGTGAATGGCGTTCAACATAAGTATTTAAATGTTTTTTAAATAATTATTGTTATTGAATTATATTACGATTTTTTAAAAAGTTTTTGGTTTGTAATTTATGTTGAAATCAAACTAAAAATAATTGAAAGAAATAATAATAATAATAATAACTTTTATCTCGTCAACCAATTTAATAATATTTACTTACATCCATTGAATTTTATCCGTATTAAAGAGTATTTTCCACACAAATTTTACATTAATATTTAAAATTTGGAAAATGAATTATAAAAATTTATCTTTTTCAATGTTCGATGAAATGCCAGTACACCACTGAAACTTATTAATAGAGATTTTCACTCAATCAGTTACATTGAGCCCAGTGATGGGAAGTAATTATGTTCCTAGGTATTTTTGATAAGAAGCAAAAATTTATTGACAATTGACCTATATTGTATATATGATATATATGAAAAAACCCTAATATTATAAAAAAAAGGGAAAAATTAAAAATTTCTAAAAGAAGGAAAAATGAAACGCTATATTAAGGTAGTCAAATTTAACCGCTAATAAAACAATTAGTATATTGAATATGACATTGATAAAAAGCATATTGTGTCAGATCATAAGAGATTTCAAAATTCAAACTGTGTCTACAGATTATTTTATAATAAATAAATTTAGTGTATATTATAGAATAAAAAATAATTTGCTTTTTTTTTTTTCAAAACAATTATATTAGTATTTTAAAAAATAGAATCAAATTATAAGGATATTTTTCATAAGTTAACAAAAACATTTTGTTCATAGATTATTTTCAAGTTTGATAAATTGGTATGGATGTCAAATGTGTTACTAAAAATTATTTTACATATGAAACTTTCTATTCTATGATTTTTATCTATAAAGTGTGAATGTTTTCCACGTATAAGACTGAAAAATCAAAATGCAATAACTGGACTGAAAAAAAAAAAAAAAACTAATAATGTAATAGGTTTTTACTCGAGTCTTCTCAAATGAATGCTTATGAGCAATAGAACTACATATAAAGAGGACAAAAATTATCAAATTGAATCTTGAATGTCCATGACCACCGTGAGACTTGATTGCAGAGCTTTCTTCAATAAGACAAAGGAAGAATCTTTAAGGTTGTCAATTCATTATCAACTCTAACCTTTATATTGACTTGATTGCAGAGCTTTCTTCAATAAGACAAAGGGAAGAATCTTTTTAGTTTTTGTCACATTCATATTCAACTCTAACCTTGTATTATATATATATATTATATATATATATATTTATATATATATACTAATCTCCACCCTTCACTGTTGGGCTAACTCTCCACACACGAAACAAAGCATCTCCCCTGAGCTAACAACAGTGATAGAAATAACATAGATATAGAACAGAGCCCATAAAACTCCGCCCAAGTGAGCTCCTTTTATGGGTTATACGGGCTTGAAACAAGGCTTCCCAATTTCATATTATATATACTAATTCCACCTTCACTGTGGGGCTAACCTCCACACACGAACAAAAGCATCCTCCCCTGAGCTAACAACAGTGCTGTCATCTGTAAATGCGACGCCATAAACTCCGCCCAAGTGAGCTCCTTTTATGGTTATACGGCTTGAAACAGGCTTCCCAATTTCATATACGATGACACAAGTGTCTAGTGATCCAGTAGCCACCATGTTATTAGTAGGAGACCATGCCAGACAGTTTATACGAGCAGTGTGGTATAACATGTTATTAAGCTTAATCTGTAAAAAACACACATTTCAAAACTATATGTTAGCTCAAGGTAGAAGAAGAGATGCGACATATTGCACAAAGCATCTCAAATTTGTGAGCTCTGGGGAGGGTTGAGATACTTCCCCAATATTTTGTAGAGAGGCTATTTCTGCCGTTAGAACTCATGACTACCAAAAGTCACAAGTGGGGGTAACTTTACCGTTACGCTAAAGCCACCCTCTTACATGCTAGCCGAAAAATTTTCAGGGATTGTAAACAACTATAGTGCAACCATTTTTGACCTCAACCTACCTCCTTGGAGCTTCTGTCCCAAACAACAGCTTCACGATTTAGGTCACCTGAGGCAAACATAGAGACATCTGGCGAATACCTTATAACACTAATAGCACCTCTATGCTTCTCAAGGGTTGCTAACTCAGTAAGAGTATCACCAGAAATCGAATACATGTGCAATTTACCATCTTGGCCGCCCACGATTGCTTCACTTCCATCAGGTGCAATTATAGATGCTGTCACTGTAAACCCAAGTTTAATATTTGTCACTACTTTCATATCCTTAAGCAAGACAACTCCTGAATCGGTTGAAACCAAAGCTAGTCCAGGAGAATCAATAGCAAAGCTTAAATCCTTAGGCTGACTGCCAATATCAACAATTTCTGTTTCTCCACATTCATCTCCATTTAAAAGAACTCTACGCACCTGAATTGAATCAAGTAATATCAAGAAACTGCAATTTGATTATAACCATAACATTCTAAAATATATAGGAAGTTTCTTGTCAATCAACCATATACAACAAACCTTGTTGTCAACTCCAGACATAATAATCTCTTGTTCAATAGCTGCCAGACATTTAACTTGTGCATTATCTTTCTTCTGTATTCTACCATTATACCCATGACCTTGAGTCCACTTCAGAATCCGCCCATCGTAGCTGCTGGTCAGAATTAGCTTTGGGTCACTCTGGACTATAGTTAATGCATTGACATTTTTCATGTGTCCAGAGAAGGATACTGGGGCTTTATCAAAATCAGTTGCAGAAAATAAGTGAATTGTGCCACCAAGTGAAACAATAACAAGATGATCATTTTGCCAGAGACATCCAACCAGCATGTCATCCACTCCACCAGAGGTGGGGCAGGCCAATGTTTTTACTACTTTCCCACCACTACCATTGTCTAAAATTTCCCATACTTTTGCAGACTTGTCAGCTGAGACAGTAAGCACCTAATTTTATGAAACACAAACACATATTTTTTCCTTATAAAAGCATTAAACCAAAGAATGTTGAAACACATAATAGTTAATTAGGAAACTAAATATGATGCTCACCTGTTTACTATCAGGACTCCAACTAACAGCATATATACTAGATGTATGACCATCTTCCTGCGACAAGTGCCCAATTATTTCCCCAGTCTTCCCATCATATATGATCCCCTTCTTGTCTGAGCCTACACTAATGCATTTACTACCATCTGGAGAATATCTAACACAATTGACAAAATTGGAATGCTCCCTGTAGATTCCAATACAAGATAGAGTTTTTCAAAGTAACCAATAATAATAAAAATTATGTAAGAAGCAATTAGTTAACTAATGTACTAAACAACCTGTGAGACAACATGAACTTAAATGGTGGACCTTCATAAAAGTTGACAATGAAATCCTCTCCACAAGTAACAATTCGGAAAGGCCTTGTTGGTTTAAATGCACAACTTAGGACCCTCTTCGAATGTCCATCAAAATCCCCTACAGTACTGCCTGAATCCCACCTACATCAATATTTACAAAAATTACATCCTCGTTTTCATATCAATATATATAAAGGATAATCCAGAAGCATTCCCCTGTTTTTTCGCAGGGAGGCTATTTCGTGCTCCAACCCATTACCTTCCGGTCATATATATACATATCTAATGGGAAAAAATAAAGAAATTTTTTTGAAAAAACTCACATAAAAGCGCGAACTAGCGACTTTCCCTTGCCATCGCCTGAAGCAACAATCCTCAATTGATCAGGCGACCATTGCAAATCATCGATCCGACCCGAAAGGACACGAAATTCCTTGTGTAACACGAACTCGTTATGAACCCCCCAAATTCTAATTGTGCCTGAAGCATCGGCAGATGCAATCCACTCACCATTTGGAGAGTATCGAGCCACTGTGACAGGGTAGCCATGCTCGCCATAGACATGGACTTGCAGTGGCTTATCAAGATACCGAATTATAACAGACCTTCCATTGGTGTATAGAATGGAATTGGATTTGGGATCACCGGAGATTAGAATTCCACGACCACGCTCTGTAGAAGGAGTACATGCGTAAGTTTCTAGCAGATTAGCCATTGTAACAATAACGAACTAGTGTGAAATGGCAAATGAAGAGTGTTTATTCTTCATGTTCCTGTTTTGGTGGTTATTGAAAAGAAAGAGAGTAAAAATGCGGGCTTTGAGGAGCATTTTTGAACGAGTTGGTGGGAGAAGGTGGCTTCTATTTTTAGTTATTTGATTTTAAAATTATTACTACAATTTAATTCAATTAATATTATTCTATTTTTAGTCTACTGTATTTTTAGTTGAAATAATAGTATCGACCACACCTTAGTTTTTTTTAAAAAAATTCCTATTTCATTCAAGAAAAAAATTGCAAATTAGGGATTTTAGTTTTTATCGTCCCATGTTAAGACACGTGTCTAGTGGCAACAGGAGTGGCGGGCCACCTCATGGCATGGTGGTGCTCATAGGATAAGCAATAGCATCCATTAGCATCTCCTGTTTTCCCTATTTTGCAAAAAGGATTAACTACTTTACTTCAGAACAAGAATTTAGGAATAAAAACGGAAAAATTTTATTTATTTGTTTATTCAATTTTCAAATTGTTGCAGCTCGTATTCAATGGCCACAAGCTTGACTTTTGCCAAATTCCTATTGATATCTACTTCAGACTCTGCAAATTGAGCTCCAAAAATGATGCTTTCTGTCTTCTTTTTGGTAAGTCACCAACTTTATACACTGTTTTCCTGTGAATAATCTTGAATTTCACAGATCTATGGAAATTTATAAGAACTAGTTCTGTTTACTATTTTATACTATCTTTAATGGTTTAATTTTTGCTGCTAGACGATGATATTGGAGTCTCTGTTCAGACCCATATCTTGGTTTCTGTATAATTGGAGTAATACTGTAGTAGTAATCGGGGATTGACCTCCCAATCGGGAATTGAGAGATTCTTGAATCCCAGATTCTAATTATAGGAATTTGCGGTGACCCAGTTGGATTCTTTGCAGAATACTTGAAAAATTATTGGAACACCATGGATACTTTACTTAAAACTCATAACAAGCTTGAATTCTTGCCTCAACTTCATGGGTTTTCCTATAAAGTTAGTAATTTGAGCTCTATAAAGCTTCAAAACCCAGAGCTTAGGTTTTCCCCCAAGAAATCTTATCGAAAAACAGGTAGAACAGGTTGTGTTAAGGCTGCTAGTGGTGCTCTTTTGGAACTCGTACCAGAAATCAAGAAGGAAAATCTTGAATTTGATCTCCCTATCTATGACCCATCAAAAGGCCTCTTAGTTGATCTTGCAGTTGTGGGTGGTGGCCCTGCAGGGCTTGCAGTTGCACAACAAGTTTCCGAGGCAGGGCTCTCTGTTTGTTCGATTGACCCATCACCTAAATTGATTTGGCCTAATAATTATGGGGTTTGGGTGGATGAATTTGAGGCCATGGATTTGCTTGATTGTCTTGATACCACTTGGTCTGGTGCTGTTGTCTATATTGATGACAAAACAAAGAAGGATCTTGGTAGACCTTATGGAAGAGTGAATAGAAAGCAGCTGAAGTCGAAAATGCTACAAAAATGCATATCCAATGGTGTTAAGTTTCACCAAGCTAAAGTTATTAAGGTTATTCACGAGGAGTCCAAATCTCTGCTGATTTGTAACGATGGTGTCACAATTCAGGCTACTGTGGTTCTTGATGCAACTGGTTTTTCTAGATGTCTTGTACAGTATGATAAGCCATATAATCCAGGTTACCAAGTGGCATATGGAATTTTGGCTGAGGTAGAAGAGCATCCATTTGATGTAGATAAGATGGTTTTTATGGATTGGAGAGATTCACATTTGGACAACAATTTGGAGCTGAAAGAGAGAAATAGTAAGATCCCTACTTTTCTATATGCAATGCCCTTTTCATCAGAGAGAATATTTCTTGAAGAAACTTCCCTAGTTGCTCGGCCTGGAGTACGCATGGAAGATATCCAAGAAAGGATGGTCGCTAGATTAAAGCACTTAGGCATAAAAGTGAAAAGTATTGAAGAAGATGAGCATTGTGTGATCCCGATGGGTGGCCCGCTCCCTGTCCTTCCTCAAAGAATTGTTGGGATCGGTGGTACAGCAGGCATGGTTCACCCTTCAACTGGGTATATGGTAGCAAGAACTCTAGCAGCAGCTCCAATAGTTGCTAACTCAATAGTGCAGTACCTTGGTTCCGGTAGAAGTCTATCAGGAAATGAACTGTCAGCGGAAGTTTGGAAAGATTTATGGCCAATACAGAGGAGGAGACAGAGGGAGTTCTTCTGTTTCGGCATGGATATTCTCCTGAAGCTTGATTTGCAAGCTACAAGAAGGTTTTTCAATGCATTTTTTGATCTGGAACCTCATTATTGGCATGGTTTCCTGTCATCTCGTCTATTTCTCCCAGAGCTTCTATTTTTCGGCCTTTCGTTGTTTTCCCATGCTTCTAATACTTCCAGGTTAGAGATTATGGCAAAAGGAACTGTTCCTTTGGTTAACATGATCAACAATTTAATACGGGATAGAGAATAGATTGGTGGGATTCCATTTGTTGTCTGCTGCTAAATGCAGGCATTTTTATGCTTATTTGCTGTTGTTACCCATAGTTTTTGTCTATAGAATGCATACTAATTTTTATATTGTTATCTTAACTGCATACAGAATGCTATATTATTTCTGATTAAGCAATATTACTTTGACCTGTTCAATGAATAAAAAAAATTGTTCTTTAACCAAAGAAATGACTATATTATTCTAGTTTTTTTTTTTTTTTTTTTTTTTTTTTTTGAAAATGCAAACCCCTTTTCCTTTTTTTTATCATAATTATGTTTTTTTTTTTTTTTTTTTTTGAAAATGCCAACCCCTTCCTTTTTTTTATCATAATTATGATAAATTAAATTACTTTTGAGTATCTATAAACCAAACACTTAAACTATTTTACAATTGCGCTTAGTTATTTTAATTGACTTAAAAGTTATTTCTCAAAAAAAAAAAAAAAACTTATAAATTGAAAACCACATTTTAAATTAATCGGTTAAAAACAAATAATCAAATCAAACATCTTCCAAAGTCACATTAGGATTACTGTCATAGAGCAGCATGATAGAGAAAAAGAGGATAAATTTTATTAAGAGCATGATGGAGCCAGACTTCAAATCCAAGGAAAAGCCATATATAGAGAACTTTTAAAAATTAGAGGATCAAATAAATAAAAAGGAAAAAAAAAAACACCATATATATAATAAGAAAAAGAAAGTACTCCACGGATTGCACCAAATGATTAATTTGGACACAATCTTACATACATATTATTCTCCCAAACACATACATGGTAAATAATAATAGAACTAAATAAAGAACCCAAAAGAACAAAGAAAATTTTTAATTTAGTAAAGATTATTCATGAAAAACCACAAATACCTAACCAATAAGTGTCGAGCGGACGTCAGTCCCCATAACGACCAAAACACAAGCTTGATCGGGAGGATTTTACTGGCACGAAACCTTTAGGTTCTATAAATTGAGGGGATAAAAACTAAACTTCAAATACCACGTGCTCATGTTATATGTTATATCACTGTTTTTTAGAATTCCAGGAGAAATAAGTCTGAGCAGCAGTAAGAAAGAGTCCAACAAAAGCACAAACAAATGCAATGAAAAAAGCACAAACAAATGCAATGAAAGTCCTTGGCATTCCGAAATAGACATGATATGCCTGAGCCATAAATATAATAGCTTTTCTACTGCAGTGCTTTTCAATAGCATCTGTAACATGCCCATAAACATCAAGATTTAGCACTAAATCTCTGCCTATGATGTTAAACTGTGCAGCTACTTCTTCATCACTACCAAGATAATTCCTCAGAATGCCAGCCTTTCGAAGCTCTTGGACATCTTCAGGATGATCGATAAGCGAGTCGAGGAAACATACATAAGATGTGACTTCGAGGTCATTTAAAAAATCCGGAGACATTTCATATGCAATCAAGTTCAACAGCTTAGGCGCTGTTGAATCGTTTACTGCAAGAGAAGGTAGCTTTAAAGTTCCCATAAATAAATGGTTATCAAAAGAAATGTCTAAGCAGATTTGACCAGTTGGCTTTAACTCTACACCTGATGCTATCAGCTCTCTCACATTACGAAACGTGTATGGAAAGAAAACGTAAGATGGTCGTCTGTGATTGAAGTTCGTCACTAGGTTTGTTCGTAGAAGATCTAGAAGATGGTTGGCTTCTCCTTTGGTATTATATCTCTAGATATTTCCATTGACATTAAATTGGAACCAATAAACTCGCTGATTGACGAGTTAAACCTCCTCTTTATAGACTCACGGGAAATCAAGGACATCAGGTGCCGGAGGAGTTTATACGGTAGTTGATTCTCAAACAAGAATATATCTCGTTGAATAAACGCGACTTGAACTTCCCTGATTCGCAATTCCGTCAACAGCTTTCCACCATTTACCACATCATATATGAAGAGAAGAATAGAGCAACCATCCACCAGGAACATCCGGGCCAGTTCATCATTGCTATAGCTTTTTATTACATCTACCGCGTAACAAATTTTGAATACCTCCAAATTCCTCATAATCATGTCGTATACATCTTTTGAATCTAGACCAGTATACCGAATAAACCCAGCGGCTAGTTTATGCTTGACATTTTCAGCATACTCGAACTGAGGGTGGCCATGGTGGATAGGGCCAATGGCAAACACCCTTGGTTGGTAGTACTTCTCGAAATCTTTATCTTTTCTATACTTGAAAGGTACCTTCCGTATCTGTGGCTGTGGTATAGTTTCCTTCAATGCACCAGGATCCAAATTTAAGGAGGCTAACCACTCCGGCAAACTCATAGAGATTATTGGTAATTTTCCATCGATTAGCTTTTGTCTCTCCTCAGATTCCCTTGTTTCGATATCATCATTACTGATATGGTGTTGGCTTCCGCTTGCTTGGCCTGCTTCTGATCCAGCAAGCTTTCTTGGTTGCGCTTCAATGGTGGAAATAGAATTATTAGACATTTTGATTAGTAAATTTGGTCGATTGACTGATCTGCAAGGGAAGTTTAGATCCTGGAGATAATATAACTGTAAGATCTATCTATCTTTAACTTTATTAGGGTATCAAGTTTTGTATCTTATCCCATTAATTAACTTGCTTTAATTTATTCTCAAAAAGTACAAAAAAAAAAAAAAAAGAAAAAAAAAAATACAAAAAAAAAAAAAAAAAGAAAAAAAAAATCATTTTACGCTGATGGATGAGATGCAGGCAGCCTCTCCCAAATTTGAAATATTGATAGCTTTAGTATTAAAATATTTTTTTACTATACTTAAAAATACAAAAATTAATTTTTTTTTGCCAAAATTGAGATTTTATTTTCTTTTCAAGTTTTGTGAATCATTTTCTTATTGTTATTTATGAAAAAAAAAAAAAAAAAAAGAAAAAAAAAATCATTTACGCTGATGGATGAGATGCAGGCAGCTTCTCCCAAATTGAAATATTGATAGCTAGTATAAAATATTTTTTACTATACTTAAAATACAAAAATTAATTTTATTTTTGGCAAAATTGAGATTTTATTTTTCTTTCAAGTTTTGTGAATCATGTTTCTTATTGTTATTTATGCCTTTATTAAAAGCCCAAGCTAAGTATAAAATAGAGACAGATGCCTTCTTTTCAGAAAGGGAATTTTATAAACTTTATATGTTTGCTTAGACTAAGAAGTTTGGAATAATATTATATATTACTTTCTGAAAAAGAGTATTTCTGTTATCTGGCTTTAATATGTTATTATTTTCAACTTAATTATTTCTAAGAACATATTAATTAGTATTAATTGGTTGAAAAGTCGAGAAATATTTATTTTATGCGAGACAATTTTCAATGAGATTCACACCACATACATGAAAGTTGGAATATAATTAGCTATAGACAAGTCTAATATAATTTTTAAATTCATTATTGTTTTAAAATTTAAATACATGGAAAATCAAATAAATGTGTACCAATATAAAGATATATTCGGCAACAACTTATTATTTAAAAAGTTGTTCAATAATATAGCGTTTGAATTAACTAGCGTTTTAACTTTTAAAAGATTTAATGAAAAACTACTCAAATAGCTAACTACTATCAAAACAGTTAATTTACTTAAAAACTTTTAGATGTCATGGAATCAATTTTCCCTTCTTTCCTTCTTTTCACTTTGAAGTTTACACACTTTTGGCGGACATGAGGATTAGTTAATTAAATTAGCTGGAATTCTCTACTTTTTGTCTATGCAAGGAACTTGGAACTTCAAACAAACTTCACTTTAGAAACACAATGTGTTTCATGCCTCGCCCAGTTGCTTTTTGTTAAAGTGAAAAGTGGTATTATAATAATAAAATTGTTATGACTTAATATCAGGATGTTGATTGCTTAACATATATTTTATTTTCATTTGTATATCTTATTCTATATTTTCATTTATATAATTTATTAATTCTATTTCCCTGCTACATCAGTATATTGATAGCTTAATCCTGTAATTAGGTAATTGTTAAACCAGAAGATCAATGCCTTTTTATTGAAAAAAAAGAAAGAATAAAAATAATAATAAAGAGTGACAATTAATTATTGACTTGATACATAGACATCGATATACCAAGAACAACAAGTATTTTCTTATATATATGTTTCAGAAATAATACAAACTGGCAGTAATCACCTTTAATGTGAGAAAAAAACAAAACAAAATAATTAATTCCAATACAATCTTATACATAAAGTTTATTTTCACACACAAATAATGTCCAAAAATTAGAAAAGAAAAAGAAAACTTTAGTATGATTTATTGATTAGAAAAACATACGAGAAGATCATCCACAGAAGCATATGCTGATACGATCTCACTAGTTTCGAGGACGCCACGAGTAATAAGCCTGAACAGAACTAAGAAAGAGCGCAAACAAAGCACCAAGAAGTGCAAGGAAAGTCCATGGGCTACTGAAATAGCTATGATAAGCCTGAGCCATCCAAGAAATATACTTGCTGTTGTAATGTTTTTCAATAGCATCTTGAACTTCAGCGTATAAATCTGGATTTGGAACTAAATCAGTGCCAATCTTATTGAACAGTTTAGCTACTTCTTTATCACTACCAAGCGAATTTATCAGAATGTGAGCCTTTCGAAGCTCTTGAACATCTTCAGTATGATCGATAAGTGAGTCGAGGAAGCATACGTAAGATGTAACATCAAAATTATTCATAAAATCTGGACACATTTCATATGCAATCAAGTTCAAGAACTTAGGTGCTGTTGAATCATCTACGACTAGAGAAGGTAGCTTTAAAGTTCCTATAAAGAAGCAACTATTACCAAAAGAAATATCTAAGCAGCATTTACCGGTTGGTTTTAACCTTATACCTGAAGCTATCAGCTCCGTCACATTACGAAATGAATGTGGAGTCTGGCATTCTTTTGCTGTTTGCGTGCATATCAGAAGTTGTTTTCGTAGAAGGTCGAGAAGATGGTAGGCATTTTTAGGTAGTGTTTCCATTGGTCGATCCGTTGTCATTTTATTGCTGTGAATAAAGTCTCGGATTGAGTTGTTAATGGTCTCCTTTTTCTTGTTATCGAGAATGAAGGTCATCAATAATTGGAGGAGTTGAAATGGAAGTTGATTCTCAAGCAAGAACAGATCCTGCTGAGCAAACGCGACTTGATCTTTCTTGATCTGCAATTCCTCCAACTTTCTAATTTCATGTACAACGCAATATATGAAATGAAGAATGGCGCTACCATCCACCAGGAACATCCAAGCTAGCTCATCATCGCTGTAGCTTTTTATCACATCTTCCACGTAACTATTTTTCAAATCCTGCAACTCCGCCATAATCTTGTTGTATAGACTTTCTGCATCTATACCATTTTCTTCAATAAACGCACCGGCTAGTCTACGCTTGGCATTTTCAGCATACTCGAACTTAGGGTGACCATGGTGGATAGGGCCAACGGCAACCACCCTTGGTTCGTAGTACTTTTCGAAATCCTTATTCTCTCTAAGAATGAAAGGAACCTTCTGTATCTTCGGTGTAAGATTACTCTTTTGCGCTTCCCGTTTCAAGGAGTTTAACCTCTCCTGAAAACTTCTAGAGGTTTTTGATTTGTCATCGATTACAATGCTTAGCATTTCGCTCTGCTCGATGAGTTGGCCATGGCTTCCAGTGGCAGATCCGCTCGCTTCGTTATCATCATTAATGATTTGTTCTTGGCTTCCGCTTGCTTCACCTCCTTCTGGTCTAACAAGCTTTCTTGCTTTCACTTCAATGGTGGAAATTGCATTGTCAGACATTTTGGATTACTATATTTGGTCGATTGACTCTGCATGGGAAGTTTAGAGCATGTAGATAATATAACTGTGAAATAGATCTATTTTTAACTTTATCAAGGTACCAAGTTTTGTATCTTATCCAACTTAAATGTATTAGTTAACTTTCTTTAAAGTTATTCGCTGAAAAGACAAAAAGAAGATGCGTTTAATTATTATTTTTTGACTGCTTTTGATATTTCCTTTTAACTGTTTATAATTACGACTTAATTAATTAGCATTCGCTAATCATAATTTTATATTTGCTTACACTTTGTACATTTTGTTTAGTATTAGCTATTAAGAGGGAATTTCAGTTGGACCTTTTTAATGTCGTTTGATATTGGAACTTGGAAGCTTGTTTTCTCTCTTTGCTTTTCTTCACCACAAGTTTAGTCACTTTTGCTGAACATTTGCACGACAGGGTTATTAACTCACTGGAATCTCATATTTCCTGCAAGGAAAAGTAAATCGGTTAGACAACATTAAATATTAATTAATTGGCTGGAATTTACTTTTTTCTGAGTTGAAGGAACTTGGAATGAAGTTCGAATAATTAGCTTTCACTTTAGAACCATTGTAGTGTGTTTCATGCTTTATATAATTTGGTTTCGTCAATTTTAGTATTTTCAGTGATTTTTTTATTTAGTAAAACCTTCAAATTTTAACAAATAATACTTCATTAACTATTAAGTTTTTATATTTGTAATTAATTTTTTATCTATTTGTTCGTATTCGTGTTCCTTTTTAACATATGATTTTAATAATTACACATGTTCTAATAATTGTTGGTTGTTTCGTAATATTTCATAATTCACTCTATCAAAATCAAAGAAAGCGTTATTCATACATCTGATAGTATAGTAATATATAAATATGTTTGTATACGAGGGTGGAGTTGTGATGAATAATGCAAACCCAAAAAAAAAAAGAAAAAAATACATAAAATAAAATTTAAAAATCAGGAGATTCAAGATAAAATTATTTATTAAACCATTTGTAAATCAGAAATGAGGCCATATAAACATTACAATGTCATATTCTCTATAAACTGCATAGAATACAATTTTATTAACCAAACACAGGTCTTCTACATACAATAGCATCTATTTTTTGGGTGAATACCAAGCCTGGATGGCACTAAAAACGAGTCCTAATAAGGCGCCTCCGAAGGCAAGAAAAGTCCAAGGACTACCAAAATGATCATGTAAACCTTCAGCAATCCATGTCTTCCATTTTTTGTCGTAATGAAACTGCATGTCGTTTTTTACTCTGAAATATGCTTCATCATTTGGCACCAAGTCAATACTTATCTCATTGAAGAGTTTAGCCACTTGTTCATCGCTACCAAGCATATTATGAAGTATATTGGCTTTCCTAAGTTCTTTCACATCTTCAGGATGATCAATGAGCGAGTCGAGAAGGCAAACATAGGAAGTGATCTCAAATTCGTTAGCATAATCTGGACACATTTCATAGGCTACCAAGTTCATCAATATTGGCCCAGTTGAATCATCTACTCTGATAGGTGGTAACCTTAATGTTCCTCTCAAGAATCCACTGGTGAAATCAATTCCTGGACAGACAAAAATCTTTATATTTTCAGGGCAAGAAATAACTGTTTCAGAAAAAAACGATTCTAGGTTGCTGGAAGCATGTACCTGTCCTGAAGCAGCTAATCGTACTGCGTTTCACACGAATACCTGCGGATTTAAGTTCACTGATGTTTCGAAAAGTATTCCATTCTTTGTCTTGATCCTTCTTAACATTTCCTGTACCTGAAATATTTTTTTTAACAGCAACAAAAAATTTTATTAGAATTAAATAACCAGGAAAAGTTTAACTTTTTTCAGGAATTTACCCCAAGCAAATAAGATTTTCCAATACACTCATAACTAGCCTGAACATATTAAAAGTTTAGCCAAACAATACAATCCGATCGAGCAAAAATCTACTTCTCTTGAGATAAGAAAAAGATATGCAAAATATCCCAAAAACTCACCTGTCAAGCCAAAAAAACGTCCTGGGCATGAAATATTTTTAGTGCTGTTTGGCATATCTATCCTTCGATCATTAGTTCTGTGCAAGCATAGCAATCTTGTACGTAAAAGGTCAAGAAGGTGAATAGGTTTTGGTATCTCCTTAGCCTCCCGTGCCAGTGTCTCATCAGATACCGAATCTGTGTTGCTAGATACCAACCCCATGTTTTTATGAATGAACCTAAGTATGGATAACCAAAACTTGTTACCATTTTTTGTTTCACTCATCAACAATTCAAGAACATCAAAAGGAATTTGATTCTCAAGCAATAACAAATCTTGGGTCGCGAAAGCAGCAAGATCATTCTTGATTCGCAGTTTCTTTAAGTTTCCTTCAACCAAAGAATTTATAAATTGAAGCACAGCACATCCGTCTACAAAGAGTATCCAAGCTATCTTCTTATCATCATCATCGTTATTATACTCTTTTATGATTTCTTTGTCATAGCAATTCTTTAAGCTCTCAACATTCACCTTAATTTTTTCATAAAGGTCGTCCATTTTCTTGCCACTATCTCTGATGAACTCGGCTGCTAGTCTTTGCTTCAACTTCTCTGCTGGAGCGTACTTATTGTTTCTACCATGTAATATAGGGCCGATTGCAACTCCTCTTGGATTGAAGTATCTCTCGTAGTCCTTGTGGCCTTGAAGCATTAATGGAACTTTTCCTATACGTGGGTTTCTGCTACTACTGGCTCCTTGATTTTCTAGCTTCTTGTTCTGGACGAGATTTCTCAAGGTTTCCAACTCAGCATCAATTGAAGCCATTGCTCGATTATTTGTTTGTGTTTCTGTTAAAGATTTTGGATTTTAACAAATTTGGTATGTGATGTTTTGATTATATAAATATATATATAGGTGTAGCTTAATTAGAATGGATATAAGCTTTTCAAAGACTTCAAGTATGGTATTTTTTTTATTGTCAATTTGTCAGACTACTTTTGTGAATCACATTGGTGAATATGTTCTTTACTGTTCTTTATGTCTTTATTTGAAGGGCAAGCTAAGTAAAAAACTATTATGTTATTTTTGGACAAAGAATATTAGAAAATTCAAAAAGAAGTATGTTATTTTTGGACAAAGTATTTTGAAAAGTTTAATTTTATATATCTTATTTGAAGGGCAAAGCTAACGTAAAAAAACTATTATGTTTTATTTTTGGAACAAAGATATTGAGAAAATTCAAAAAGAAAGTATGTTATTTTGGACAAAGTATTTTGAAGTTTATTTTATATATATATATATATACTATATATTTATATTATATATATATACATGCTTGCATTTGCATAGGGTATAAAGAAGTTTACTAGTTTAGAATATTACTATCATGTATAGCAACGGGCTTTGAAGAGTATCTTCTCTCCTAAGGACTTTTAAAAAAAAAAAAAAAAAAATGGGATCTTTAAGAACATAAATAGTATTGGTTTCAAAAAAGTTGAGAAACATTATTAATTTACATGTCAACAAATTGATATGCATTTAATTATCATAGAAAAGAGATTGGCACATTCCTTATTGTTATTTATATATTGCATCTTTCAATTCTTCTAATTATAATTTATTGATACATAAATTATAATACAACTTTCCATAAAGATAAATATTACTCCCTCTGTTCTAAAAAGAGAGTCCATTTTCTATTTTCACACAGATTAAGAAATATGGTTAAAGGACAATTTTATTCATATAACTTTTCAGTTATGTTTATATTTAATAACACATGAGCAATTATTATATTTGAATAATAAATAAGAATTAACGAGGTTTATTGAAAATAATATAAAATTTAATAAGATTATAATAGATAATTAAAGGATTAACTATAATATAAAAAAAAGGCAGTAGACTATATTTTGGCACAAACCAAAAAAAAAAGATGGACTATCTTTTTTAGACGGATAAAGTAAAGAAAAAAAAAATATTCAACTTGGAAATAATTAGGGGACTTTCATCCATCATCTATTTTTGGTGCATTAAACAACTATATCAAACATTTTTTTTTTACCTCAAAAGTTAAGCCATTTTTATAATTATACCATAATTTTATTTTTTTCAGAAGTAATTTTGCTCTAATTTAAAACTTAATTTATTAGTCAAAATTGAAAAAAATTATCAATACTTTATTATTAGTCTAAATTAAAATTAATTTTTCCCCCTTTTCTCTCACTTCCTACCCTATTTTTTCTATCTCTCTCCTCCCAATTTCATATCTTTTTTTTTTTTCTCTCACTAAGGACTTCATTTCCTACTCAAATTTTCAATTCTTACTTTTCTCACCCATTCTTCTTTCTGTATTATTTCAATCTTCACTTTCTCCTATTCTCAAATAATTAAAAAAAAAAAATTCACTTTCTTTCTTTTTCTTTTTCTTTTTCGACAAATAAAAACGAAAGTGAAAAAATGCAGGCCATATATATGAATGAGAGAGAAGAGAAAAATGAGAGTAAAATGGGTGGAGAGGAAAATTTTAAAAAATAAGGTGAGAAATAAAAAAGAAAAAGCAAAAATGAAAATTTTTTAAGTTTGAATAATAATAAAATATAGCTAAATGTTCTTTTTTTTATTTTAAAATAAAATTGCCAAAAAATTTAAGGCTAAAGTATAATTATAAAAACATATAAAATGTGGGTAAAATTGCTAATCAGATTCAGTACCAACACAGGCAGAAAAAGATCCCTCTAAAAGTTTAGAGCTTTGACTAACTACAACAAATAAAAGCAAAATCTGGCTTTTAGGTTATTTGCTCATCAATCCACTCACTGTCTGCTCTATGCTCCCTCAAATGACAGAGAAGCTAGCTCTCCCGCTTCTCTTCTCAAACCCACCACCCTCAAAACACCAATTCCTTGTCCAAATCCACTGTCACCACCAGCCTATACTCCCACCAACTGTATCGCAACTACCTATAACTCCTCTTCTTCCAAACTTACTCTTTAATCAACAACCAAGTTCTCCACAACCCATTCATCTACCTACACCAAAAAACTTATCTTACAGACCACGAACCCGCATCGGCAAGGCCCGTGACCCTAACCGTGGCAAACCCTGGTCTAACCACCGTCTTTCTCCTCTAGGTGAACAAGTTCTTAATTCTTTAATTGACCCATCTTTTAAAATGACTGAATTAGATAAAATTTTGAGTCAATTGTTTGAGTTCTATCAGGAAAAGTCAAGTTTAAGTAGTGAAAATGTGGATTCTTTATCTATGGATGTTTTGGGTGTTATCAAGGGTTTAGGGTTTTACAAGAAACGTGATTTGGCAATGGCGGTGTTTGAGTGGGTTAGGAGTAGGAGTGATTTTGAGTTGGTTTTGAATTGTTCTGTTGTGGCTGTGATTATTAGTATGCTTGGCAAAGATGGTAAAGTTTCGCTTGCAGCTTCTTTGTTCAATAATCTGAAAAAGGATGGGTTTGATCTTGATGTTTATGCTTTTACTTCATTGATAACTGCTTATGCTAGTAATAGAAGGTATAGAGATGCTGTTATGGTATTTAGGAAAATGGAGGAAGAGGGTTGCAAACCAACTTTGATAACTTATAATGTGATTTTGAATGTATATGGGAAAATGGGTATGCCTTGGAGTGAGATTTCTAGCCTTGTTGAGGGAATGAAGAGTACTGGGGTTGCCCCAGATGAATATACTTATAACACACTTATTACTTGTTGTCGCCGAGGGTCTTTGTATGAAGAAGCAGCCCAAGTTTTTGAGGACATGAAATTGGCAGGTTTTTCCCCAGATAAGGTTACTTATAATGCATTATTGGATGTTTATGGGAAATCTAGGCGGACTAAGGAGGCTATGGAGGTATTGAGGGAAATGGAAATTAAGGGACTCTCTCCTAGTATTGTTACGTACAATTCATTGATATCAGCTTATGCTAGAGATGGTCTGTTAAGGGAAGCGACGGAGCTAAAAAACCAAATGATGGAGAAAGGGATTAAGCCAGATGTTTTTACATACACTACCCTCTTATCTGGATTTGAAAAGGCCGGGAAGGATGAGTCTGCTATGAGGGTTTTTGAGGAAATGAGAGCTGCAGGTTGTAAACCAAATATCTGTACTTTCAATGCCTTAATTAAGATGCACGGTAACCGGGGAAAGTTTGCTGAAATGATGAAGATTTTTGAGGAGATTAAAATGTGCAATTGTGTACCGGATATTGCTACATGGAATACACTTCTGTTGGTGTTTGGGCAAAATGGGATGGACTCTGAAGTATCTGGAGTGTTCAAAGAGATGAAGAAGGCCGGGTTTGTGCCTGAGAGGGACACTTTCAATACTCTAATCAGTGCATATAGCCGATGTGGTTCTTTTGAACAAGCCATGGCTATTTATAGAAGAATGCTAGAAGCTGGTGTTACTCCTGACCTTTCTTCCTATAATGCTGTTTTGGCAGCATTGGCACGTGGAGGGCTCTGGGAACAATCAGAGAAAATATTTTCTGAAATGAAGGATGGTCGGTGCAAGCCTAATGAGCTTACATACTGTTCATTGCTTCATGCTTATGCCAATGGTAAGGAGATTGAACGAATGCGTGCTCTCACGGAGGAGATATACTCTGGTGTAACTGAACCTGTTTCTGTTCTCCTGAAGGCACTTGTTTTAGTTAATAGTAAATGTGACCTACTAGTGGAAACTGAACGAGCATTCTTGGAGTTGAGGAAAAAAGGCAATCCTGACTTAACTACTCTTAATGCCATGATTTCAATATATGGTAGGAGACAGATGATTGATAAAGCAAATGAAATTTTAAACTTCATGAATGAGAGTGGGTTCAGTCCAAGCATGGCAACTTACAATAGTTTGATGTATATGTATAGCCGTTCAGAAAATTTTCAGAGATCAGAAGAAATTTTAAAGGAAATTGTTACTAAAGGATTAAAGCCTGATGTAATCTCATACAATACTGTTATATATGCATATTGTCGAAATGGTCGGATGAAGGAGGCTTCACGGATATTCTCAGAAATGAAGGATTCTGGGCTTGTTCCAGATGTCATTACATATAATACCTTCGTTGCAAGCTATGCAGCTGATTCAATGTTTGAGGAGGCTATTGAAGTCGTTCGATATATGATAAAAAATGGCTGTAAACCAAACAAGAATACATACAATTCAATTGTGGATGGGTACTGTAAGCATAATCGTCAAGCAGATGCAAGCATGTTTATTAGCAGCCTTCATGAGCTTGATTCACATGTTTCGAAGGATGAAGAAAGCAGGTTATCTGAACGTATAATGGAGAAATGGTCATAGATAATTCTTTCTTGAAATACAATGTCAGCTTAGTTGGCATACTGTTTATGCTTTGAGTTGTATGTATAGGTCCTACACCCCCTTTTGTGCCCATTATATATTTTTTATGGGCACGGAGATGAATAGACAATGATGTATTTTTGGTTCTTTTATAATTCTCAAGTGCTGGACATGAGAGCGTTAAAAATTTATAGTTTTGATTCCTCTGGATGGATCCAAATGAGAAGCGAAAGAGAATGGATGAAAGAGAGTTTCTAACAGCTGAGGTATGTACATTTACCTTTGCTGCAAATAGATGTCATAGAAATGCAGTAATGAGCAGGTTGCTAATTCTTTATTTCATTGTATTCCTGGATAATTTCATGATGCAGTATAAGATCTCATCGTGAAAAAACATTTTACCAAGTATCTCTCTCTGTTTTTTTTTTCTTTTTCTTTTTTTTGAACGGTATTCAAATGAGATGTGCTAATGTTTTATTAGCTGAGATGTGCACATTCATTGTATTGTACAACTTAAGGTGAGAATTGCATAGATTGAGATGGTTATTAGTCTGACTATAGTCATTATTAGTCTGACTGCTTTTACCATGTATTTTTTACAACATTTCTGGATTTCAGTTATTTGTTAACTCACTGAAATGCTAATAAAAATTTTGGTGGCTCTTAGGGCTTAAGAGGCGCATACTTCTTCCAACTGGACAAGTTATGTGGACAAAATGGAAACGAAGGAATGAAGTTTTTTGACCTTTTGTTATGTTGCTCTGGCGAGTTGTAGGTCTAGGAATTTTTTAGCTTTCAAAATTAAGCACCAAGATTTTCAGGTTACTTTCCATCAACCTTGCTCAAGTAATTCCACAGTTTTAAGGTTACTGCACAACAGAATATCTTTGCATTTGCGGTGGCTGCTTGTTTTGTTGCTCTAGTACTGGTGTTTCTGGTGTAGGGATCACAGTTAAAGATGATCATTGATTGGCAATGGCTTCTGTGTGCAAACACTTAATGAGTGATTATTTCTCCAGAAGTCGCAGAAGGTTTAGCTGCAATATTTTTGTCGAGTTTGCTGCCGATCTTGGTTTCCCCTTGGGTGGTTCTGAAATTGATCGTCTTTTCCTGTAGTTGGTGCCCTTTGTTAGCATTTCTTTTGTCCTACAGAAAAAGCTATACCGTTCCTCATTAGCTAGCTAAGATTAGCCGACGGAGGATTTTACATCCCAAGTTTTCTTTCTTGTATGAATTTACTTTCTAATCAAGAAAATAAACATGTCGCTATTTTTGATTTTTTAGATGGCTTTTCTAGATTGTCCTGATTCCACAAAGTTTTGCGAAAAATAACTTCATATCCAAAAATATTTTGGTTTCAATAAATCCGTTCTTACCGTTATGATTGCAATTTTTAAAATTAAAAAAATTCAACTGTAAGACTACAGAAGATAAAATAACTGTTGCGACATTCCAATATTACAAGGAACTTGGCCAAGAGATTTGTTATGTACACATAATCCAACTAGAAAATAACTGCTTGGATATCTGTCAGCAAAATCGTGCCGAGAGTGAGTGCTTAAGCTACCAATGTCACAATATATTTTTCAGCACCCATCCACATATAGACCACATAAATAAAGCTACAGAGAGCCCATTTTAACAACCGCTACTCCCTTTCTCCTGCCTGTCCCCATATTTCCTACAAAACTGTGTATGCACATAGGTGCACCTACAAATGAGGTGGTGGTGGACAGGCGCCATAAGTGCAGCCAAAAGTAAAGAATTTAATCCCTTGTATTCTTTATAGATCCAATTCATATCACAATACGCTAACAAACCACAGAAAAAATTTGAAGAGAATGATGTGCCGGCAAATTTCCAAAGTGCGGGGTCATCAGCATATTTGGCAACAACCTGGCAGAAATCCTGCCCCTTGCCAATACCCCAGGTGGCCTCTGGAAGATTGCCAATACCCCAGGTGGCCTCTGGAAGATTATGGTGAGGCACGCTGACTGCAGCCAATCTGGCTGGCTGATCATCAAATTGAAACCAGTACGAAGTGTAAAGCGAAGAAGAAACCCTTGAAAAGCTTTCCAATCTTCCAGGTGTGTCCCACGTCTTTCATGTAGCTTGGGCAAGCAACCCTACACACAGAAGCAGAGAACTGCATTGTCAATGGTACGGTGCTAAGTGATGTCCACAAAGCAGATATTTGTTTCATTGTTTGCAAACTGGACGTAAGCTTTACATTGGTTCTTTCAAGTTAGAAAAAATTCAGCCTTACAATTCCCGGTTCCATGAGGATTTACCAAGCTTAATGCAATCAACCTTTATTATACACTTCCACGTGTTGTTTGACATAGTGAATAAGTAAGAGGGATAGACACAGTCAGTTCACACTTCATAGACCTGGATTAATATTTGGGTTCTTGCCTTGTAGCTTGACGAAATAGTCGAGACTTTTATGTGTTTATGCAGCAATGTGTAAGCATCATGCGCTTCCATTAATCTTTCAAGCTAAAAATTTAGCCTGGTACAGGTATCAGGAAGCATTAGATGCAGATTTGATCACAGAGCAGAAAATATGGGCAACAGTGGATCCATATGCAAAGAATGAGGCTTTCCATTGCAATGATAGGGATGCTCTCTCTCTTTCTCTCTCTCTCTCTCTCTCTCTCTCCCTCTCTCTCTCTCTCTAAACAAGCTCATTTTGTTTTCTAATGCTCCCTGAAGTGATCTCTCTCTCTCTCTCTCTCTTTATGTGTGTTTCTTTCTAGTGTTTAACTAACACAAAGTACTTGACTTCCAAATTACCTATTTGGTTCAGAGCATTGCTTCTTAGTAAGGGTTCAGTTCATCCACTTCATCAGTTTGATATTTTCCCTTTGAGTTCTAACTCTCATTGACTCAAAGCTAAAGCTCGATTGTAGAATATGATCTCATGATCTTAAAACTTATCGAGAAAACAGAGTCTGCAATTAAATCCTTAATGTATATTGTATTGTAATGCTAAAAACCCAAAAAAAAAAAAAAAAAAAAAAAAAAAAAAAAAACAACAAAACTTTTTTTATATAAACCATAAAAAATAACAAGAAAGAAAAAAAAAACATCATTGTAAAAAGCAACCGCACACTTTCTTAGACAGCGAAATGGATATATAGAGTGTGTGAAAGAGCCACACATACAATACGACCTGGAAGGAAGTACTAGTTTCGGAGCGCAGCGATAATAGGCTTGCGAGAAAGCCAACAGTGTTCTTGGAGATTTCTCGGCAAACACGTAACCTTATGGATCTTCTATCACATCTCGATATTGGAATGATACTGACACCAAATAAAGATTTAAATCATTGGGGTTTTCAACTTGGCGCCCTGAGGTATTCCTGGTAGCCCACTTATGCACCGAAAATAGTCGAAGAGGCCAGGACAATTTCTGGATTTCTTGCTTCTACATTTATGAGCAGACAATTGCCTATAGACCCACTGAGACGAGCTCCACTTATTAATCTTCCGCCTTTTGATTCTTTGCTCTCGTGGCTATCTTAGACTGGTCGAAACTGAAATCTTCCATTATGAATCTATTTAACGGCAAAAGAGCCCGAAAGAAAAGTCTTAGACCTCTGGGAGAACTCACAAGGCAAGAATAAATGCACTCCGGCTCTCAATTATGGCAAGACATATAGCATAAGGCCCCATAAGAGGGTTCCAATGTATTTCAAAACAGAGCATTGAAAAACTGGATGGGCCAACCAGCTACTGGTAGAAAATTTCTTTAACTGACATTCAGAACGAATTGACATGATTTAGTGCTATTGCTACTCCTTCATTTAGAACTCAAATACGAAGGTGATTAGTAAGGAGAAAGTGTCAAGCTAAAAATGAACTCCTATATCGTGGCCTCTTACTTTGGCCTCCACACTGGCTACGATGTGTCCTCTTCCAACTACTAATTCTTCTCTCTCTATTATTATAATATTTCCAATCTAACATAATATTTTACCGTTAAGTTTTAACAATTTGAGCCTAACAGATTATGAACTATTAAAACAGGTTAATTCTTGCCTTAAATAGTTTTAGAAAAATATGAGTAACCAAATCGATCAATCCTTCTTACTCCTTTCACTACTCTGCTTCCACTAACCGATAAAAATAACAAGTCGGCATATTAAATTGCCCTATTATATTAGCTCTAAATTGTCTTATGGTGTCAAAAAAATATAATCCATATGATTTAAAAAGCAGTAAATTGTTTCCTATATAATTTGTCACCTGTTCTCTTCGAAAAACCACGATAGAACATACTAGGAGGACAGCATCATATTCTTATCTCTCCCGATTCATTTTCTCCTTCTCCCCCATTTTATATTTTTATGTTCGTGTTTATTAACTATGTCTAAAGTACTTTGAACAAAAAACAAACAAAAGTCAAGGCTAACTATCCGCAATTTCTTTTCCGGCAAAATTTTGACAACCCCCATTGTTATTTTGATATCGAGTCAAACAGCGCGCATCTGCTTCTTATTTATAAAATGGCGTCCTACTCCTAATGAAATTACCTTCTCATTCTATTATTCCCAGCCTCTTCATCCTAATTCTTTACAGTTCAAAAAGTTTCTCGAGCAATAATAACTCCTACCAATTTTATAGAGATTTGGTACAATAAAAACATTGGTTCTTTCATACCTCACTTTTTAGATCGTCAAAGCTATAAATGAGCCTCATTAGAATTCTGTAATGCAGGATTAAGTTGATCTGTGCGAAATTGAATATTCTTGACAAACTTATCGAGAAACAGAGTCCCTTCGGGACGCTCAGGACCTCCCTTAAAAATCCTTAATGTAAATAAGAAAAATAACGCACTATAGGTGTAAGAACTAGTTCACTTAAAAAACAAAACTGTTTTTCACATAACTGCCGAATAGAAGAACCAAAAATATAGGACAAAAAAAAAAAAAAAATAGAAAAAAAAGAGAAAGGGAAACCGTTTTGTAGGAACAACGACATAAATACACCGTGATGAGGAGCCATGGAAAAATGCGACTTCCAATATTGTAATGCTAAAAACCTGGAAAAAAAAACATTTTAACAAATAAGGAGAAATCCTCAGACAATCAACGATCAGACCATTTTTAAAACATTTTTACTATTAGGCCCGGGAAAAAATTGCCCCACTGCCTAAAGAGGGAAGCAGGTAAGTATGCTATTTAGTTATCTACGCCTCAATTTGAACATTGTTTGTTTTAATTAATTAATTGCTTTTCCATAAAAGTTTTTCTAAATTTTTGTGTGTATATTATTTGCAGTGGACAAATTATACTACAAACGAAAAAAATTTTTTGTTAGCGCAATGGAAAACCTTGTGAAACTAATTAAGTTTTCATACCCCTCATTGTGTCTTTGGTGAATCTTTGTTGGGAAAAACTGAGGGAATAGGTAAGATTAAATTATCAACTGAGGCAGATGAGGTAAATAGAAAAAATTCGAATTAATCTGACAAAACATAGAGATATGCACAGAAATTATCAGCTGGAAAATGAAAAACCGTTTTGGAAAGGGAAACAAACAATGTATTTCTATTAATGGAGAATCGCGGGGATATTGTTAATAAAATTTAGCACCTCTGTACCAGAATGTCATTTGGTTTTACCAATATTTTGGACTTTTCATTTCTTGCTGTCCCTACTTTCTAGTTTTCTATATAAAGCTTTTTGGAGGAAATTTGCGTTCAGAAATCTCATTCTTTTTTGTCAACTTTCAACCTGAAGACTTCATAAGAACTATCACTTGAATTCTCTACTTTATACTTAACAAAACATACTGTTAGATCTGAAGTTTACCCTCAACTTAATGTATAATGGTGAGTTTGGTCGTAAGTTACTTAATGACGCTGCTTACAATTTGGTAAATATTTTACTGTTCCACTTATTCACTCCCTAACAAACGATATTTTATAGTAATATACTACATTGTTCTTAACATTTATAATGATTTGATGCTGCTTAGGAATGGAGCAAAGGACCCTTGTACTAAAGGCTAACACCATGATTGAGTGGCATCTATCATTGAATTAACTAATGATGGACTTTTCTGACAATTATAGTATGTTAAAGTAAATGAGCGGGTAATTAAAGAAAGTTGGGAAAGAAATAATATGAGAAAAATTTTCTGATGTCTATTTCAATTGATAAAGAGTCCATTAACAAGTAGAATAAGAATAATATTGAACAAATAAAGTAACAAATATTACTAAATTTTACTGAATAATTAGATAAAAGAATAGCACAATACCTTAGCGAACAAGGAAAAACTTTACGAGCATATTGCTCTGTCCACTTGAACTCTCAACATTCATATTAGTCCACTTGCTTTACCCCAAAAATAATTCCTATATGTTTTAAAAAAAAAATAATGTTATTAATGGTAGAGCGTTAAATGTAATTTGTTTGAAATAGCCAAATTTATGCCTTCCCGTAAAACTTAAAATTTCATATAGAAGAAATTTTTAATCCACAATAAAAGTTAATCTTTTCTTTCTCTTCCTTTCTCTTCTTTTCCTTGCACTAGAAAACACGGAATGAGATATACTAACCACCACCTAAAATGGCGAACGAGAAATTATATAAACAAGTACATACTATCTTGGGTGTGCCACAATTATCCTCTGTCCATCTATAAAAAATTTTGTACCATAAGAGGTCGGATTAAAACATGAGTCCCAATCGCAGTTGTGAGTTATCTATTCTTTACTATTTTTCGCAATTACTTTTAATTAATTAATTGCAAATTCACAAACCAATTCATATACCAATAAGCAATTTATTAACATTATTTTCACAATCCTTACTTTATCCAATACCAACCTCCTTATGATATAGCCATTATTTTTTAAAAAAGTTCTAATTTTATTAAATTGGTATTTAGCCATTATTTATCTTAGTATCGTAAAACATAGAATAAACTCATTAATAATAATATTTTTCGCCTCAACGGGTAAGGTTGCCTCCACTTTTAATTATATTACAAACCAATTTTTAATAACACTTAACGAATGTTCCCATAGAAATCTTAATAAATGCCCCCACATTGTTTTCAAACATACTCGAAAGATTACGACAAGATGTGGACCATAATGTCATATTTTTTTTTACAGAATAAATTAGTTTAAATATAATATCACAACATCAAAATGACATATCTCTTTATTAAAAGAAATAATTTCACCATGATAAATATTCATAATTATTTTAAAACGACAACTAAAGGACTTCCCAAAGAAATACCATGTAACCTGAACCCCCAAAAATTAACATAGGAAATTCGAAACCGCCTGGGAGTAAACTTCAAGTAAACACTAGATTAGAATTTTATTTATTCTCTTTGAACAAACCATTGGTTTTAACAATAAAATATCTTAATTTAATGATACTAATACTAACTATTTGGCAAGTAAGTCTAATTTCGCCTAATCGTAAAACTATAGAAAAACAAAGAAAAAATTAATAATCCCTTATAACTAAAGTATTTATATATATAAACTCCAATAAACTCAAACAAGTAAAAGAAAATGTATATTTAAAGAGTTAACTATGATTATAACTTAGCAGACGAAATAACCCAGGAAAAACGCGTGATAAAATGAATTTATATAAAAAAAAAAAAAATTCTAAATTACGGCAGAGCTCACCAAGTAGAAGAGAATATAGATACCATCTAATAATTTTATACAAAGGTGTAATTTTATCCTAAAAATCGAAACAAATTTTGAGAGTACGAGTTGATGAGAAAAAACTTAAAAGAAATATTAATGTTATATCTAAATACTAAAAACTACCTCCACATATGCATGTAGGCAGTGAGTATCACTATCACAGAATATAACTTAATTCGCAAAAAACTGAAATAAGAGTAGAGATATAGTGTTGAGATACAAAAGTAAAGACAAATATGAGAATTCATAACTTATCATAAGAGTTTTTTTTTTATTAGAAGAAAGTATATTAATCTTAATAATAATGAATACAAATAGAAAACAACAAAAAAAAAAAAAAAAAAAAAAAAAAAAAAAAACATTTGAACAGAAAAAAACTTGAGACCCAATATTGTAATGCTAAAAACCTGGAAAAAAAAACATTTTAACAAATAGGAGAAATCCTCAGACAATCAACATCAGACATTTAAAAACATTTTACTATTAGGGCATTATCTCTGCTTTATAATGCTTCCCTTCATGGAATGAGGACAAACTACACGAAAAAAATTTTGCAGAACTGCATTCATACTATGGCTGTGATTGTGGAACAGTATAATTCCAGCAGATAGTAATTTCATAATCTAAGCAAGAATGCAGAATTTCATACCTGGAAGCAGTTTCTTATGATCAGAGCCTGACAGATGCTTTTCAATTTGATTTTCTGGGACTGCACCTCTTTGTCTTCAAAGTCAAAACTCTTCTATCTACAAACACTAGAGTTTCACAAGTAATAGTGCTAGTTGCTCATCTGACACTCTAACGTTGAGACATGTTCCTAGTGCTGCTGCAAGCCTTGCAGCTAATTGATGCTTACACTGAGAGATTAAAAAGTGGGAAAAATAAGGACTGTTCATTAGAGCATCAGAGAAAAAGAAGTGCAAACAAACTAAATTTATGAATTAGAAAGAATGCAATCTTACGCAAAGTTGCTCTCCTCTGTTTACAATATCATAAAAAAATGAGTAGCAGGCACAATATTGTTCTGGAAAACAAAAGTACTCCTCCTTTCTCCGTGATTCTCCCACCACCTAATCACGACATAAACAAGTAACCCATTTACCAAATTTGTCCATAAGGCTTAAACAATCCAATCTTTTAACTTCTTACTACCATCTTTAAATAATTGCAAAACCAATTCACCAATTTTACACACTTTCAACCAACCGAACCTTTAAAAGTCATGCCATTCAGCTAAAAATCAAATAAATTTCTCAAGAATTGCCCTTTAAACCCATTTTACTTAACAATGCATTTCAAACTCAGACAAGGCCAGTTTTTCAAATTGTAAAAACCACGCATAAAAATATTTCCATATAATACAATTATACACACAAAGGACTAGAATGAACCTGAAAAATGCAACGACCGCTGGGCTCACCGTAGATTCTCTTGACACCTCTTTGATCAACTATTCGAGTTGCTCTCTCAAAGTTTTTACCAAACACGAAATGTAAGCTATGATTAACAGAAACAGAAAGGGTAAAAAAAAAAAAAAAAATCAAATACCCATTTACAGAATCTAATCAAATTGGAGAGTGAAAGTAAATGTATACTACTTACATTGAGAGCTGATCCTCAGTCACTATCACCAATATAAGTTGCAAGTAAAACAAATTAGTTCTTGGTTTTTTGAAAGATTTAACTTAATAAAGAAAAAAGAAAACAAGGACAAAGCTCCACAGAAATAGTAAAGAGAGGACCTGAACGAGTTGACTCAATGGTTTTCCACACCGAGTCTGCAACCAAGCCGCTAGCACTCATCCTTTATTTCGTTCACTGAATCGAAAAAGTAAATAATAAAGAAATTAACGTTTCTGAGGTATTGGAAATTGTCGAAACCCTGGGTTGGAGAAAGAAGAGAAATTGATTGTACTGACCGACCAGTGGGCTCTTCTAATACTTCCCGTTTTCCGGTCTCTCTTTCAGAAATCAAAGCTATGTTTTTCACTCCTTGGACATTGATTTTCTTTTCTTGTTTTTTCTTTGAACACAAGTCCTGTTTAAAAATTTAAAAAAAAAAAAAAAAAGTCACTATTTTTATGTATTTTTCTAGATATTTCTTTTGAATTAATTGACTGAAATTAAAATGTAAGTACTTAAAACTCAGAATTAAAGCATTTAGATAATTACCAACTAACAGTTGATTCAGTGAGATAGAATTTGAACCCTGACAATCCTGGTGTTGTGAATGGAGAAAATTAGATTAGAAGGATTCCTCTGTAGAACCTGAATCCAAATTCTGGGTGGTTTACAAAATATATATATATATATATATATTTGGAAAACTGAAATTTCAATTATGTGTTTGCCAAACTACATATTTGGATGTCTTTTCACTTTTTTTTTTTTTGGTTCTTGGGTAGCAATTAACTCAAACAATTCAATTAAATCAGTACAATCTGAATCAATATGAATGATTATAGAAACAGATGACAATTAAGTAAACATGAATTTAAGATTTCAGCAGTTTACTGCAAACTGGTCATGCAGCTTGTTGCAAACTCTGATACACAAATCAAATTTTTACAACAATATACCAGAACCATACCAACACACAACCGCAGAAACTATCAGATTTTTACAGCATAAGGTGCAGTAACACTATAATTATCCACAAAAAAGGCAAAATGTCAAAAAGCTTGTGTCAGGTTTAGTGTCTCAAGTTGCTCCTTCAGGATTTGAGTCCTACTAAGCCAGCTTTGAAACGCTATTCTCCTTACTACTTGAAGTCAGAATTACTTCACAATTACAAAACAAACACCTGTAACTCCAACTTTGAAAAACTTTGACTGCTTGAAAACTCGCGCACATTACAAAATAAAGCAGTATAAGTAGGAGTTGTATACAATTACTTTACGTGCAACTTCAACTAATTTATATTACCATCACAACCCAAGAAGAATGCTAAGTCATTATTTCCTTTGACATGCCAAAAGGTACAATCAAATTAGCAAAGCAAAGTCTGTGGTCAGAAGATCTATGGAAAATCCTAATCCTTTGAATAATTCACATTGGCCATAAGCAAGCAAAAAGGACCAAGAGATAATCCCAATTAAGAAATTGAGAACAAAGAAATGGGAATTCTATCACCATAGCCACTGCCTAGTATAAAGAAACAAAGAATTTTCAATTCTGGGAAAGTTCCCTGCCACGCTTAGCAGCAGCAACAACAGCATTCATTAGCGTTCCCCGGAATCCACCTTTCTCTAATTCATGAATACCAGCAATTGTTGTCCCCCCAGGTGAGGCAACATCATCTTTAAGCTGACCCGGATGCTTCCCAGTTTTGGTCACTATAGAAGCAGCCCCTAAAACCTGCAAAAGTAAAAGAAAATTCAACCACCAACAGAAATGAATTTCAAGCAAAATGCAATGTTCTGTAGTAATGGATACTTGAAATCAAATCGCCAATAAAACATACTTCCTAATGGACACCCTAAGCCTTGTCCAAAGGAAATAATGGGTCCTCCTAGTATTCATTTTAAGGTGTAGAACAGCCAAAAAATCCATGATTTCAAGGAATTTAAAGAGTTGTAAATCCATTTCCACTAGAGGTAGGCAGGTTCTGGTCAAGCAGACACTTAGGGGGTTTGTGACAAATTCTGAATGCTCTGAATTAACAACTTCTTGAGCTGAGTGATAATGAATTGGAATCAAAAGCTGATTGTTGAATGATTAGTATATGGTGTCATTTTAAAATTATAGGAGCAATTATGTCTTTTAATATAATAAGTTATATATAGCTTATTAAATCAACTCTAACAATAAGCTTTTTCATTCAGACAAAATTCAACTTACAAATTCACATAAACAGCTTATTAGTTCAAATCAAATGAACAAGCTTTTTTTATTATTGTCTGAATGAATAAGCTCAAGGTTTAATAAGTTGTCAATAAGACAAAACAAACGACTTCTAAGTACTTTCTTGAATATGATGATATGTGACACACTAAAGTTTTATTATCTAGTATATTTCTAGACTCACATATCAAATAGTTGCTGATGGCACAGTGCTATATAACATCTAAAGCACTTCTAGCCTCATATTTTAACAAGTCCTCAGAAATAAATAAAAAATTAAACAATAAAAGATATTATCGGAATAAGTTCTAACCAAACCTCGTTTTATTTTTGTATTCAATTTCTTTTCTGTTTTCCGGAGAATATTAGAAGTCAATAATTTCATCATTAAATTCCAATTAAAATCCATGGATGGAGCCAATAAAAAACCTCCAGTTCCGACAAAATATAAAGATAATGCTTAAAAAAGATTAGAAACCAGTACTTGCTGACGCTGGTGGAGACCTTTTTTCTTTTTTTCCTTTTGTCAACTTTTCAGTGGGTCAAGCAGATTTAAATGGCCAGTACATATGGTATCACTAAATTGCAAACTTCTTGAGCATAGATACAATCATTATTAACTTACAGTTTGGGAAGCTAGACCCAAGGCAAGTTCTCGGGGTAGACCTGCAGCCACTCCGCCATCAGCCAAAGCTTCAATTGCCAAAAATACATATGCTGGGCCACTGCCGCTGGTGATTTTAGGCAAACAGAACATTAAATCATCGCGAAGAGCATTTTATTTCAATACGTGAATGCATATCAAGTTTATGCATATTGAAGCCTTACTGAATTACTAACCAAATTCATATCTTATAAGCATTAAAACTATATAAAATTATAAATCATTCCTTACCATGGATATTGATTTTGTGATTTTATTTTCCTAAGGATCGTACCTCAAAGCAGTGATTGCATCAAACAACTTCTCATCAGCTTTCCATATCTTACCAACTGAACCAAATAATTTGGCTATTAAGTCTCCATCTTCTTCAGTTGCGGCTCCACCCAAGCTCATTACTGTTTAAAAACAAGTGAATTAGAGAGCACAAATTTCGTGCAATTTGTATGTGTAAGCCACAAACAATAGATTGCGATAAGGAACTTGAGTTTAAATATATGTAAAATCTCACAAAGAAATGACAATTTGTGGGAAATAAAGAATCTGTCAACATAGCTTTTTTTTTTTTTTTTTTGACTGTCAACATAGCTTTTCTTTTTTTTTTTCTTTTTGAAGCACAAAAACCCACCAATATATTGCAATCAGATTTTTCAATGAAGCAAACAAGGAGAACAGTGCATTTCATATTTTGCTTGGGGTGATGCTTCTCTTCACTCACACAATATTATCTAGCCATTATATCGAAACGAAGCAAAGCAAGCATTATTACCAAGTTTTATTCTAAAAGAAAAGGACTGCTTGGTGTTGTTCTCCCAATAATTATTCCCTTGGCTTTTTTTTTTTTTTTTTTGAAGCAAAAACCACCAATATATTGCAATCAGATTTTTCAATGAAGCAAACAAGAACAGTGATCATATTTTGCTTGGGGTGATGCTTCTCTTCACTACAAATATTATTAGCCATAAATCGAAGAAGCAAAGCAAGCATTATACCAAGTTTTATTCTAAAAGAAAAGACTGCTGGTGTTTGTTCTCCCAATAATTATTCCTTGGCAAGTTCCATGACATTCACCTCTCAAAGCAATTGATTAAATACTCCAATCGACAACACAAAAATGTGGTCTGGAGCCTTTATATTGAGTGACAGAAAATTCAGAATGAGAAACATCATAACAAGCCCAAAATAATTTTTTGAAACATCCAAAGTTACCAAAATCTGTGAAAAGTTCTGCATGAAGCAGTCAAGCACTTATCATTGATAAGAGAGTAAACAGATAAATTCTCCCTCGCAGCAGATTTAGTAAGAAGCAGCTTTTTATCTACCATCATAAAGAACAAATGAACAAATAAATTTGCTGGTAAAATCAAGAATCAAAGACCAGAAAGAAAAGATTTAGCAATGTAAGTTGCCCATGAAAACTCAAGAACAGCTATCTGTACAAACAGGCAATATATAATGATAATGGTTAATGACAAAGAACATGTAATGCTGCTGAATTGATAAGAATGATGAGATGATACAAGATTACAAGTAGCACTAAAAATATAGAAATGTACCTGATGCTGCCTCGCCTACAGCTGCAGGAGTATTTGGCATCACCCTAATAAATCGACTGTGACCAGCCCACTCCTGAAGTAAACCAAAATGAGAATATCACTTACACTGGAGTATATTAGTCTGAAAAATAAGAACGTGAAATTAATCAATTACAAAAAATGAGAATAGACAATGTGAAACAAATCAAATAAACAACTAGCGCTCTGGCATTGCAATTTAGTCCATAGAGGAAGAAAAAAAAAGAAGTTGAAAAGGTCTCATCCTTGGATTGACACAAGGATTTAGCTTCTGGACATCAAAGGGCCCACAAGGAATCAAGCATATTTTTCTTTTTCCTCTTTTTATACCTTTGTTGCCACATATAAATTTCCATCTCAAAACTCATCAACAATCAAAAATTTATCATCAAGATACTCAGACCACAGCATCCACCAAATATTCCTAGGACAATTGGGATGCTAGACTTCTCAAACCCAAGTTCCCTAAAAAGGTGATAGAATAAGATCTTGGATCTGCCAGAGTAACTTATATGGAGAGATTACACTGCTTTCCTCTCCATTTTGATCTGCCCATGAAGTTCCATGCACATACAGATACATCGGAAAAAAGGAAGAGGTCTGTATTTTTTTTTTTTTTTTTTAACATATTTGTCACTTAAGTAAGCTAGAAAACAAGAAATACAACACAAGAAATACAACCAAAATGTAATGAAAGACAAAGTGGTAGAGTGGAAGAAAAGCTAATATCAAATGAGCTGAATTCACAATGTTCATAGCTCCTTAAGCACAAGGTAACTGCAGTTACATCTAGAATTAGCAATTTGGCAGTCCAAGAAAATAAGCTTGATTACCTCACCTCAGCACCAAAAATTAGCAAGTAATTTAGAAATTGGTTCTTCTGAAGAATGACAATTGATTGAGCTGCTTGTGAGTTGTCTGCCCCCCAGTTTTTCTGAATATGCACTGAATAAACTATCCCTTTCAGTGGAGAAAAGCGTGCTTAGAAGAATTGAGGTCCATTCACATGTTAGGGCCACAGATGATAACCAAAAGCATTTTATGTTTGGACCTCATGTCAAGCTTGTGTAGAGTCTCACAGCCAACAAATTATAATATGCAAACCTAATAAACTTTAAACTACAATTGTCAGCAACTGTTTTAGTCTTCTACAAAATTGAAACAAGAAGTATTCTAGCCTCAATTCCGAGGGTGAACGGGGGGAGAGTGTTCTATGCTTCAAGTTGTTACAGAAAGTTACTTAGAAAACCCCAATGTCATCTTGGAGGTACATTCCATAGAAAGTACAAGAGAGAATGTGATCCATGTGCATGGAATATGTACAATGTCAACCCTTGAAGATGTACGTGATAAAGAAAGGGAAAAAAGAAGAGAGATATAGAGAGAGGACGCGCCCAAAACTAAGACCAGCCAAGTTCCAACCTACCCATATTATCTCAAAGAATTGGGAGACTGGGGTTGGAAGCCTAAAAGAAACAATGAAAGTGAAGGAGACAATGCTATTAGTCATAATGATGCAGTAAAATCGTATTGGTTTCTTGGCAGCCTACTAATCAGGGCTAGGTTTGAAATGGATGAAAATGGAGAATACAGTGATTATTTCAGAAGTGAGGACTACAATAATGTTAAATATTAATCAATAAAGAAGTATATGAACCTGTAAATCTTTCAATTTTGTTCCAGCAGCAATCGAAACCAGAAGCTTCTTCTTCGTAAGATGTGGACTCAATTGCAAGACCACATCTTTAACTGCAAGCATACCAAAAAGAAGAATACGAAAATCAAAGGAAAAAAAAAAAAAACTCAAAATCAGCATTGGAGTTTTAAAATCTATTGTTAGTATAAATCCAAAAAGAACCCCATAAAGCAAAACATCCATGGCTGTAAATAGTAATATAGGATAAAAGAGATGCATTGCTAACTCAACATAACGAAGCTTCAACCAATCTAGTACGAATAGACTACACGGATGTTTTCCTTCATTTCTATTTAAACACAATTCTTTGTTATTGAGATGTTAAATGCTCCTTTACAACTTTAACCTACATCATTTTAGCTCCACCTCAAAAACTCATTTCTCAACACCAGTGCACCTTAGACCTATAACAGCATGGTCAAGCCATCTCAATCTGCCATCTATCAAATTGCCCTCAGTAAGTGCCATGCGGCCTCATCTTCCACCTTTGACAAATGTAATAATTTCAATCAAATCCATTATATTTCTGAAAATCCAAGTTAGCATTCCTATTTATGAGCAAAAATGTGTCCATTGATTTAGTCTTCTTTTTTTTTTTCTTATAGGAAAGGTTACTCCAATATTTTCAATGTCCAATATTTCTGATCTATTGAGATATGTTTTCTTATCACTAATATTCCAAATGGAGTTGAAGATGATGTCCAATTCAAGCTTTTGTATGTATCTATAACTCCAGTTCTGAAAGTGTTTTCACACTCGCTAAACCTATAATTTCAAAGTATGTACCAATATATACAAAATCATGAGTAATGATAGAATCTAAATTTATAACGTGCATTTTTATTAAAAACAAAAAAACAACAAAAAAAAACAACTTTTTTTCTAAACACTTCCTTTCGAAAAATTTTTTTATTGAGAATCAAAATTTTGGGTTCCCAACTACCACCCTGTGGATCTCTTTCACCAGCTCTTTCCATCCAAGTTCAAAATGTCAAAGAATTGAACCAAAAAGAGATTTTCAAAACACAAACTGAACCCTATCAATCAGCCAGTCCATGAAGCATTTAAATGTCTAGATTGAGGTTATAGTTCTGCACAACCCAAAAGAAAAAGTGGAGTAACCATAAACCAGAGCTATACCAACTTGAGGTTTTACAGAGAATACGACCACATCACTGTCTTCAACTACCTGTTCCAATGAAAACCATAACCATAATTAATACCCATTAAAGACAAAGTTACAACTTCTTTTCAACTATATATCCCCAACTACTCACCCTTTGTGGTATCTCTTTTTTTCTCACCCGAGCTTCTTTCCATCCAAGTTCAAAAATGTTCAAAAGAATTGACCAAAAAAGAGGATTTTCAAACACAAAACTGAACCCTATCAATCAGCCAGTCCCATGAAGCATTGTTTTAAATGTCTAGATTGAGGTTTTATTAGTTCTGCACAACCCAAAAAGAAAAACGTGGAAGTAACCATAGAACCAGAGCATACCACTTGGAGGTTTTTACAGAGGAATACGACCACATCACTGTTCTTCAACTACTGTTTCCAATTAAAAACCATAACCATAATTAATACCCCATTAAGATCAAAGTTACAACTTCTTTTCAACTATATATATATATATATAATATATATATATATATAATTATAATATATATATTAAAAACAAGGTCAAAAACCATTTCATGGATATAAAACAAGTTCAAAACCATTTCATGGATTGCAACTACATATCAAAAAAGCAAATTGAACTGTAATGTCAAATTAAGTAAATGACTTAAATAGAGTAATAAATGCATAATTACATCTTGATTACGAGGGAGTATTTTGACACCGAAGGATTCAAATGCAGAGCAGCGATTGGGATTGGAATGAGACGTACAGATGCGAGAAGGAGGCAAAACGCCAGCTTGAACCACTCCTTTTGCTATACTCTCAGCCATTTTTCCAGCTCCAATGAATCCCAACTTGTATGTTTCCGTTGGAATGGGAACTCTCTCCATTTTCGTCGCCACAACCACCGAACCTACACCACCGGCTACAATAGCACAGAAAACCCAAGACCGTCGTCGAGACAGAAAAACAGAGTTCGAGTTGTATGTCAACAGACGATGGATTGCTATGTATGCATTTCTTTAAATAATTACTAAAATTTTAATCATTTTATGCAATTTTCCATATTTAACAGTTTCAAAATATAAAATGTAAAATTTATATATAAATCTATTTTATTTATTTTTAATTTTACTAAATTTTAAGTTACAAATTTTTAATATATTTTTGGTCATTTGTATAATTTCGGTAATTCTTATATTTGTGTCAATTGATTATAATTTTGGTAATTTTTGCTATGCATTTCTTTAAATAATTCCGGTAGTCCTTTCGCTGAGTCACCCTTTTATTAACATTAACAATTTGGAAAAAATACACTTGACTCTTTAAATTAAATCCTGATTAACTTCATTCTTCCATTTTCAATAAATAAATAATTATGATATCTCTATAGGTACTTTTATTTAAAAAGTTAATTGTTTGCCGTGGAGACATTATAGTAATTATTAAAAGTAAAGAGATGAAAATGTCAATTATGATATAATTTAGAGATGCAAATTTATTTTGACATAACAATTAAAATAGTATCATTTTTAGCATTATTCAGCTAAAACAAATAATTTCTTTCTTTGCCTTCTTCTTCACCAAAAATGAGCTATAAATGAGATGAAACTCTACGAGAAGAGTATGAGTCCCAAAATAATATCATTTAATATAAGTTTAATTAATTTTAATTTTATAAAACTTGATAAAGTTATTACAAGTTAATGAGTTTGAGAACTCAACTAATTTATTAAACAATTTCAAAGAGTTTGAACAAGCTTTTATGGAATCGAAATTCAATCAGCAAATTGAAGCTGAAACAGTCTTTCATGGCCAAATTATTCTTTTGTTTATCGTCTTCATCGAAAGCTAAGGTTCAAACCATTCTCTTCCTTTTTTTTTTTTTTCCTAGCAAAGTTAATAACGAAAGGCCTAAGAAACCCATTACTGAGTAGTTCATCTAGTCGCACGACTTGTTATTGTTGAATTAGAGAAATTTGAAAAGTGATGTTTGTTGGAATTGATGTTAAGTGCATTGTACTTTTTTCTCTTTCTTTCATGAAGAAATCCATTGGAGAAAGCTTTTTGCTTCTCTACCTCAGAGTTTCATTGGTTTTTATCCACGAATTCGACTGCTCCATTTTTCGGTGGTGGTTGCAAACAATGAGTTATTACACCGAAGATACTTGTAAATGTGGAGAACTCTCAGTATAAAATCCAAAAGTTTGATTAGACACAGACCTAAAATTTTTGAATTTAATTAGATTAATTGAAAAAGATAAGGACTGACTTGATCCTAAAATACTAGGAAAAAGAAAGGTACCAATTGAAGCTTCAATCTTTTTTCTCATATGAGAAAAAAGAAGATGTGGGAAAATCTGAATGCATAACCCTAATTAAGGAAAAAGGCGATGCCAGAATCTCAGTCCCCAAATTTTTATCGGCAACGTACAGCACTGAAAACACTATCAACAAAGTGCATCAGAGACTCTAATTTGTTGCCTTTCATCAGCGATAACGAAATCACAATCTAAGAACACAAATTAATTTCAAAAAAGAAGGCTCAGATGTTACTCCATCGATGAAATCAAGAAGCTTCATTTTGAGATTTCGTAGTTTGATTGCGATTGATAAGAAAGAAAAGGCCTCAGTAGCTAACAATGCTTCGATACATCAACTGAGAATATCATCAGATGGTACGGACAAATTGCATATGCATCACAGGCCAATGTTTGGATTTTTCTCAACTAAAAAAGAAAAAGTTCTCACCTTTACCTTTTTTTTTCTATAATCGCATCCACTCGACGAATGCTGAGTTCGAGCGGCCATTGGTAGGACTTAAATAGCTCAGTACGCGGCGCCTACCAGAAACCCTAATTTTAGTGTTGCTGCAATTACGGAAATGTCCATTCAGTTCCAGGACAACAGCCCTAGTTGCCATTTAAAGCAATAATTTTGATTAATTACGAAAAGTTCCCTAAGTTTAGTGTTTTTTTCAATTTTAGCCCCTTTTTTTAATCAACTAAAAGTTAAACCATGAATTTTTTAAATTATATATCAATTAAATATAAAATTATACCAATTTTACCAAAAAAAATAATAATTACAATACAAATTAGAGAACTTGCCGTTCAAGTATGAATATGCTGCTGCGTTTGGTAGAAAAAAGAAACAATAACTAATGGAGGGGAAATAATAAATGAACGTAGACCTTTTTGTTTTTGTTTTCTAAATATATCAAATTCGTACCTTATTGATATATTGCACTATAGTATATTCTAAATTATGCTTCTACCATCATCCATGACGCTAAAGCTTCCAACTTCGCTGCGCCAATTACCAACAACACAACTTGGACTTGCCTTCTCCAAGCCCAATTATCCGAAAAGCATACTTATTAGAAGGATAAACAATCTTTAAATTCTACGCTAAAAAATAATAGCAGAACATATATCTTCATTATTGAAATAGTAATTGATTTTGCATTTGAAAATTATTTTGTTTTTCTGTTTAATCTTTTAATTAATTAAAGTTAATCAGTCATTTAACAACAACAAATATGTTTTAGAGAAGAACCAAAGAAAATAGTAACAAGGTTAACCAATGCTTTATAATAAATTTAATGCACCATTTATTGTATTTCTCACATTATTATTCAAAATATATAAAAAAAAAAGATAATTTTTCTATTCTAGAAATTATTATTCAGTCTCAATGGATTTTTTTAACCAAAATTGAAAATTTTATTTTTATTGTTTTTTTTTTTCTTCTCATTATTCCCTTTGTCTTTAATTTAATTTTCTAGTTTCTACATTATAAAGAACAAGATAATCCTTGAGTTGGACGGGTCAAAATCAGCATACCTATAAAAATTGAATTCCTCTTCACTAAGAACCTTCCCAAGTTGTTCCTCCCAAGTTCTAAAAAGACAACCCATAATATCAGTACACGTGGCAATATCTCCAATGTTTTTGAAAACTATATAAATGAAAGAAAAACAACGTATGTAAGCACATCTTGAAAGGGAAAAAAAAAATCTTGAAGATAGAAAACAGAGCAAGCAAAAATGGCACAATTGTTCATTAAGCAAGCAAAGCAATATGCAGAAGCCAGGCCAAGTTACCCGAAAGAATTGTTCCAATTCATTGCCTCCAAGACACCCATTAAAGACCTTGCTTGGGATGTGGGCACAGGCAGTGGTCAGGCAGTTCACTCTGTGAGTCTTCTTCTCTCTGTTTCTCTCTCTCAGAACTCTATCATTTTTGTGCCTTTTTACTTTTTCTAAGAATTGGATAATCAAGTTTGTATATAATCCCTTTCATAGTCTCTAACGTGTTTAAGCTAAGAGAATATCAAATTACTTGCTATTTTTCTGATTTGTAATCACTTTCCAGTTAGCTGAGATCTTCAAGAATGTAATAGCCACAGACACGAGCTCGAAACAGCTAGAATTTGCACCTAAACTTCCAAATGTCCGATACCAGCAAACTCCACCAACCATTCCAATGGAAGAATTCGAACAATATATCTCAATAGAGTCAAGTGTAGATTTAGTCACAATTGCTCAAGCCATGCATTGGTTCGACTTGCCAAAATTTTACCATCAAGTGAAATGGGTACTCAAGAAGCCCCATGGAGTCATTGCAGCCTGGTGTTACACAGTTCCAGAAGTTAACGACTCAATTGACTCTGTCTTCAAACCATTTTACGCCATTGATTCCGAGCCTTATTGGGAAGCGGGGCGTAAATGGGTAGATGACAAATATCAAAATATTTATTTTCCATTTGAACCAGTTGAAGGAAGTGATGACACGGGACCAGTTAAGTTTGTAATAGAGAGAGTTATGAGGTTGGATGATTTTTTCACTTACTTGAGGTCATGGTCTGCATATCAAACGGCTAAGGAGAAAGGTGTAGATCTTTTGAGAAATGATGTGATTGAAAAGTTCAAGAATGCTTGGAATGAAGATGGGAGTGATGAAAAAGTTGTTAAGTTTCCTGTTTATTTGAGGATTGGTAAGGTTGGGAATATTTGAGATTACTGTAAGTGGTTAGATGGTTTATTGCATAACCAACAAAGGGTAGAGAATGATAAAGTCATCATGATTCATTTTGTATTGGGAGAGAAGAACAAAATCTTCTTTTTCCTTTAATGAAATTGTTCTATAAAGTTGGGTTTGTGTCTTTTAATGATATGGCAATAAAATAGTATTTAAGATTAGATAATTAAATCAAGATTCTATTAAGAAACTTTAACTCAATGTTAATACTAGTAGCAAGGGCCAAGGGGTGATGGCCTTTTACCTTTGGTTCAATAAATTATTTAATTGTATTTTGTTTCCTCTCCTTGTGGGTTGTACACTCTTAATGGGCTTTGTAACGAATTTTACTACCGTTCATGGGTTTTGAAATTATTGTGACTGCTGTCGGTAGTGTAGAATATATAATATTCACGGCATACAGTAACTTATGGTTAAAAAAAGAGAAAAATAATTTTAATCCTCCAAATATTGAAAATTAATCTAAAAGTCCTGTTACTTTTAAGAATTAACTTCAAAATCCCTTGTTTTTATTTCTGTTTGCAATTTTATAAGGTCCTTCCGTCCAAAAACTAAATTTTTTTCAACTATATGCAAGGGAACAATATAAATATGTTCCTAAATTAAATCATAATTAACACTTTAAGTCTTATTACTTTTAGAAAATCACTATCACGTTTCTAATTTTTTCTGTTAAAGTACGGATCATTCAAGATTTTAGAGATTTCTTTTGTAACCATTTATGTTTTTCACCGTCTTCAAGCACTTCTTTATTCACCATTTTTTGGAATTCTTCAAGATTTTGAGAATTTGTTTTTATTTTTACCATAAAAATTAGGGATGTGATGGTAATTGATGGGAAAAGAAGCTTAATTCTTGAATGAAGGACTTGAGATTAGGACGGAAGCAAAAATAAGGACCTTAAAGTTAGTTCTTGAAAGTAATAAGACTTATATCTTGATTTTAGTATAATTTAGAGACTCCAAATTATTTTTTAAAACAAAAAATGTCAAATAAAAAAGACTTCTTTTTATTTTTTTTATTTTTTTGAATACAAATTAACTTATTTGAAATGTAATATTATCGATAGATTTATAAGAATTTTAATTATAATTTTATAGTTTTTCCTTTCAAAATTGTTTTCTATATAGATATAACTCATAGGCCAATTGAAGTTCAATAATAAAAGAAATAAATTTAGGAATGAGCAAATTGAAAATTAAATTTTACCAATTAAATTTCAATATTTGATTTAGTTGGATTTTAGATTTTGATATAAGCCAAACTAGAACAAAATACTGTGCAAGTCACGAATATCAACTTCGAAGAATATTCAAATACTGAATAGATTCCAACAATTTGGCTTGTATTACTATTTACTAAAGAAGAATAACACTTGATATTATTAGAAATGTCATAATATGTCATTTTGGTAAATCAAAAATATTAACACACTCTTAAATTAATCACTATTTAAGTCGAATTATAAATTAATTCCTAATTCATCCATAACGGATAATTCAAAACACTTCTAACCGATGACATATTATACGACTCTATTAGCTTCTCTGTTGCTGCTTAATTGGTTCTATTCTGCAAATTATAAGTGACAAGAGGAATACGTTTTTATTAATTTTAAATTCTTAAATTTTAATATTTTTATATTAGATTTGTATTTTTGAAACTAATTGTAAATAAACAAAAATTTTTAAAAAAATTTAAATTCTGTATGGAAAGAGGGTCTGCATGATACTATCATATATTAACTAAACCAAAACATCCAGAATTATTAGATGCAATGTTGTAGTAGTTGCTTTGTAGTCAAAAGGGCTATATGGCTTTTGCCCAATAAAATTTTTAATTTTCTATGTATTGACCCAATGTATTAGGTTTCAAAGTATTAGTATTATTAAGCGTTTCTGAAAATACTGACGATACTTATATTAAATTAGTGAAACTCTTATCCGCTAATAAGGAATGGCTTAAACGGTGATCTTCGTAAGACAAGGGATTCCTAATTTTTAAAATCAACATGCGCCTTGTTTTATTTGCTCTATGGGCTAGCTAGGTTAGTTCCCCACATAATTTCTAAGGCTAAATATATCTCTGGTATTTTGCAGCTTTCAACATATATATTCACATGCAATCTGCAGAAAAAAAGAAATTAATCATATCATACCTTTCTTTCCTTTTTCTATTCCCCTTTTGACCGTTTATAGCTATGCTTTCACTATACATTTGATATTACAATTGCATAATTTCGTATTTATCTTGTAGATGAAGATAAGAAATTTTAAGTAAGTATTCAAGAGAGAATTTTCAAATGCATGGGTCAAATGTAGATTGCGCTTAAATTTATCCATAATAAGAATATAGTTCTTAATAAAAGGATACATTGATGTGAGAATATTCATAGTTTTTTTTTATTCATTTCAGAGGTTCAATATGCCGAAATAACACTGCAGACTATATAATAAAAGTAGCTCTCTCTTTAACTCGCAAAATTGGTGAAAATTCTTGTGGTAGAGAGAACTCGAACTTGAGATTCTTCACTCTTTATATAAATAAAAAGATAACCAGATAACATCTGGTTGGCGAGATCTATAATTTTTATTCCAATCAAAAAAGTTTTCTGTGCTTGTATATATGGCACTGAAAATTTGGTTACTTTATCTTTAATCAAAACAGCTCATCACCTCAGTATGCAAGAAAGAGGGTAGGAGAGGATTGGTCACATAGATTTATGACTTTTTATATCTCTCCCCTTTCATGGCACCAGCTTTCTATTTTCCTTGCATAATTTCCTCTCTCTTTACCTTCTCTTCCTTTCTAACAAAACCCAATTCTCTCCTTTTTATTTTATTATTCATTTTCATACCAAACCCAATCATGCATACACTAACCATTAAAGTTATGAATTCCCATTTCCCACACTCAACCACTAAAATCCCAGAAAAACATTAATCTCTTCTCCTTAACCTACATGCATGCATTTCTCCACAGATAACCCCTAAACATTTTTTTTTTTGTTTTCTCTACCAAGAATTCTAGTCCATTAATGGAGTCTCAAGTAGAGTCATCTCTTTCTTTTTCTTCTTCTTCTTCTTCTTCTTCTTAAATGCATGCATTTCTCCACAGATAACCCTAAAATTTTTTTTTTGTTTTCTCTACCAAAGAATTCTAGGTCTTTTTTTTTTGTTTTCTCTACCAAGAATTCTAGTCCATTAATGGAGTCTCAAGTAGAGTCATCTCTTTCTTTTTCTTCTTCTTCTTCTTCTTCTTCTTCTTCTTTTTCTTCTTCTTCTTCTTCATGGAGTGGTAGAGTTCCTCCTCTTTCAGTCTCTCAAGGAACAGAATTTGACCAGCACCATGTGATGGAGGATGAGGAGACATCAGTGGCACTTGGTGAACGCCTGAGATTCATTGACATTGAATGGAAGGAAGTGGAAAAACGTTTTGATAGGCTGGCTTTCACCGGAAAAGCCCCTGAACCGGTCGTGAAGTGGTCGGATTTTGGTTTTTGTATAGGTAACAAGAATTGTCTATTAAGTCTCAAATATTTTGCTTTTCCAATTGAGACAAAATAAGGGTAACGCACAAATTGCATGAGATTTTGTTCATGGCATCACTATCTTCTTTCCCTTTTTGACCAAATCTTTTCTTGAATATTTCTAGAAAAAACATAATGTAATAATTATTTGGTAAATATGATTAGGGTAATTATTTGGGATTTCATCACAATTTTTGTTGACTTCCCAAAGAATTTTCCAATTTCAAAATTGACTTTTTACTAATTTCTATATTGTTATGTTTTAAAAAAACTCATAATTTCAGCATATTTTAATGTTTTCGATTACAAATACAACTGTTTTTTTCAAATATTAGAGAGGGGGATTCGAATCTGAATTTATTACTAGGTCCTATATGCACTTACTACTATGCTATACATTGGGGTGTCACAAATATATATATTTTTTATTTCTACATTATTACACATTTTAAATCCTTTTATTTAATAATTTTTTTATAAAGTAATGCAATTTTAAATTATGTACTTAGCTAAGCTTTATTCAAGAAACTGATTCCTATATAATAATAGAGTGTATGATAGTCAACCATACAAGAATAATAATAGAAGTCTCAACAACTTTTTATTGGTGTGCTTTTTGGGCATCCCTCACTTTTTTTTTTCTTTTTTACACAATATTATTAAAAGATTATCCTAATATTGGTTAAAAAATGAATCTAGCCAACCACTAAATTATATTCGAGGTTATAATAATTTGCATAGTGGTTAATTTCTTGTATCAATACTAATCAAATATGATTTATTAATTAATGTTGACAAAGGAAATAAAAACCCTTTACCTAAAATATTTTTACTACTACTATTTTATTTTAATTTATTTTTTGTTGTTTTGTAATGCTCTTTTTTTTAATTTAATTACTAAAAAAAATATTGCCTTTTTTATTTCTACAGGTATGCAACAATCACCAGAATTTGCTAAAGAGGTTTTAATGGCAATAAGAGGAAGAGGAAAAAAAAGTAAAATTGATATGACAAAAAGAGAACTCCATGGTTACTGGCATAGATTGACTGACCCTTGCTTCAATTCAAGAGTGAAAATTTTCTTTGACATGTAATTTATCAATAATGATTCTGCAAATTCTTTTTTTTTTTTTTTTTTTTTTTTTTTTGAAAAGCAAATTCTTATTTTTCTTGACTGGAATCTTATATATATTATTATATATATATATATATAAATGATTATCCAACCAATATTTCTTGATAGGTTCTTTTCTTCATTCAAATGGTTTTTTTCCTCAGTGTGACCAAAAATATGATGGAAGAATTAATAAATAAATGTTTATCCAACCAATATTTCTGATAGGTTCTTTTTTCATTCAATGGCTTTTTTTCCTTCAGGTGTGACAAAAATATGGATGGAAGAATTAATAAGATGGACATCAAGCAGGTTGGGTCAAATTTCCCTATCTACATATATTATATATTCAAATTATACATTGGAGGTTGCTCACCTAGTACAAGAAAACCAAAGTTTTAAACATGCTTTTTTTTTCCTTAATTAATTCTGTTTGAAAAAAAAATTCAATTCTTTCATTTGAATAAGGTAATTTACAGAACGCAAATACTTTTGAAGTATTATAGGTCATATAATTGGATTGTTTTTTTTTTTCTAGTCTGTATATTGAGCGATGGAAAATCGAATCTAATTTTTCTCAAGTTATATACGTACTTATTATCAAGAGTGCTGTATAATTTTAAATTTATATTTTAATCTAAGAACAAGCATTGGGTCAATTTTGTTCGATTTTCACAAAATTAAAATAATCGAGACCAAAAAAATTTCAAAAATTATTAAAATTTTGTTTTGGACTTTTGACAGAATATTTTGCTGATTGCTTCAACAAATAAATTGTCTCTAACACAAGACCAAGCAGAGGAAAATGCTACTTTAATCATGGAAGCTCTTGACACTCAAGGCCGGGGCTTTATCGAGGTGCTCAATTTAAACTTTTTTATTCATATATTTATAAGGTTTTATCAATTTTAATCTAATTAATAATTAATTTGCATGAAGCTATCTCAACTAGCAGCTCTCTTCAAAATAAGCTTACCAATGAGGGGCTCACTATTACCCAACAGAAATCACAAAAGTAACAGTGACCTGGAAGATCACCAAGATGATCAACCAATCATGTCAAAGCCAGAAGTGTTGTTTCGAGCTCATTGGAGGAGAGGATGGATAGTTGTGATTTGGTTGGTGATTTGCCTGTCACTTTTCACATGGAAGTTTATTCAATACAAGCATAGAACAGCTTTTGAAGTAATGGGTTATTGCCTTTGCACTGCTAAAGGAGCAGCTGAGACCTTAAAATTTAACATGGCTGTCATTCTTCTTCCTGTTTGTAGAAATACCATTACATGGCTTCGCAGGAAAGCAACAATCAATTCTTTTGTACCCTTCAACGATAATATCAACTTCCACAAGGTAATTTTTATTTTTATCTTTCTATCAATATTTGTTTCCGTACAATATATTTCATTTTCGTTGTACAGTCTTTCTCTTATAAGTTCGACCTTATACAGAACCATCTTGTTAAAAAAATATCAACCTTTCTATTGGAGCATGTAAAATATAATCTAATCAAAAGGTTTGCAACCAATAAATACAGTTAATTGCAGGAGGAATAGTGGTTGGTGTTCTACTCCATGGAGGAACTCATCTAGCTTGTGATTTTCCGAGAATTAGTGGATCTAATCGATCAATTTTCCGGCAAACTATTGCCGCCCGATTTGGGTTCCATCAACCTTCGTATGTACAAATATTAACCACGACAGAAGTAGCAACGGGAATTGCAATGGTAATACTAATGGCAATTGCATTTTTGCTAGCAACAAAATGGCCCCGTCGCCAATCGCCTTTGCTGCCTAAATCTGTTAGAAATGTGACTGGTTATAACGCTTTCTGGTACTCACATCACTTGCTCATTCTTGTCTACGTCCTGCTCATTGTTCATTCAATGTTCCTCTTTCTAACAGACAACGTAACTGAAAAAACGGTAAGCATGCATTTTGTTGAAACTTTCAGAAATTATCTATTTCGCCTCCTCAAAATTCATAAAATTATATTTTGCTTATTTTTTGTAGACATGGATGTACGTTGCATTTCCAATCATGTTATACACCGGAGAGCGTTTTGTTCGAGCCATAAGATCAGGGTTTTACGATGCAAAGATTTTGAAGGTAACTCACTTTCTTAAAATGAAATAATCAAGAGCGCGTTTAATTCAGCTAATTCATATCGAACAACTAGATTATTTAAGTACTATAATTATTATATTTTTTTAGCTAATTAAGCACTACGCTTCACTATATGAGCAGGCAAGTATTTATCCAGGGAAAGTTTTGTGTCTCAAGTTGCACAAACCAGAAGGTTTCAAGTACAAGAGTGGGATGTATATTTTCTTACAATGCCCTCAAATTTCTTCATTTCAATGGTAACTAAACTACTTATAACAAACATTTCAACTAGTAATTAAGTGATATTTATAATTTAAATTAACTAATTTCATTATCTTCTTATTGCTTTTGTCCTTTCCCAATTTCAGGCACCCATTTTCATTAACTTCAGGGCCAAAGGATGATCACCTAAGTGTCCATATTAGAACTCTTGGAGATTGGAGTTATCAAATATACAGTCTCTTCCAAGAGGTAATTATATAAATTCACCAATCAACTTTGGTTCAAGATTAATAGAAAGCTAAATTTATAAAAAGCTTCAAGATTTTATGAGTTTTGCAGGAAATATTATCTGGTGGAGTAAAGACGAAGTACCCAAAAATTTACATTGACGGACCTTATGGTTCTGCTTCACAAGATTATGTCAAGTATGATACAGTGATGTTAATTGGGCTTGGAATAGGAGCCACACCTTTCATTAGCATCCTCAAAGATCTAGCTAATTTTGATCAGGTAATTATTCTCCATCTTTCGAATAAAACTAATTTTGTCGAACGTGAATTATAATAATTGAAAGAGTATATTCTACTTAAATTTAAAAAAATTAGTCACAATCTTTCAGTTACTTTTAAAAATATAGAAATATATATTTATATAGTCAATAATTTCAGTCAGAAATCATAGTAATTTATCCAAATTTCTATTACTTAATGGTGTTATCTAACCACATAAAAAGGTATTCTGACTCCATGCAGGCCAATTGTGCAGAAAGCAACATTTCAAGAGGTCCATTAAAAGCTTATTTTTATTGGGTAACAAGAGAACAGAGCTCCTTTGCTTGGTTTAGAGATAGCCTCAGGGAAATATCAAAAACAAATGAAAAACTGGTAATTATTTATATTTAAACATTTCTTTTTCTCTCTGTTTTTTTTTTTTTCTTTTTTTCTAACCATTAATTCCTAATTTTGTCTTTCTCCTTTTAGGCTATTATTGAAATGCACAACTTCTTAACTAGTGTATATGGAGAAGGAGATGCAAGATCTGCTTTATTAAGTCTCATTCAAGCATTGAACCAAACCAAAAATGGCGTTGATGTTGTATCTAGAACTGAGGTAACTCATTTAATTAAAATTAAAATAAGATATAATACTATATTTATTATTATTTATTAAAATTGAAATTGAAATGTCTAACCAATGGAGTTTCTTAGGTACCAACACAATTTGGTCGTCCAAATTGGTTCAACATCTTCTCCAAATTGGCATCTAGACACAGAGGAGAACGTATTGGTAAGCTGATTCCCCATTTCTTTCTCAATAATTTAGTACTAATTTTAATAACCTGTAATTAATAATTTTAATAACAGTTTTTAAATAATAATTTAAGGAAGAAAATTAGGTTGGATTGATTTAATGATTGTTCTTAGAACACTTAAGAAATAAAGAGAAAACAAGATGGACAAGAGGATTTATAATAGTGTAAGAGAGACAAATATTAATTTTTTTTCTTAAGAAAAATTGAGAGTTTGATTGTTATCAATGAAGTAAATACCCGTTAAGAGTGCTTTATTCTTAATAAGCTGATAATTACTTATTAGGGAGTAAACTCAAATGATAATACTTAATTAACAAACTTTTTTTTTCTTTGGCATAGGGGTGTTCTACTGTGGCGCATCAGCACTAGCAAGGGAATTGGAGAGGTTGTGCACCAATTTCTCAACCAAAACAACTACTAGATTTGTATTTCACAAGGAGAACTATTAGACCTCATACATAGAGCGATTTAAGAACATGAAATTATTTCATTATTTTTCGAGTAAATGGAAAAAAATTCATTTATTTTTATTTACATTTCAATTGTAATAATTCTCTTTTTTTTTCTCTTTTTATCGTAGTCAATTATAATCTATAATTAGATAAAATAATAATGGTTAAAATTTACAAGTTATATAGTTATTTAAAAGTCTAATGTCTTACTACTGAGAATTTTAAATTAAAAAAATTTTGAGCTATCATTTTAAATAAAGGTTAATTGGAGAAATATATAAATAAATGTTACTCCTATTTTCAAATAGTGTACAATAATTATTAAAGTTGAGTTTTGCTTGGATTTTAGGCAAAAAAATTTTCAAAAAATAGAAAACATAATAATAAACGAAACAGATTTTATTTTTAAAAGCTATATCCATCGTGTCATTAATTAGATGAATCGATTTTATGTCTCATTCCGACTAAATTCAGGTAGATATTTAATGGATGAATAAAATTTATAGGTTTCGATTGTATATAATATTAAAATTTTCTTTTGCTACATATAAAAATTATTTTAAAAGAGTAAAATTGGTTTATATAATATATGGGGTAAAAAGGTTATAAACGTCATTGTTATCATTCTTAAAAAAGTAATAATAGTAATAAAATAAAATAAAATAATAATAGCATAGTAAGGAATCGTTCATACTTCATAGGTAAAAACCGTAAAAGTATTTACAAATTTTCCTTTTCCATTATTCAAAAAATAATAATAATGAAAAAAAGAAAATTGCAGGTCGGTGATGCCGTGATGGTGGCTTCTCAGCACAAATAGGGACACGTGTCTTTTCACAGAAGTCAATTTCTTAACCCTCAGTCTTAAATCTCTCTTGATTCCCAAACGATCCCATTTCTTAACCCTCTTCTCTTTCCTTGCCTGTATCTCACACAAAGCAATTACAAACACCAAAACCTATATATATAAAAGCTTCACACTACTTCAAGCAAATCACCAAGCTATGGAGGCAAAGATCGGTAAGTTCTTCGATTCCGTCGGCTCCTTCTTCTCCGGTGGCGATCAGATCCCCTGGTGCGACCACGACATCATCTTAGTATGTATTCTTATTCTTATACTTGTACATCTACATTTCAATTACAAATTCAAAAGTGACAGTTGTAGAATTTAGTTTGTAGGATTTGATAGCTGTTTATGAAACTTAGGTTTCTCTTTTCTCCATATTAGAAAATCTTGTACATGCGTGTTTATTGATTTGCTTAGTTAGGTTCATGCTTTGTTGTGTTTTCTCAGGGCTGCGAGAGAGAGGTTGCGGAAGCTGCTAAGGGTGAGTCAGATGAGCTTAAGAGTGAGAGCATTATGCGGTTGTCGTGGGCTCTTGTTCATTCTAAGCGACCAGAAGATGTGCAGCGTGGAATAGCTATGCTTGAAGGTAAACCAAGTACAAAGATAATGGAAAGGTGTAATTATGCCTTGCTTTGCTCAAATTTTTTCGAGGGTTTGTTAAATTTTTTATGATGATGATTTTGGAAATGGTAATTGTTAGTCTGTTCTATCTTGATTGGAGAATAAATAATTTGGAGAAAAAAAAGTTGATGAGAGCAGAAGGATTGGTATAAATGTGGAAACTGGACTCAACTCCATAATTTCCTTGTCTTTCCACTAATTTTAATTTGTCAAAGTACCACGCCCATCTCTGTCATGATGAATTCAAAAGGATAAGCATTGAGAGTTCTTTTTCTCTTTTTACTTCTCTTTTGAGATGGATAAGTTTTTAAGTTTAGGATTTGTTTTGGATGTGTAATCTCTGGATAACAATTAGGAAATGTGGAAATTAACTTATGTGTTAGTTTACTGATGGGATGAATATGGAGAATGATTAGAGTGAGGCCATGGTACTTGAAGGCTGATGAGCCTTTTTCTTTTTGATAAATTATTCACTCCTTTTTTCTCTACATGACAAAAATTTTTTTTTTTAACTTTTCTATATTCTTCTCATTACATCTGAATGTCCTCCAGTCAATTGCATCTTCCTTACTAGTGTGTGACATCTTGGTTACACTATTGAAAGAAGCGTAATTAATTGTTTTGTGTTCCTATTTTTTTTTTTTTTTTAATGCATGGTTGATGTTTCATTTGGTATGCCTAGTGTCAACTGACATAGAAGATACAACTTGCCATTCCATTTAGTAAAATACTCTATTACATGACTCATCAGTGACTCCCTTATCACTTCCCACTTCTGCTAGAATCAAAAAAGAAAAGAAAAAAACAGCGTTCCTTCTTTTTTTCTTTTCAGTGCACGCATGTATTGATTGGTTATGATCTTTTACATAATTTAGAGTTATTGTTATTGTAAAATTGTTGGAAATTTACTTCGACTGTGTCAATTTAGTCAAGATATTGTTTATTTCTCTTTAATGGTACTCAAGCCAGTTTCACTAATCTTCTTTTTCATCTTCAACCCATCAATTCTGCTCGAGTGGTGCTGTTACGGGGAAATGCATATCTCTGAATTCTTCACAATGTTTATGATGTAATTGGCTCATAAACTTACCAGGCAGCATAGGCTATTGAAAATTAGGGGAATAGAAAGAGAGAGGAAAACATTATCGTTTTCGGGGTGGGGTGAAGGTTTCAAGGGGCATGAAGTTGATTGCCATCTGTTGATCCATTTTAATTGAGAATCTATGGAGTTTGTAATGTGTCGGAACACCCGTGTAACAAACTATTAGGCCATTTACTAGCATTTGTTTTGGAATCAGTTTGATGTCCATTATGCTATAGTTTTATCTATAAAACGAAAGTTTTCTCCTGAACCAAATACCTCATTGTTTGCAGCATCATTGTCGAATAGTAGCTCTCCTTTACAACAGCGGGAAAAGATTTATCTTCTGGCTGTTGGATATTACAGAAATGGTGAATATTCAAGGAGCCGACAGCTTGTGGACCAATGCTTGGAGGTCTCTCTCATTTTCTCTCACTTGCATATTTAAACCTAGATCCTGATTCATGGCTTACAAAATAACAACTTATTTGAGATGTGACATTTTGTTAAAGGGTTCAGGATAAGATCATTGTATTGCCTCTTTTGCATTTTTGGGGTTTCAGTAAAATGTCTTTGATTCTTATTTAGAATGCATGGAAGATGTTACTTAATTACTTACCTTGAGCTAAATTGATTTTATTTATTTGGTCCTTTATTTTGAAACTCATGTTTTTATAGGTTGCACCTGACTGGAGGCAGGCTCTGGTCCTCAAGAAGACACTTGAAGATAAAATTGCTAAAGGTTTTTCCTATAAATATACTTGAATTTTTCTCATTCTCAACTTTAATCTAAATATGTTATCAATGCATATGACCAAACGAACTCCCATCGCTTTTGTTTGAATGCAGATGGCATTATTGGAATAGGCATCACTGCTACTGCTGTGGGACTCATAGCTGGTGGAATTGCTGCTGCACTGTCTCGCAAGAAATGATAAAATCTTGGTCGCAACAATGTGCAAAAGGATATGCTTCTGTGGCTTTTTCTCTCTCTCTTTTACATCTTTTCTTTTGAAACATAGAAGAACGTTTAAACTAGTCGCATATGGTCAAGTTGTAGCGTAACAATGTTTAAAATTCTGTACAAATACCTATATATGTTTTGCTTTCTTGATTTGGATTCAGACTTACTTTCATATGTAGATTGAGCTCTGAGATATGAAATCGTGTTGCTTTCTTGTTGAGCTGAATTTGTATTCTTACAAATGTTGTTCATTTCATATAGATTTTGGATATTTTTATGGGTCAATTTTGAAAATATTGTTAGAGAACAATACACAAATATTTCTAGTGCGAATAAAATAATAATATTTTCATTATTTTTCATATATTTGATAAATTTACTGTTACATCAAATAATACAATAATGATATTTTATTATTTTTTTCAAAGTTAACTATTTAGTTTCTCCCTGAGTTTAAATCGGAAAGGAGTTGAAGGATTCAGTTTGTTAAGCTGTTCAGCAGCCCATTTTCCCAATCTTGAGCATCCATGCTCTTTACAAGCATCAAAAACTCTCATCAGCATAGGGGCAGTGGGATCAAATGGCATCCCCTTCACAAAATCCTCTAGCTCATTCATGCACCGATACCGGCTGAAGATTTCTATCATACATTCATAGTGCTCCAACCGCGGTATTATGCAATATTCCTTGCCCATTGAATCGAAATACTGGCTAGCTAACTCGACATGACCCTCGAACATGCAAGCAAGCAACAGACCTTGAATGGTAGCATGGTCTGGCTTAACACCTTCCTCCTGCATCACTCTAAACAATTTGAGTACCTCTTTGCCTCTTCCGTTGTGACAGCATCCCAGTATTATGGAGTTCCAAAGAACCAAATCACGGGAAGATGTGTCTCTGAAGACTCTCAGAGCATAAGCAATATAACGACATTTGCAATACATGTTTACTAGAGCTCCACTCATCACAATATCTATTTCGTAGTTGTTTCTAATCACGAACCCATGTATTTGTTTTCCCTGATCAAGAGCAAAAATGTTTGCACAAGCAGCCAATAGAGTTCCGAAGGTGAAGCTATCAGGTTTTGTCTCCCATTGCATCTCGCCAAACATAACCATAGCTTGTTCACTCTGGTGGTGGCGGGCATAGCTAGTTAACAATGCATTCCAGGAAATGCTATCCCGGGATTGACTCATTTGGTAAAACCAAACTCTAGCACTTCTGAAGTTCCCACATTTTCCATACATGTCAAGAAGCGCATTGCCAACAAGGAGGTTAGAACTGAAACCATGTCTATAAATGAACCCATGAACATGTTTTCCTATTTCGACATCCGAAAGGCCAGCACACACATTTAACAGCAATCTCAAGGTAATTTGGTCAAGGTCTTCAGTTGTCCTGCGCATCGAACAAAAAAATTCCAAGGCCTCATTCCATTGGAAAGAACGAGAGTAGCCTGCCAACATAGCATTCCATGAGATCAAACTACGTTCAGGCATCTCTTCGAAAAGTTCTCTTGCCTCTCTTGTTCTCCCACTCATTGCATAAGCTGACACCATTGATGTCCAAGATATCAAATCTCTCGAACCAGATTGGTCAAAAACCAAGCGTGCACTCTCTATTTTCCCACAGTTAGCATACATTTTACTTAGAGAACATGAAACTGCCTCATTTTCGTCAAAGTTGGCCTTGATTGCAACTCCATGAATCTGCATCCCCTCCTGGATTGCATGCATAACTGAACAAGCAATGAGTGCATTAGAGAAGGTAAAACTTAATGGCCTAACATTTGTATTAAACATCTTAAAAAACATTGCCACCGCCTCCCTTTCATTGCCTGCCTCAAGATACCTCCTAACGATCACATTCCAAGTAACATCATTAGCATTCTCAATCTCATCAAACATCAACCTCGCTTCACTCATAGCCTTGCACTTGCCATACACATCAACAAGTGCACTTCCCAAAATCACATTCCTATAAAACCCATATTTCACTATAAGCCCATGAATTTGCCTTGAAAAAGAAAGCGCCAACGCATCACTACAAGACCCCAAAACACTAGCAAATGTAATCTCATTAGTAACAACTCCTTCCCTTCTCATATCCTTAAACAAATCCAAAGCTTTCTCAGAGCTCCCACATTGTGAATAAGCTCTAATAATTGCATTCCAAGACCCACCATCTCTCTCAGGCATTTCATCAAACAGTCCTTTTGCATCCGCCAAACAACCACATTTCCCATAAGTCTCAATGGCACGATTCAAAATATAAATTGGTGGCCTTGGAGAGAATGTTACCAAATGGGATTCAACTTTTCGAGCCTCCACAATTGCAAGACTCGAAGAGCAAAGCTGGATGAGATGGGCATAGAGAGAATAATCGACAGGGAAAGGAGATGAAAACAGAATTGAAACGGCTTTTTGGAGACGATTGGCTTTGAGATGGTTGAGGATGACGGTTGTTAAGACTCTGGCGTTTTTGGGTTCGGTTTTGGACTTGACAGTTTTGTCAGAGAGAAGCCGATTCAGTTCAGAAGAAGCAGCGCTCATAGCTTATACCGCAGCGCCAATATGCATTAATCCCAAAATCGAAGTTTATAAATCAAGTCAAAGTTTGAACACGTGAATATGAATAAAATAAAATATTTATTTACTCCAAAAAAATACTACTTATAGAAAATGATAAAATTTTTTTTTGAAAAAAAAATAGGAAATTTAGATATTACTAGTTTAAACTTGCAGCATTTGTTTTTTTTTTTCTTTCTTTAAGCATTTTAGAAAAATTCTATGGTTACATATATTTGTTATATTCCAGTGTTTGTTTGGCTAAAGGGATTTTTTAAATTTCCTCCATATTTATATTATGGATAAAACTGATATTTCATTGTGATTTAATGAAAAAATATCTATCTATACTATATATAGATGTGAGAATAGGGAAGAAATAATGAAATTTTCAATATAGCTCTCAATGAAATTTAGAATATCCTAAAATATCCTTAGTCGTAGCTAATTCGAAAATTACATTTTATATCAACCGAGTGTTTGGATGAGTAGTTCGATACTCTTATCCCTTAGGTGAGGTCAAGGGTTCGAACCTTATGGATAGAGTAAATACTCGGTACGAGTACTTTATCCCTCCTTGGGCCGACCCGATGCCCCGATGCGAGTAGGATTTAATTCTAGCATAGTAGACTCGGAATACCTGTGGTTAAGACAAAAAAAAAATTACATTTAATTATTTGATTGGATATAATTTTTAAAAAATTTTTTAAAATAAATAAATATGGGTGAGGTCCAAGGTTCGAACCTTATGGATAGAGATAAATACTCGGTACGAGTACTGTTACCCTCCTTTGGGCCGACGCCGAGTGCCCCCGATGCGAGTAGGATTTAATTCTAGCATCAGTAGACTCGTAATACCTGTTGTTAAGACAAAAAAAAAAAATTACATTTAATTATTTTGATTGATATAATTTTTTAAAAAATTTTTTAAAAATAAATAAAATATATAAATAACTATATATATATATATATATATAATATAACAAAATTAGAAAAAATATATAACAAAATAGAAAAAAGTATATTATTCTTTTTTTTTATGGTTGTATGAAAAATTGTAGGTTTATTTGGAGAGGATATATCGTTTCTTTTATGTAATTTTTTTTATTACTTAATTAACTTATTTATTTATTTTAAATTTGCAACTTAAAATGATAAAAAAAAATAAAATACTTGAATAAGCTCATTAACTAACTAATATTGGATCTTAAAATAATTTGCTTTGTAATTTTTATTTATTGACTTGGCTTTATTTTTTTCCATCAAAATCAAATTTTTATTAAATTATAGCTTTTTCAGGATTATTTTTAAAATTCAAATGGGTAATTTTTTTAATATAATTTATTTCTTACTATATGTTGAGTTCTTAAAAGAGTTTTATTCTTAATAAGAATTTGTTATTTTTATTTTCTTTTTCGGTATTGAATTAATTTGTAACCAGTGTCACTTTAATTTAGTAAAAGATTTATATCTCCCTTGCAATAAATAGATGACTTCCTGATAAAAGATGTTTAATTTTCTTGCTATTTTTTTTATATCCTAAATATATTTAACTTGAAAGAAAATAGTGTTTATGAAATTGAAAAAAATTAAAACTATATATTATATATATATAATATATTATATATATATATATATTTTATTAAGTCATTTTTTGGTTTCAAAGAGGTTGTGATGTTGTATGTTCATTATATTCTTTCCGTAATGCATAAGGTAAGTATATCACTATAGCCAAAATGGATTACCATTATTAATTCAGATTCATCTTATCATTTCTTTTCTTTTATCTACCAATAAAAAATAAGTTATTATATTTTCCATTATAGTTGTATATAGATATTGATTTTAGGATTGAGGCAAAAACTATGAATTGAAGTGATACTTGATTTTTTTTTTGTTTTTTTTTTTTTTTTTTTTTTTTTTTGAGCACCTATCAGGATTTTAAGAATTTGCATTTATAAATTAAGGACTGAATGATTAGGTATAGGGATTAAATTGAACTTTATTTTGAGATCACTTTATTATATAAAAATCAAATCAGGTACATAAAGAAATAGCATTGCAAGTAGCTTATACGACAAGTCTAATACAAAGTAATCAATTGTATTTATTTTAATCTAAACAAAAACTGATGCTTTAATATTATATAGATAAAAAATTAAAAGAGTATAAAAAATGAAAATATAACAACATTGTCAACGTGCAACACACGTCATAAAAAAGACTCGTACTATATATAAATGTAGGAATAAGGAAAAATTAATGGGATTTTCTATTTTGACCTTACTACAATTTAAAATATACTAAAATAGCCTTCGTGATAGCCAATTAAAAAAATTATATTTTATTATATGATATATTTATAAAAATTATTTTTTAAGCCAATCATATGTGGTCTGATTGTCTTCTCACTTATGTGAGGAGTAAGAGGTCTCGAGTTCGAATCTTTTTTTTTTTTTTTTTTTTTTTATTATTTTGTTTTTTTTTCGCTCACTTATGTGAGGAGTAAAGAGGTCTCGATATCGATCCTCGACATGAAGTGTTTTCCAAGTTAGTGAGTGGACTTGGGTTTATGTTCTTTGTGTGTAGCTAAAAAAGTTATTTCGGCCTCAGTAGGGCCTCTTTAATGAATTAAAAAATATATTTATAAATAATATCATATATATAGATTAACATTTTAAAAAATAGTTTATTTGTAAATTATTTTAATAAATATATATAAATATGAAGACATTTGAAAAATAATTGTTTTTTATTTTATTTATATAAATTTAATTATGTAGAAATAGACAAAAAAAAGAAAATATTTTTCTTTTTATTAATATTTTTTCTTATGTTTGTAATGATTTGATTGATGTATTTTTAAAAATAAAATTTTTCAAATAAAATATATATAATTTTTATTAAAAGATATATAAAAAAAGAAGAAAAAAATATATTAATTTTAATAATATTATTTTCTTAATTTATTAAGATTTGAATTGGATATTTTTTTAAAAATAAATTTTATAATAAGAATTTATATAATTAAACTTGAGATGATAGACAGATTTTGAAAATTTTTAATTTAAAAAATAATATAATTTTTTATTAATAGATAATATATATATATATATGCATGAAACAGCTTTTTATTAGGGTGAAATTTGAAAGAGTTTTATTCTAATAATGATTTTTTTATTTCTTTTTGTTAATAAATTTTTTTGTTAGGTGAGTTTTGAAAAGAGTTTTAATCTAATAATGATTTTTTATTTTCCTTTTCATTACTGAATAATTTATAACTCCAACTACTATCATTTTAATTTAGTAAGAAATATATATCTCTTTACAATAAATAGATGGTCTATTGATGATTAAGCATTTTTTATTTTCTTAATATTTTTTTCTTTTATATTATAAATCTATTTGATTTAAAAGAAAATAGCATTTAGGAAAGAAGAAAAAAAAAATTAGAACTATATAGTTTTGTTTGAATCACTTTTTAGGATTTCAAGGATTTGTGTGTCTGTACATATATCTCATTTATTTTCTTTTACATAGGAGTAAAAAAAATTTATTATTATTTTTCGTTATAGTTGTATATAGATATTAATTTGGAGTTAAGGATACGAATTGAAGATTGAGTGATGGCTTGATTTTCTTTTTGGGCACCTATTAAAATTTTAAAAATCTGCATTTATAAATTAGGGACTAAATGATTAGCTCTAGGGATTGGATTAAATTTTATTCTGAGATCACTTGTTTATATAAAAATAGAATTAAGTATATAAGAAGTAGCATTTCAAGTAGTTTGTGCAGCAAAATATAATATAAATTAACCACTTATATTTATTTTATTTTAATATAAACAAAAATTATACTTTAATATTATATGGATAAAAAAATGAATATATAACTCTAAATGTTTGTTTGCTAAAGTTAATTTTTTAAATTTCCTTAACAATATAAAATTAATACTTCATTGTGATTTAACAAAAAAAAAATAAAAAAGAAAGACTAATAATTTCATGAAACTATATTAATATATTAATATATTTACCAAATTTTATAGTTTGGTTGAGAAACTATAGATAAAGATCCATGAAACTAATAATTTCATCATAATTTCAATTCACCATTTTAGGAGAGGCAGAATTTTTCAATTTCATCATTTGTATTGATAATGAAATTTGAACCTCTTAATTTTATTTCAAATATACTCTTCAATTTCAGGGATTTGGTTTTTCAACCAAACAATAAAATGTGAAATTCTCTCTAACTTCTTTGAATTTCACATTCTATCAATCTAGATGAGAACTATATAATTGGAGGATCACAAAAATGTAAAGACTATTTTAATAAATTATTGAAAATAAAGGTCCTGACTAATGTAATACGCTATAACACAAGGACTAAAGAGTAAATAAATTTCATAAATATGCAATGCCACCCAATTCTTATTTCTGCAAATTGTGAACTTGGCCTTTGTTTATTAGTTTCCATAGAGCAGCCTTGGCTTCTTCTAATGTTTCAACCGCATGCCCTTCTTCAAATGATAGCCTCTGTATGTTGAACTAAAAACGGTGGAAGAAACCATATAATCACCAGCAAGCTCCACACCATTCAATGACGAACATGGAAAAGAAAAGTTCAATGATGGTATTACCTGTGCACCTTGACGGACCCGGATATCGATTCCTTTGCTGTCTATTGATATAAGAGCAGCATCGTCTATTTCTGCTTCGGTGGACAAGAGCTCTTTAAGGGGCTTTGAGAAGATTGCATTAAGTTCCTGTAACAAATCCAGATTACCTAATATCAGAAGAGTTATCATATTCATAAGGAACTAAGATGAAAACTGAATTATTCTATCAATTCACCTCTCCTGAACAAGCTTATAAACAAAACTGAAAAAGAAAATACTAGTAAATCTTTTCCATCATCTGATCATTCATAACAGAAGACAGTCTAAATGAATTCATTCACCCAAAGGAGCGAAGAATACCATAATTTCCATTAAATATTGTTTCTATTAAAACGACCAACAATTTCCAAGCTCACCTTGAGATTTTGCTCGCCTCCATCAACTGCAATTTTATCAGGCTTAAGGGCCTCATACTCCTTAACATCAACCCAAGCAACAGTGCCAAAGCCTCCGATAAAATATATGTCACTGGAAAAATAAGAGCATGTAATATGAGACTTAAAAGTTTAGTGTGGTTTAATAACAGATTGAAGTAAAACGAAAAAATGTGGGTGCAACCAGCCCACTGTGGACAAGGCATGTTGGTTAGTGCTCAATTCACCAAAGTCAACAAATAGAAAAAAAGTTTAACACTGTTTTCTCCATCTCAAGAATATCTTCCATCTTATAGATTTACAAATTTATAGTTGCACAAGAAATTCACACTCAACTAAAAATACACAAGATAAAACAGAATAAAGTTTAAGGTACTGCTACTTCCAAGTCTGTATCTGTCTGTGTTTGTGTGTATATAAAGTAATGTTATTTGGTTGTTTACGTGTAGAATTAACTTCATTGTGACACATATCAACTTCTTGTGATACATATCAACTTCATTAGAAAAATGATATGTACAAATAAAAATGCCTTTAACTCGTTAGAATTAAATTCATCAGAAAAATGCCTGTCACTCGTGACACATATCAACCTCTTTCTAGGCTTTCCTCAACCAACCACAAAACGATTTGAATATTTGTCAGCAGTCCATGCTTTATCGTAGAAGGAGACCAAAGTCATCCTCTAAGCATGCCAACAAAATAAGAGTTCACGAAAGCTCTTACACGCAAAAGCGAAAATATTAAAAAGTAATACACTGGTTATATTTTCATGTAATTTTTCCCTTTCGCTCATAGTGCTTCCACCATTGATGAACATGTCGCATATAGTAAAATAACCAAAATATGTGAGGTGAGAAGAAATTTGTCATCCCTCAAATCAAAGGAAGAAATGGAAATGGCACCCAATCAAGCAAACGTGCACCAGAAACAAACCTTATGTTCTTCATCCTAAAGTAATAGAAATTCCCCCACTGTTGCGAAGGCCCTTGTTGATGTTTTGCAATGTACTGCTTATGAGCCCACTCCTAATAGCAACACAACAAGATATTTTATTTTAATGTACCAATAACCAAAACATCCTTTAAACAAGACAATAATAATAAAAGCATTACGAAAATTCATATTTCAGCATAACTTGGTGTAAACATGTAGATATACAGGTGTGGAACAGCCACAGAACCCATAATTTAGTAGAAGAGAAGAAGAAGGGTAAGAAGAAGTGATAGATGGAAAAGAGGGAAAAAAAGAAAAGGCATCTCATTTTTCAAAATGAAGGGAAATTAATTTCTAACCGTTTCATAATCTTGCAAGGAAAACATATAACCATATTTATATATTCCAAATGTTCAACTGCATTCAAAATGAAGAAAAACAGTTCAAAATTGAAATCTTAACTTTGCAGGGAATAAAGCAGACCTATATTATGAGGATACAAGTACATAAACATAAGTATGTGAAATGAAGACAGATAGATAACCACCTGTTGATTTTCTGGAAGTGGAAAGACATCACCAAAGATTGTTACCCTAGCATTTGACAAGCCACTCCATCCAGGTATCTACAAAATCCAACTGTCAATACAGTTTAAAAGGACAAGGACAACCTCTAAGAGTTAAATGATCATGTAGTTAACCTGCACAACGAGCGTGCATCTAGGGTCTGCTAATAAATTTCGTGTGTGGATAGCCAATGGAGAAAATGAAAATATTGGATCTGCACGACAAGCAAAAGCCATCAATGTCATACTATCCAATGCATTATTAATGTCTAATATGAAAAGTATGAGCTAAATACCACCCTAATACAACAAAAGCCATATTAATAAGGTTCTTATACATATATCAAATGTTTTAGCCAAACAAGATAAATGATTTGAAATTTATAAATAATAAAGACCTAGATGGGAAAGTTCTTATAATCAATAGAATTCACAAGCATAAGAAATTAGAAAACCCGCTATATCGCATAATCACACGTCACATTTTCTCAGGAAGCGGAGAAAAATTAAATTGATCAAAAGAGTAATTAAAAGTTTGAAAACTTACGGCCCATTGGATCTGGTGCAAAGTCAACCAAGGAACCAAATGGATATCCTTCTCTTCTATGATGCATTCGAGACATGACAGTACATAGATGAGCAAATCTGGCCTTAATTACAAAGCAAGATAGATTTAGGACTATTATATCAAGCTGAACTATACCAGTTAAACATATTGTAGGAGATGATTAAACATGAGATCAAAGAATAGCCTTCACCTGCTCCATCAAATTGCGGACTGCTAAGGCTGGTCGAGGTAATCCATGAGCTGAGGTTGCACTTTGCACTCCACCTGAAATTGGAGTTCTAAAAAGCCCAGCCCTGGTTCCCCCGACCGCCAAAGGTGTCTCAAACTTCACTATTTTCTCTGCATCCTTTTCATTATTATCCTTCATAGATTGAAAAATGCAATTAATACCAACCAGAGGAGCCATTTGACGTGTCAATTAATTGTCACCATCATAGAAAGAAAATGCTCCGAATATCATAAAAGCAAGTATTACAATTATCATAGGACATAGCAAAACTACAACCTATTTTTACTTTTTAGTATCTAACTCTTAGGGGGGCATGAGAACAATTCGGCATTCCACATGTTGCCACTGCCTCCTATTTTACTTATACAGATCATAATCCTTCGAGGAGATAATAATTGTTTAACATCAGGAACTTCAAATTGTTATATGATGTGCTAACAACATTAAGAGCTTGTTTGGAACAAATGGCATTAAAATTTCATGGAACTCATTAAGAAAATCCACACTTTCACATTTGATATAAATGAAATTTTGAATTCTAAAATTTTTAATTCTATGATATAGTTGTGCTTGAACCAAATCATGTCAAAATTGATAGAATTTGCATAGGAAATCCAAATCGAACATGGTTACAAGCAACTAAAGCTAATCAGTTCAAAGTAAAAGTTGGTAAAGCAAAATATTTCAAATAAATTCTATAATTAATCCAAACCTGAAAAAGAAAAATATGGATAAAACAAAAATAATAATAATAATAACCTGAGAGAAAAAAAGAGACTCATCATCAGAAAGAAAGCTGAACCCATTATCCAAAGGCCTGTGATCTTCTCCTTCCCCACCTGATAGCTCACGTGCAAGAGCCCGAGTCCGAAGGCCTGGAAAACGAGCAGTTTCAGGAAATTTGAGAGACCCAATTCGCTTATCTGATAGGTAGATTATGTCAGAAGAAGAAGAAGAAGAAGAAGAAGAAGATGAAGAAGGAGAAGAAGCATATGAAGAAGATGAGGTGTTGATAATTGGGACTGTTTCAGGGAATCTAGAGACGAACATTGAACTCGAAATAGATTCCATTATTATTCAGCAGATAGACAGAGATACGAGAAGAGAAGGGTTTTGAAGAGGGTTTGATGCCAGAGACAGGAGTGAGGTTCTGTAAGAAACACACGAATATATTTATATTTTCATATTATTTGAAATTCAGTCGCTTGCATCTTCTCTTTCCGGTTCAGCCCTAATAACTATTTCGTATTGAAGCTTTGCTAGAAATTAATAATCACATTCCTACTTAATCACTTATTCCGTCCTTGATATTTACCGCTATTTATCTATTTAATCTTTTCATCAAAAACTATTATTATCTCTGTTTCATAATATTTATCACATTTTTTATTTCACATTTTTTAAAAATTCATTAAATTTATCTAAATTGCGATAAACTATTGAATAAATTTACTATATTACTTTTAATTTAATATTAATTCTCTAAGAAAATTATTAAATTAAAGTAATAATTATTCGTTATATACAAAGGGTAAATATGAAAAAAAAATATTTATTACTACTTAAAACTACAAATGTGACAAGTATTATAGAATAAAGATAGTTTATTTAGAGTTTAATATCCTATATAATATTAACTATTCAATTATTCATATTTAATCTATTTGGAAAGTATTTTAATATTTGTGCATATATAAAATGAGTCCGAAACACTGTTGACAATAAATATATTTAAAAAAATTGAAATATTGGATAGATTATATTTAAATATGTTGTTATAATTTACACAGATTCCTTTCCTAATTTATTTTAATATCTCCATGTCTAATATTATATTATATATTGTACGGCCGCTAATTACAATATTCTCGTTTTATTTAATTTATGGAAAAAAAAAAGTCTTGAGTTATAGTTAAATTAATAAATGAGAATATCTATTTAAAAATTAAAAAAAAAAGGAAAATTTTAAGTATTACGGAAACAAGTCGAACATATATACTACGACATTTTGTTTTTTGTATTCCACTCTTAACACTGCATTAATGAAACACTTGCTGAACAACAAAGAAAAAACCAGAAACAGAGAACCCCTTCATAAGTTCTGCAACAGCAAAAATTAAGTACAGGAATAAATACAGAAATACGACGACGATTTTTATGCTCTGGTGTTAATCTGAAGTGGCAAGGGCCGACTGCAATACATCTTCAAGATACTTTTCAGCAGCAGCATACTGTCGTTTCTTATCCTCTATTGCTAAAGCAGCTAAAGTTTTATCCTGAAGTAATATACAGTTAATTAATAAAATAATTTAAAAATCTTCTATCTTGACATTATAAAAGAAGGATGCATGATAACAATTTTTATATTGTAAATTGCCAATTTACCGGTGGCAAGTCTTTGTAACTCCTTAAAGCATCCATGATGGGCTTGGTTTTCTTCTCCAACTCTTTTCTGTGTTCAGCCATTTCAACAAGCACTCCATGGCTGATCTCTGGTGTGTAGCCCACACGATTAAGAACTGCCTGTTCAGAGAACAATTCATGGCAGACCATGATAAGAAAACATCCACAGAGAAAAGCAAGGAAGTAATGCATTTAAATTATCACCATGTAGATGGCCTTAATAAGAAAATCAAAGTACAACATTGAAACTTCATCTGAATTCTTATAATCATTTACTGATTATCAAAAATACAGAATCTCACTCAACGAGGATTCAGATAGATTTCTTTTCATTGAATTCTGTCTCAGGTGTAAGACATACCAGTATACCATATTTTTTAATTGACTAGTATTGATGTTTTTGCTGCTTGTAATTGTCATAATATATATATATTCCATTGTACCCATTATTTCAATTCGAACTCATGATTTTATAGAATTTAGCCTTGTCCATTAAATGCTATTCAACCAAGAGTGTTCACAATATGTTAACGTACCTATAAATGCTCCTAGCTTGACTTCAACTCATTCTAACAAAACACTGATTGTCCACTATATAAAAATCAATACCAAATATTGAAGTACAGTTATAAAAAGGCAATTGTAGGAAATCTCTCCTTTAACGATGATGACAACTGTTCATTTTTTATACAACAACACATATGTCCTCTAAATATTCATAGGAGCGCAAACTCTCTTTCTTTTTTCCTTTTTTTTCCTTTTCAAACAAATGTACAGTTTGAGTTCTTTCAAAACCGTCAGTCCTTTCTTGATTTCCTGATAACAGCTATTAGAAAATGCATTCTCTTTCAAATTTCTAGTTCAATGAGCTCAATCGTTCCTTATGAACAAACCTAACCCTGCTCATGGGCAAACATTCTTCAATAGACAAAATAGGAATTTGACTAAGAAATGCAGACTTTCCCAGAAAGAAAAAAATAAAAAAAGGAAAATGAGAAAACATAACAACACAGAACTGTATAGCTTTGAAACCTTCAAACTAGCCAAGCAAGAAAGAGGAATTCAATCTCCAAAAATATAATATAATCTCATACTCCCTTTGCTTTTCAACAATTAAATCATTTAATACAAACATGTCACAGTGTCAGAATAGCTAACATTTAAGAGCAGTTGTGGTAAACAGAAAGGGACCAACGAAACCATTTAATGGTAGTGCAAATCTTTTACTTAATACTCCTTCCACCAACAACGAGTGTCCACTTAGCTATTTTGGGATGTCGCAAAATGAATGTCCACTTTCCCTTTTAAGATAAAAGTCAACAAGTTTAAAGATTGTTTTCTCAATAATACTCTTCAAAAGATTCACTAAACTCTTTGTCATTTTTCCCACTAAAACAATTATTGAGAGTAAATTTGGGAAAATAATGAAAATAACCCTTTCAAATGACTTCTTTTAATCTCCATGCCGAGACAGTAAGTATTGGACAAAAGGAGCATATAGATACTCAAAGAACCTGACCAAGGACATGGTAGCTGACCTTTAAATATTAGCACTATAACTTAATTTTCTATCCGGGCAATGATGACAATTAACAAATGATAGATACCTTGTAGTTGGAATACTGCTGCAGATATTGACGCTCCTTTGATGCCATAATTGCCAAATTTGTCTTCCAGTTTTCCATTTGAGCTTCACTGGGAGCTACATCATCCTCAAGTTGTGCAAGTGTTCTAACAAAGCATATTCAGAAAATATGAGAAATAGAGAAGGAGAGAGAAAGAGCATCCTTTCATGAAATTGAAACACCAGTTTTCTTAAAATAGAAAGATAGGTTTAAAGACAGATTAGCAGATATAGTAGAGCAGAACTTGAAATATGCTTGAAAGAGAACCTAAAGTTACATGTAATAATTTACCTTTTTAGATAGGTAAGCCTTGCTATTGCCTTCCGAGTATAATCAAGAAGAATTTTAGACTCCTTCTGTGCTTTAGCTCTCTTTTCCTCTACTCCAGTCTTCCTTAAGGAAATATCCCCCATTGCTACAAGAAAACTGTACAAAGTAGTCCAGTTAAAACTACAAACACCAAAACAACAAAATAGAAAATAGAATTTAAGAGGCAGATTAAAGACACACCTACTTAGTTCAGTATCTCTTATGTTCAACAAGTTTGCCACATTTGCAAGAACTTGAGCTGAACCAACTACATTTGAAGGCAAACCCTCTTGTGCTAATTCAACACCCTCCAATATCTCTCTAATCCTTGCAGCTATAGCCATGAAATCAACCAAATAATTGTTTCACAAATCTAAAAAGCATAAATAGCTATATCTTATAAAATGTAAATAGCCACATAATTATAATGAACAAAAAAAGAATCATAATAGATCAAACAAATCCCACAGCAGATTAAATGCAAAAGGCATAAATTGACGAGGAAAAAAAACGAAGCTTGAACATTAGAAATACCCAAATCATTACAGTAAACAGCGAAAAAAACAAAATTAAATATTTCATAACAAATGAAACGGAAAGCCTAACAGATCAATTGTCAAATACACGAATCATAAAACAAAAATGTAATCTAACATAAGAATATATGATAACCTTAACAAATCATTACAAAAACAATAAAAGACAGACCTTGGGCACGATACTCAGTGGCCTTCAAGCGGAAATCGTTAGCGAGAATATTAGCAGCCTGCGTCTTAGCTTGAGAAACAGAAGCCAAATTGTACAAATGAGCTATGCTTCGAGAAGTATATTCAAATTCAGGAACCTCTTTTCCAGCGGCATCAAATTGAGAGGCGAGCCAAGTTTTCACCTCTGCAACTTTAGCACCATCGCTGCCGCTTTTCGCTTCAGTTACTGGAGTATCAACCCCAGAAATTATATCGCTCATTTGATTCTTTTCGAATTTGCCAATCGGAGTTTCTGTTTCGGATGGGAAAGAGAATTAAAGAGTTGCTTTCTCTGCCGTTGGAGCCTTGGACATGGAAGACGAATTCTTCCTTTAAGCAAAACGACCGTGTTTCGATTATACTACGGTCTACGGATTATTAGCAATTTAGAAATGGATTTTTTCAAATGCAATTTTAGCGCCTAAACAATATAAAATATTAAAAAAACAAATAAATAAATATATACTTATTATGTTTCTTTGACAAATTCTTTTGCATAATATTTAGTTAATCTATATCTCATTAAAAAATAATTTGTAGGAAACATGAAAAGGCAGTTAATTTCAATATTTCATAGGGACAAAATTATAATTTTCTCTTTTTTTAGCTCGACTTGTTTATAAAACTTGAACTTTATAGATTTAAACTCAGAATTTAATTCGTTCAATTGAATTTCAAATAATTCATAAACCATTTCAATCACTTAGACCATATTCTACAACAAATCTTTTTAACATTTTGATCATAATCAAAATTTTATCTCTATTAATTGTAGTGTTTGATTGAGTTTTTTTATGAGACATTTCACACAAATTAATTAAATTTTTTTAACAGACCATACTCATTATTTTTTTTTCGAATTTAACTAATAAAACAATTAAATTATTTTTATCATTTTAAATTAATAAATTATTTTTATCAAACATTTCTCGTTCTATAAACAGCGACTATAAGAACTAACAAGCGCTGAAAACAGACCCTTACAACCTTGTTTTTACGCATTTGAACCAAGCTGGCAAAAACTAGAACCAGAAAGAGTTCACGGGTGTACGAGTACGGATATTGTGGTGGAAAAATTAACAACAAACTGTGGCGTGAAGACGACCTAACAGACACAACCCCACGTGGATACCATTCAGTTATCATATGATCTGGTTGTATCATTTGTCTATTTAATATGTTTGTTGGGGGCACAAAAATACAGATCATCGTTCCATTTCTCATTGGTACGACGCAGTACTATTAACTTATTAAGGTTTAATTCTATGAAAATAAAAATAAATATAAAAATTTTGAACCTCAAATTGGATAAATAAAAGTTTATTGATTAAATTTTAACTGAAATAAAGGAAATCTCAATCAAATTCAATGCGAAATTAATGTGTGTGATCGTCTCTCTCTAATTTTTTTTTTTTTTAAAGAGAAACAATGATATATTCATTGCAAGAAAAATAATTCAATAGATAATTCCTAAGATAAAAACCGAGTATGACGGTAAAATACTCTTACAAGAGAGTGAATACATGTTAGGATACCGGTAATAAAATTACGAAAATAATTAAACAGAGGAAAAATAGAAATGAGACACAAAGAAATTTACGTGGTTCACCCTCAACTGTTTAGGGCTACGTCCACGGGACCAACTCCGAATATTTCTTCCACTATCAAAAATAGTAGGTACACAGAGAGTAATACAAAATAGTAGCACTCACAAGTGTTTCCCAAAACACCCTAATAATCTTCACTATTTGTCTAAACCTTTAGTTTTAAGAACCCTCTTAAAACTAAAACTCTCTATTGATCTCTCACTCGTTTTTTGTTGGTGCATTTAAACTGAGAAACATCCTCTCCTATAAATAGGAGAGGGAATCTCTATTGTATCTCTCACTCGTTTTTGTTGGTGCATTTTAACTGAGAAACATCCTCTCCTTGAAATAGAGAGGGAATGAGAGAGTCGTGTGTTTAGAGAAATGTTCTGATTATATGGCAGGAAAGCAGAATAGAGTAGCTTTCAAGATTTCTCAGCCTTCCAGAATGAAGAATGTGTTAGATCTGGTGCATTCAGCTCTATGTGGACCATTGACGATGTCATATAGTGGAAATCGATACTTCGTAACATTTATCGATGACCATTCTAGGAAGACCTGTGTGTACACTTTGAAGTCTAAAGATCAAGTTTTAGATGTTTTTAAACAATTTCTAAACTTGGTTGAGCGACAAACAGGCAAAAAGCTGAAGTGCATTAGAACAGATAATGGTGGATAATACACTGGGCCATTTGAGCCATTTGATACTTTCTGCAAAGAGCATGGTATTCGACATCAAACAACACCTCCCAAGACGCCGCAACTGAATGGTTTGGCTGAGAGGATGAATAGAACTTAAATGGAGAGAGTCAGATGTTTATTCTCACATGTAAAGTTGTCTAAAAGATTTTGGGGGTGAAGCTCTTCTTACAGCAGTTCATCTTATAAATCGTTCACCTTGTGTTCCTCTTCAGTATGATAATCCACAAAGAGTATGGTCAGGAAAGAATGTTTCCTATGATTACTTGCAGGTGTTTGGTTGCAAAGCATTTGTGCATATTCCTAAGGATGAGAGGTCTAAGCTTGATGTCAAAACTCGACAATGTGTATTCATTGGCTATGGCCAAATTTTGGCTATAGATTTAGATTTTATGATCCAGTCCAGAAAAAGATGATAAGAAGTAGAGATGATGTATTTGTTGAAAATCAGACTATTGAAGATGTTAAAAAGACTCAGAAGCAAGCTGCCGATAGATCTGAAGATGATTCAACAGATGTGCAAATAGTTCCTCCAGCAACAGAAGAAAGACAAGTTGGAGATGAAGAAAATGTTCCACAAGAACAAGAGCCAGAGTTAGAAAATTCAGAAGTTCCTCATCAGAATGAACCAGAAGAAGATTTTGATGGTGTTCATGTACAGCCACCAGCACCGGAAAAGGTTCTCAAACATTAAGAAGGTCTAGTAGAGTCAGACAACCATCTACTAGATATTCAACAAATGAATATGTATTGATGACTGACGGGGGAGAACCTAGATGCTTTGAAGAAGCAATGGAAGGTGAACACAAAAGGAACTAGATTGAAGCCATGCAAGATGAAATGAAATCCTTGGATGAGAATAAAACATTTAAGCTGGTAAAGTTGCCCAAAGGTAAGAAAGCTTTGAAGAACAAGTGGGTGCTCAGGATCCAAGTGGGTGTTCAGGATCAAGCAGGAAGAACACAGCTCCCAACCACGATTCAAAGCTAGACTGGTTGTGAAAGGATTTAATCAAAGAAAGGGTATAGATTTTGCTTTTCACCAGTTGTGAAAATGACATCCATTCGGACAGTGCTCGGAATGGCCGCCAGTTTTGATCTAGAAATCGAGCAAATGGATGTAAAGACTGCCATCCTACATGGAGATTTGGAAGAAAAAATATATATGGAGCAGCCAGAGGGTTTCATAAAAAAAGGGGAAAGAAGATTGTGTTTGTAAACTGAAGAAGAGCCTGTACGGCTTGAAGCAGGCACCAAGACAGTGGTACAAGAAATTTGAGTCTGTTATGGGGGTATGGGGGAGCAAGGTTACAAAAAGACTACTTCAGATCACTGTGTCTTCGTAAATCAGCTCTGATACCACTCGTTAGGCATCAGCTCTGATACCACTCGTTAGGCATCAGCTCTGATACCACTTGTTAGAAATCAGCTCTGATACCACTTGTTAAGATACCGGCAATAAAATTACGAAAACAATTAAGCAGCGGAAAAATAGAAATGGGACACATAGAAATTTACGTGGTTCACCCTCAACTGTTTAGGGCTACGTCCACAGGACCAACTCTGAATATTTCTTCCACTATGAAAAATAGTAGGTACACAAAGAGTAATACAAAATAGTGGCACTCACAAGTGTTTCCCAAAACACCCTAATAATCTTCACTATTTATCTAAACCCTTAGTTTTAAGAACCCTCTTAAAACTAAAACTCTCTATTGATCTCTCACTCGTTTTTTGTTGGTGCATTTAAACTGAGAAACAAGAAAACTCCTTCTCCATTAATTTCGTAGGAGAGGGAATGAGAGAGTCGTTTGTGTTTGTTACACACGGCTCTCCATTAATTCGTAGATATGGTTGCCGACCTTTGAATGGTTGAATTTCGTAGTTGGTTGCCGACCTTTGAATGGTTGTCAACCAACCTTTTGTTTTTTCAAACAACACGTTTTTTTTTTCTCTTTATTATTTTTTTTCTTTTCAAACTGTGTGGATCCCACTTGAGTGGGCACACCACCACCAACAACACATACATTAGTTTGTCTTTCAATCCACTTGTCAGAAATATCAAACCTAGAGACTAACATTGCTTTATAGTCAGTAATCACGACATTAAACTCAAAATGACCAGTAACAGTTGATCGTTAAGCAAAAAATACAACCTGAGATTCAATATAAATAAAATTTTAGTAAAAATAAAAATTTAGAGACTCAGTATCAATAAATAAAATTTTAATAATTTAATGGATAAAAAAATTTAATTATGTTTTTATTTTAACTTGATAACTGTTATATTGCAAAGTAATTTGAATTCTCAAAATTTTTCACTCCTCATACTATCAATAAGACTAACTAGACCATACTCATTCTTCACATTGAAGTGATTCCAACTATACTTGATTAACTAATAAGTGATTCCAACTAATTCCATTTATACTAAACTATAATAAGTACTCAGTTATAATATAATTGTGCTTGCTTTGCTTCTAATTTCCAAATCACATTAAAAACAAATCATAGGAATTTGGTCAGCACTTTCTAAAATAAAGAAAAATAAAGAAGAAGGAAAGTTTGAATATATATATATAGAGAGAGAGAACTTAGAAATAGATGAAGATTGATCCAACCAACCTCTTAAAGAATGTGAACTATTATTTGTTAGACGACAAAATGATTGAAAGAAGCGAATGAATTTAATAATCTCGAGGGAACATTGCAATATTAAATATATCATACTTTAATTAGAAGGTTATCTTTTAAATTCAATCCACATTTATGGTAGAAAGTGACAATAGATCAATTTAGTTTAACGATGGTATAATGATTTTTTTATTTATTGAAAGGCTGACCGATCTAAGATAACACTATATAATAAAATAATTTTTTTTAAATGTACTAAATTAGTAAAAATACTGATAAAAAATTGACGACAATGACATAAGTATTAATAATTGAGTGATTTTACTATTTACTTTTTTTGGTTTCAAAGTATTAAATTTTTTTATTAATTATTAATAAATTATTATTATTTTTCCTAACGAATGCATGAGCTAATTACGATATATGACATATAAAAATATATAAATGACTGAATATTATTTAATCTCTAAGTTACTTTAAATACAAGAGTCAAAACCTCTTGTTTCGTTTCTGTTATACTATTTATTTTTTTAATTAACAAATTGACAAAAATAATTTACTTAAATAGTGTAAAATTGAGGACTATACAATTAAATTCTTAAAATATAAATTTTAATCAATGTTTTGAGTATAAAAGGATTCAATTTCAATAATTTTTGCTTATCAATGAGTACCGTTTAACGATTTATTAGAGTTTAGCGTGTAAAATTACTACTACATATATGATTTAGAAAATAGAACGAATGGTATCTACACATTTATAGTTGTATTAAATTTAATATTACTAATAACTATGACATTTATTTACTTTGTTTTTAATTTATCGGATCTTTATAATTACATTTTGGCCATCAATTCTATAAATAAAATTTATTTAACGATGCAGTTCATTTTGCTAATCTAAACCATTTATTGGTTATATTTATGTGAAATAATATATGCTTTTATTTTATTATTATGCATGAATATCAATTTTTTTTTTGATTTTTCACAAATATGAGAAAGAAAAATTAAAAACTTGAAGTAAAATTACCTAAAAATTTTGTTGGATTGCAAGTTTCAATTCCCAATTCAAATCAATTCACCACAAAAATAATCAATCGGTAGAAATGATTGTGATGTAGAAAATACAACTAGGCATGCTTTTCCAAACTGACTTTGAAAGAGACTATTTTGAATAAGATAAAAATTCTTCTGACCATTGCCAAAATTTTTATTATTACTTTAAATTCATGATTTTCTGTGCTTAAAAAAACGAGAAAATAGTTTTATTTGGCTAAAATTAAAATCCAATAATAATAAATTTGTAGAAATTGGCAAGTTATTTCCAACTTATATTTTTAAATATTTAAAAAAACTCATATTATAAATAATGTAAAAGAAAGATATTTATAAAAAAAATATACAATTTCTAAATTATTTCCTACCATAATATGATGGACCGCAACTATAGAAAGACAAAAATTGTATTCCAAACTTGTCCTTTCAAGAAAATATTTCAAAAATGTCCTTTCAAGAAAAATTATTTCAAAAAAAAAAAAAAATATATATATATATATATATAAATTATAAAGGAAAAATAATTCGTTACCCTAAAATCTTCCTAAGATAGTAATTTCATTGGAATTAAATAAATTCGTTACCCTAAAATCTTCCTAAGATAGTATTTTCATTGAATTTTGAAACCAAAATTTTTTAAATTGAAAATTCGGGTATTACATACGTTGAAGTTCTTTAACTTCATATCTATTATTAATAATTATATATGTAATTGGATTTAATTTTTTTTATACATTAGAGCTCATCACATTATTTTTAAAAATGTTTAGAAATTACATCATATTGATAATTTTTTTTAATTATTCAAAATATAAATCCAATTAGTTCCATGAAAATTAAAAAGCAAATTTAAATATCCAAGCATTTTCATTTTCTTTTATATTAATTTTTTTTTACTTTCTAAATATCAAAAGATTTGAGTTGATTTAATATATTACAATAAAAAACATAAGTTGAAGTATAAATAAAGGAAAATTTACCTTAGAAACATCCAAATGTGGCAAGGACTGCCAATAACTAACTAAAATGTATTTTGATTCAAATTTTGCACTATTTCTGACAATTCTACTTCCATAATTTTATCTATAACAAATTCTAAATAAATAAATAAAATAATTCTCACACAAAATAAAATATCCATCTTCTTCCCCACCCAACTCCCTTGAAAGGTCTTTCTTGCCAACTAATACCCTCTCTCTCTATAGCCTCCAAACTCCAACGTCCTCCAACTTCTGCCTCGTTTTTATCTTTTTGTCTCTAAAAAGCAACAAAAAAACAATATCTTCAAAAGGGTACATTCATAAATCCAAAAAGCACAACACCAAATCAAAAAGTTAAAAACTTTGATAAATTACGAAGTTAAAAGAACCAAAATCTTCTCAAAAAGCTTCTTCATCAACAAACCACACAATCCCCAAAGCAAACCACCAAAGTTAAGGAAAAAGAAGAAGCAGAAGCAAAAGAACAGTCTAGAGACAAAGACCTATCCATATTTTCTTGATTTCTCTCCATTCATGGGCTGTTCTGCTTCAAGACCCAATACTGTTCTCTCCAAGAACAAAAACAACAATGACCCTCTTGAAGAAAACCATTCTTTAGATTACTCTTTTTTGACTACTTCTTCACAACATTCCCCGTCTCCGATGCCTAGAGCTCTTTCTCTTCAAACCCCTCTTGTTCATCATCCACCTTCAAGAAAAGGTGATTCTCATCATCTTGTTTCTCTTACTTCTACTACTTATGGCTCTCTTCTCCTTATTGAACCCATAACTCATCCCAAATTCCCTGATCAGACTCAATCGCCACAAAAATCCACCATAAACAGTAATAAAACCTTGATTCCAGCTGACCCAGGGGAGTCTCTTTCTCCTGACTCAGTCATCAACACCTGGGAGCTAATGGACGGTCTGGATGAGTTGGATTTCGAAATGGGTAATTCTAATTCGAACAAAAAATCATCAATTTCTGATGATTATGTTCTAATATCCCCCAAATCCAACTCATTTCACCATCTGGGCTTTGATGAGTCTGTTAAAAAGCTTAATGATTCTTTTGATTTTGTCAAATCTGAAGAAATAGAAGTCGATAAGTCGTTTTCATTGTCAAAGCCTTTATGGAAGCATTTATCAGAGGAATCCTTTCTTTCTAATATGGATCCAAATGTTGTTTCCAGTTACAGGCGTGCATTATCATCAAGGCAATTAGGCTACACTAAAGAATCCAAAAGTATAAAATCAGTTGGTTCTAGTCCCATCAATTCTTCATTCAAGAATGGGTTCATTTTCCAAGATAACAAAATTGTTCTATATTATACAAGTTTGAGAGGAATTAGAAAAACTTATGAGGATTGTTGTGCAGTAAGAATGATATTCAGGGGTTTTCGAGTTCCCGTCGATGAAAGAGACATTTCAATGGATTCTTCATATAGAAAAGAGTTGCAGAGTATGCTTAAAGGGAAAGCAATGAGCTTGCCACAAGTTTTTATAAGAGAAAACCATATTGGTGGAGTAGAAGAGATAAAGCAGTTAAATGAAACAGGTGAATTAGCTAAACTTTTAGAAGGATTTCCTGTTAAAGATCCAAAATTTGTATGTGAAAGCTGTGGAGATGCAAGATTTCTGCCATGTCCAAACTGTAACGGAAGTAGAAAGGTTTTTGATTTGGAGGAGGATAAGCTGAGAAGATGTCAAGATTGTAATGAAAATGGATTGATTCGTTGCCCTTGTTGCTCATGACTGATTGGTGGTGTTTATATTGCTTAATTACTAGTTTTCTGATTAATTACTAATGCTTTTGAGATATTGTTTATTTTGATTTTGTTGTGTTACATTTGTTAAACAGTTCAATATGCAAGTGTAATGTTTGTTGTTCATCGTCTCTTTGAACAGGTTGGAATAGAAAAATAAATGAACAGTTTTCTTTGATTGTTGTTCATTAAGCTTGTTTGCAATTATTATTATCTTTCTCCTCCCAGTTTTGGAAATTAAAGGTTTGTTCTTCCGTTTTATGGTGTTTTTTTTTTCTTTCTCAAATTAGATTTTAAATTCATAGATTGGATTTCTTTTCTTACACTCAAAAACGTTCGGAAGAGGCTGGCGTTTAGGTAAAACCAAATTCCGGAGAATATTAAATTTGTTTATATTTAATTTATAGCTCATTTATAAATCAAATCAATCGTAATAGATAATTTTTAAAATTATTTCATTTTACCTTTTTTTTTTTTTTTCTTTTTTCTTATAGGAAATACTTTTATTTCTAAAACCAAAATTTAGAGACTATTTCTAGTACAAAAGTCAATTGATTCAATTTTGCCTTTATACCCAAATGAGATAACACTTTTTCTTTTAATTATTAAAAATGTTTCATTTAATTGTTTTTGTAATTCTATTACCAAGTTCCAATTTTAGTATTTTATACAATATTTTTATAGTGATTTTTATAATTCTACCAACTAAAATTTTTAATATTTTAGTATTTTTAAATCTTTATATCATAAATGGGGGAGACTGTCGGTATCTGGCCACCATATATATTTGCATTAATGTTGTTATATGGACCATCAAGTAGCAGACGGGCATGGATATCTAGGCAAACAGATGATCGTAAAGCTCCTTTTTTTTTTTTTTTTTTTTTAGCAGACGGGCATGGATAATCTAGGCAAAACAGATGATCGTAAAGCTCCTTTTTTTTTTTTTTTTTTTTTTATACCATGTTATAAGAGATTATATTGTATGCTTATATTTTTTTTTTTTTTTTTTTTTTTAAATACCATGTATAAGAGATATATTATTGTATGCTTATAATTATAATTTTAAATAATAAATTATATTAAAATCCATTAAGCCCGACTACAAGAGATTAAAAATTATGAAGCTCTTTTATGAACCAACGTCAAGTTTTAGTAATTGAAAATATTAAGAATAATAAATATATTTTAAGGTTTTAACTCAATTTTATATATGCAAATAATAATCAAATTTTTGAGAAAGCCAATGATATTTCAAAAATCTAATTAATTGGAATATATCCATATTCAAATTACATAGATACACATAATTTATAAACAAGTCATATTGAATCCTAATATTGAATTGAAGTCCTCATATTATTAATTGTTTAAAGATAATTAAAAAAATGAATTTATAAATTTATCAAACAAACTTTACGTGAATATTGACGTAATATATTAGAATATTCTAAATTTTAGGAGTTTTTGACATTTCGTCATATTTCAGCATTCTTGTCAATTTTATTTCAATTTCGAGATTTTACAACAATAACATACAATTGAAATTAAGGATAAAATTGTAAATAAAAAATATTTATATCTATTTTTAGGTCATTATGTGATGCTGATACAAATTTGAAAACAAAAAAATTCTATTTAATCTATCCAATTAATGCTGCACAGACTGAATTTTTAATTATTGAAATAAATGTGCTAATTAATAATTTAATAGGTACTTATTTAAAAAAAAAATTAAAGCATGACATAAATTAAATAAATGAAATATAATTGTTTACACTTACATACTTTATTTTTATATTATTTGTATGTTAAGGATAGAAAAATTCATAAATTTTATAATTTCTTGGATTGATAGTATAGCTAAATTATTTTTCTTTAATAATAAATAAATAAATTTTAATTATTTTAATTTCATGTTTCAAATATTTAACATTTGAAATTTTATTTTCTGTTGTTATTTTTATTTATTCAATAATAAGGTACCATACTTAAGAATATGGAAATACGTTTTATTTGCAATTCTATCATTAATTAAAAGATGCTATAAAAACTGAATATTAGGGAATAATTTTGTAGAAAGATCAAAATACGGTGAAATTGCAACAATACGGTTCAAGATATTCTGTTGTATTAAACATTTAATCTCTAGTAGTAACGAAGAATAATCACTCTAAACGGAGAGCAAATTATTGTAAAAAGAAAAAAGAAAGGTAAAACAAAGAATATGGAAGCAGCTTTTATTTTTCTTGGAAAAAAAGAAGAAGAACAAACACGCACTCCCCAAGTCCCAACTCCAAGAAGCCAAAACTAACAGAAACCCACAGTTCAACTAAAAGATTTTGAGAGAGCGAAATGGAAGAAAATGGAGTCTCAGTGGAGAATGGTAATGGAGGTGCTGAGACAAATGGAAGCTTCGACATGGGGGCTTTAGGGAGGTGCTTAAGCAGCTATGGAGATGAAGGCAGCGCAGAGAGTTGCAGATACTATCTTTCAAGAAGAACTGTTCTTGAAATGTTGAAAGACAGAGGTTATGCTATTCCCAGCGTAGATATTAACATCTCTCTTCAAGAATTTCGAGCTATTCATGGCCAAGACCCAGATATCGATCGCCTCAAAATTTCTGCTATTCACAAGTCCAATCCCAATAAAAGGGTATAGCATTTCTTGAGCTTTCCTTGTCCTTTTGTTTTTTATTTTTTATTTTTTAAGTTCTTGTTTGGATGCTGAGGATATCAAAGAAAATCAAAAGAGTTCTTTTTTTTTGTGTTCTTCCCTCAGAGCTACTGCATGCGTTTGCTTTCAGTTCCCCTTAAGCTAATTTATAATCGATAAGCTAAACGTATTTTCGTGAGTTTTGATTAAGGCATTGGCTCTTGGAATTGGACTTTATTGCCTTAGTTTTCACTTTTCCATTATTGTGAATAGTTATTCCGTGTGCTTGTTATATATTGCTAAAAGGCTGATTTTTGTTTTTTTTTTGGGCAATCAGAAGGGAATCATTCATAGGAAATGGAATCAACAAGATTTATAACATCAAAACTTTCTCAAAAAATCTCTTTAAAAAAAATTATTAAAAATCTGTCTGCATACCAAAGCTTAGTGGTTCTAACTCACTAAAAGGATATCTTCCCTCCATATTATTTCAAAACAGATAATTGCATTTCCCCTCAATCAAAATAGCAATCTTGGAACGTGTGTTTGTTTTCCTAGTTGCCTTCCAGTAGAAAATCTTTGGTCCTTTTCCTCTATTCTTACCCTGATATGGCTCTAAAAAAGGATTTCAATGTCTATGAGGGCATTCCTCATAAAAGGCACATGCAATCTAAACCTAGTAGAAGAAGATTTCAGGAAAGAAGTCAGTAAAGCATATTTTTTACAACCCAATACATAAAGTTGAACTAGTGAATCACTTAGATAGAAAGTGACACGCTGAATATCATGCCAAAAAATGGATGTACTTGCTATTTCTTATGCCAAACATGGTAAGGGAAAGTAGCCATTCCATTCTTTCTCTTAAATTTCCACACCCAGAATACTCTCACTACCTCACTAGCTCAATCACTATGCCTCCGACCCATATTAAGCAATAATAGTATATTCTTTAAAGATAAGTCTTTTCCTTTCATAGACCTCAACAACCATTTCCTTGGCAGAGCTTTGGTAAATTCACCAGAGAGATAATAGTCAACCCTCCCCTGTTGATAATATTATACAGATTTTTTTTTTTTTTTTCCTTTCCTCTTATATATTTATCTTTAGTATTTGTATTTTTTTAACAAAAAATTTGCCTCTTGCTGTCAAATGGTTTTCTTGAACATGTCTCTTTTTTGTTTCTTAAACTTCTAATACTGACTTGGGTAAATTTGAGTGGGACTTCTTCAGCAATCGCTTATTATGTGCTAGCAATGCGATTATCATTGATTAACTATTGCTTTTGGGTAGCTTGCTTTTTTATTAGCTTCATATAAACTTACAAGTTGTGTATTGGTACACATTTAGGATTGATACTGTCCAACTAAGTAAATACTTATGCTGTGCTGATCTAAATAGAATTTAATTCAAATTTTAGACATCACTACTGAAGCAATAACAGGTATCACTGCAACGGAATTTCTATGTAGTTCATCTCCTTTATGATTTTGTTAATAAGTGTGAGCTGAAGTATCCTTTTGCTTGATTTTGTACTTTAAGCATCATTTTGATAGAATTGAATTAAATCTGCAGATGCTGGTCATTTTCTGTGGACCTGGCGTGGTAAAAGTCAGTTCAGTACGGGTCATTGCTGCTCAGATTGTTAACAAAGATATTTTAACTGGTCTGATATTAATCTTGCAAAACCAAATAACAAACCAAGCCCTGAAAGCTATGGATCTTTTTAAATTTAAGGTTGAGATGTTCCAGGTATGCTTTCCGATAATTACATTTTGCATGTTTTCCATGTCTACGTGTTATTGTTTAAGGAAAAAAAGAAAAGAAAAGAAAAAGGTTTTTATCTACTCATATCCCTATGGAATTCCAAAGATGTGCTTATTTCATTGAAAATAACTTGCTTGTGGAAATATTTCCCTGAAAAAGATAAAATATTATTTTGCACTGTCTAGTGTCTAGTTGTAACATTGAAAATTTACTGGAAATTGTTTCTTGACATTTGGAGGAAATTGGAAGAAATTCATTTTCTTTTAATGGACAATAGGGTAAGAATGTTTTGAGTCTATGAAATTCATGTTTCCTATTTGTAGTTGAATATGAGAGAAAATTGCATAAAAAGTGATAAATTTAGGGTGACTGCTGGTAACTATTGGCAAGTGGTAACCCAGTATCATATGAACTATTGGGTATTGTTAAGGAAAGTTAATATAGAGTTATGTATAGAGCCATGATTCTGAGGATAACTATTGGGTTTTTTTCATTGATTCAATATACTGAAATAGAGAATATCTTCACAAACCTACAGGCGTGTAGCAATGTGATTCTCTTACAGATTTCTTATACCTTTATGAGTCTATGGAAGTCAAAGAAAAATTATTTTCCATTTTGAAAACCAGCTAATTACTCTCCATTTTAAAAATCAAAAGCTGCTTTTTCACCAGAAATATTTGTTAACTGAGTTTCCTATGCACTATAGATACAACAACAACAACAACTAAGCCTTAATCCCAAGCTAGTTGGAATTGGCTCTATGAATCTTCTATTTCCTACGCGCTATCTACATACACTTTAATTCAGGGAGAATATTTGTTTTTGTGAAATTTTATCTACTCTTTAACAATTTTCTATGAAGGCTACTCTTGGCTATCTGCAATGTGTTGGTTGCAAGCCTCAGATTTTAACTTGATATGGCCCTTCTTTTGTAAAGTAAATATGCTTGGGAATTCAATTTGTCATTTATTTCCTTGATGTTATACAAAAATTATGAAAATCTAGTTTAACATGGATTTGGATATTATTGAATTGGGATATTGCAGAGTTGTAAATGTTGAGTACCTTCTTGGTTTTCTGCCCTTTATCGTGTCATATGGATCTCAGGTGCACTACAGTGGTGTTCAGATATGTGTTGTAATCGAATATCTCTCATCGGTTATATGGGAAACTTTATATGGTAGCTAAGACCTTAATCCTTCTCCTCCTTGCAGATAGCTTATAGGGGCAAGTTATCGTAAGGTACTTAACAGCATGATGTAATTGATAAGCATGCATGAGTCATATTTTCGGATAGTAGTTTGATTTAGTGGGTCTAGAATTGAGTTTTCTCCAATCCCATGGCAAAATATGTGGCATTACAGACCTAAGTGCTGACCTCAGATATTCTTCATTTTGTTAACTCCAACTTCAACTTGTTCTTACAACCCTAATTTTTACATTAGGGATATAGACATTCTATACTGCAGCGGTCATGAACTTGATTTCATGTTATGCAAGTGTTGGCAATTGGAAAAGCTTGATTGGGTTTGGACAGGGTCTATCAAAGTTGAGAAGGGACATCTGAACAGACTTCATTGGTGGCAACCTGAGGGATTTAAAATAGGCTAGTCAATGTAATTGATGGTCGATGACCATTTCTGATTTATGTTGGTTGTTTGTTGCTGCCTAGGATTTTGTTGTTCAGGGTTGAACTTTTTGCTTATTGAGGTATTAAACATAGAAGCTTAATGAAGGTGTTTGGTTAGTTAGTAATTGCAGGAAAATAGTAGAAAAGGGAAGGGGAAGAGAATTCAGAGAGGAGAGAAGAAAGTGAGAAAGAGAATCCTGTTATATCATTACAATTGAGAATCTCGATGCAATTAACAAGCTTTATGTTCTGGTTTGACAGTTACAAGCTAATCAACTGACTAAGCCAGCTCAGGAACTAATTAGCTCATTCAACTTTTATGTATTTGTCCTATTATTCCTAACAGGAGTTTGTAACAATCTGGAATATTGAATGAAAATATTGCATAAGTGTCAAATAATATTTCCATCAAGGTTGAGAAAGTTTTAAAACCATGGCGTTGTACCTTGTATATTTAGAAGTTAAACAATTATTCACTTATTCTGGTGTTATTTTCCTGAGCTTTGAGTAGTGAAAATGATTAGTCTTGATCAATTATGTAGTTGAAAATGCAATTATGGTGATAGTTTGACTGTTACAAGCATATGCGAGTTGAAATATTTTGCTTTTAGAAATGTGGAGTGATGGAATGTCCAGATTGACTTGGAAGTGCTTAAATTGCAGAAAGCATGTTGAACTTCTTATGCAGCTTTTCGTTTACCTAATACTTCTGAAATTTGTATTTGAAATATAGAGTAAGAAAGTGTCATTTCACGCTCTCAATATCTTACCCTGATTTGGTTTGTTGTCAGATAACTGACTTGCTTGTTAATATCACAAAGCATGTATTAAAACCAAAGCATGAGGTTCTGACTGAACGGGAAAAGCAAAAGCTTCTGAAGAAATACTCCATTGAAGAAAAGCAGGTTAGAAAAAAAAAAAAATTCTTGGGTTCATATTTTTTCTGTTGAAATTAACATTCTTTCACTACGTTGAACACATTGATGGATAAAAAATACTGATGGATAACAAATACATTTTATCCCTTACCCACCCCTTTTTGCTTCTTCCTTGTTTCCAACATGCAGCTTTTATGTGTAGAGGTTAGAAACTAAGGAAATGGTGAATGTAGAGGATAGTCTAGACATTATTTCATTTTAAGTCATAACCTTAATTTTCATGTTATTCCATAATTCTTCTATCAAATCTCAATTATGTTTTTATTTCCCTTTTATTTATGAAAGCTTCCTCGACTCTTAAAGAAAGATGCAATTGCACGATATTATGGACTCGAGAAGGGACAGGTTGTGAAGGTTACGTACTCTGGCGACATTACCGAGTCACATGTTACTTACCGCTGTGTCTGGTGATGACTGGGGATACCTTTGCATTTTCTTCAAATGCTGTATAATTTTTGTTGTATTATCTTTTCTGTATGTGATTTTCAGATAGTAGTAACATTTTTATTTCATTCTGTGGACTGTTGTACCAGTTTGAGCATTCCTACTTTCAACCCGTACTTGACAATGCTCATAAATAAGCTTCGAGGCGATGGGAAGTGTGAATGCAGTGAGTGTTTGTCAATGTGTTTTAATGTAATGGAATAAGTTTATTATTGATTGTTCTATCTTTGTCCCTGCATTATATTGTATTACATTACTTATAAAATCTACAAGGAATGAACCTAAGATAGCTTGGTTTAGTAACTGAAGGGCACTAGATTTCACTTTGGTGATTGCACCATTAAACCGTGGAGTCAGCATCTTATACTTCTAACAATAACGTGTATGATTATCGTACTCTAATGATTCTCAATTCAATAAAAGTTAACAGGAAATTTTTGATAAGTTTATGAATTTAGACAATTAATTTTTTCCTTGTACCAAAGTTACTCTGAAAGTTAAAAGTAATTCTATGATAGCAGAAATCAATGTCGAAGATAGCATACTGACAATAAGCCAAAATATTGTAACAAGTTTAACAATATTGTTAATTTTTTTTTAGAAAGAACATTAATTGTATCCAAAATTCCAAATGCATGAAAAAACTACATGTCGAGTCAATAGCACATTATATACATTTAATGACAGTTAGCTTCCCCAATTCAAATTAATCGTGAGTCTCCAATATTTAATTAACATATCCTATACAATTTACTCATAACTCACATACTTGAAGAACAACATTTTCTCATTTTCCTCTGTTTCTGCAATGGCAAACAAGGTGTCTGTGAAAATTGAAAACAAGGATATGAAACTTGATCTTTCTTTCTCACCATCTGATTCTATTCTTCAAGTGAAGCAACGTGTAGAAGATCTTTTGGAATGGAAAGCTGAAACACTCTCTCTTTTTTATAACGGTGAAGAGTTGAAAAATGATCACTCACTCGAATCTTACAATCTCAAAGAAGGAGGACGTGCTCATTTTGATCTTGTTAGGCCAAGCGAGCCTCCTGAACCAAAATTCTATGTGCGAGTTAAATCTCATCACAAGGAAGGTTTTCTGGGAATGAGACCAAGTTATCCTGTGTCATATTTGAAGAATAAAATTGAAAGAAAATGGGGCTACGACGGTTCTAATATAGATCTAACTCATGACAACGTATTAATGGGAGATGATTTTACAGTCTCTTACTATAATATTTCTGAGAGATCTGTGATCAAATTGGATGTGAAAGAAGAAGATATAGCTATTCCTTATCCCTCTCAGCATGGAAGATAAAACCAATACCAAGGAGCTACAGCTATTTCTTTAAAAGAAATAACAGAAAAAAAATTAGCTATATTACCTGATAAGTGAAAGTTGAACTTTTTTTTTTTCCTCAGAATAACGATCTCTAGTTGCTTAGTTAATATTATGCTGTCCTTAGTTTATTATTACTGATAATAAAGACATGTCTGTTACAACATGAATCCTTCAATAGTATCAGCACAGCATGCTATCTATCAATTTAGCATTAAAAATTTGTAAAACTACATTATTGAAAGTTCCCCATCCACTATGAAATCATTGTTTGACATACACCGAGACTTCATTTTTGCATGAAGATCATGAAGTAAAGAATAAATAAGATTAGATTGACAATGCGACTCGTCGCGAGCTAAAAACACATGAGCTCTATTCCCAACTTCAATCCAACTGCAGCCAGGCTGCTTCTTCAATCCTTTATCCTTCATTGTAGATCTCATTTTTTTAGCTTCTTTCCATTTCCCACTAGAGGCATATATATTAGACAACAATAAATAAGCGCCTGCATTTTCTGGTTCTTCCTTTAAGAGCTCTTTTGCAGCCAGTTTTCCTATTTTCAGATTTCCATAGACATTACAACTGGCAAGAAGAGCTCCCCAGATGGATGATTTTGATTTTATCCCTAGCTGCTTGATCAAATCGAAAGCCTCCTCGAGTCTCCCTGCTCGACCGCATATATCAACTAAACAAGTGTAGTGATCTTCTCTTACTTGTATAAAATTGTTTTTTGCAAGCTCATCAAAGTATGATAATCCATCCTCCACCAAACCGGCATGACTACAAGCAGAGAGCAAACCCACATAGCTAACATCATTGGGTTTAAACCCTCGCTCCTGCATTTCGTTGAACAATTCAATTGCTTCCCTTCCATAACCATGGTGCGCATAGGCTGCAATCATACAATTCCAAGAAACCAAATCTCTCTTGCTTGTAACTCCATCATCGAACATCTTCTTTGCTGTACTCAATTCCCCACATTTTGAGTACATATTAATAAGTGCAGATATAACAAATGCCATATCCTGATAAACATTTTTACTTATCATTTGATGAACTTGTTGTCCCTCGCCAAGACCAGCTAAGTCGCTACAAGCACCCAACACATTCACAAAAGTTCCCTCGTTAGGCTTTACGCCACCATCCCTTACCATTTCCATAAACATCTCCAGTGCTGCTTCGCTTTCCCCATTTTGGACATACCCAGTAATCATCGTAGTCCAAGTTACAACATTCCTTTCAGACATCTCATCAAATATAACCCTTGCTCTTCTTATCTCTCCATTTTGAATAAACCCTGTGATCATTGTATTCCATGAAGGCAAATCCCTCTCAGGCATGCTCTTAAACAACTCAAAAGCCTCATCTAACCTCATATTCTTCGCATACGCAGTAATCATTGCATTCCATGAAACCACATTCCTCTCTGGCATTCTCTCAAAAACCTTCCTAGCTTCACCAATCCTACCATTCCTTGCCAATCCCGTAACCATTGCTGTCCACGAAATCACGTCCCTTTTAGGCATTTCATCAAACAATCTCCTTGCCTCCTCCACTCTCCCACATTGTGCCAACACCGTGATCACAGTGTTCCAAGAAACTATATTCCTTTCGGTCATTTTATCAAACATCTCAAGAACCTTATGTACTTCACCATTTTTAGCATACCCATCTAGCATTGTATTCCAAGAAACAACATTTTTCACTGGCATTGCCTCAAACAAACTCTCGGCTTCCAAAATTTGACCCAATCTCAGATACCCACTAACCATAACAGTCCAAGTAACCACATTTTTCACAGCATCAGCTCTGTTAAACAATCTTCTAGCTTCTGCAATCAATCCGCATTTTATATATCCAGTGATCACAGCCGTCCATGTAACCACATCTCTCTCACGCAATTTATCAAACATTTGACGTGCTTCATTGAGTTTACCTTCTCTACACAGTCTCGTGACAAGCCAATTGGAACGTGCGATATTGGAATTGGCGCTAAAATCGCTATCAGGCAATGAAATTTTGGGGGCTACTGTTGATTGGTTTACTAAGAAAAAAATAAACTTGAAATTGCATACTATGGATTGTTTCTTGGTTTTGCTTGAATTTGAGAAAGCAATTGGTAGTCTAAACAATGATTGCATCTCAAAAAACGTTCTTTACCATCGAGGAACGAGTGAGGGATCCTCTGAATAGTATGCAAGTGGCTGTAACAATGGCGATGAATTAGGCCTGGCCAAGGTCGGAAACTAAAAACCGAAATTCACTATCTAGATATCGGTTTCAGTTCCGTTTTGGTTTGGTTCTAATTGATTCCGGCGAGAATTTGTCTGATTTTTCGAAAGGTTTTCGATTGGTTTCAGAAGGTATCAGGCGGCGGATGATTTTTATTTTTGTAAGTCAAAAACATTAAATTTCAAAAAAATTTTAAAATTTTTAACGAATAAAGAAATAAATTAATAATGTCAATACATTATTAGAATAAATAGAAAATAGACTTCTAATTAAAAAAATTAAAAATTATTGGATTATTTTAAATTCATTAATTTTAATTGGATATCAGATTCTTATTTTCATTGGAGTGAAAATAATTAAATTAAGTAATTAAAGTTGTGCTAAAATAATTATATAATAAATTATAATTAACCATTTAAATTTTTAATTTTATATTTAGAAAATTTTAAAAGAACTGTGTCAAGGTTTTATATTAAGCCTTTACAGCTTAATACCTTGGCATTCAGCTTTCAATTTCAACTTTTATGTTGCTGAAGATTAAACTCTAAATTGACTGAGGAAAAACAAATTAAAATCATCAATGATAAAAAATATATTCTAACAATAACGATTAAACACTGATGGGATTAAGGAGTATATTAGATTATGATTCTGTTACATTTTAAAACTTTAATCGTATTCAATTTAGATTGTTTTAGACTTTATTCAAATTTTGTGGTATTTAATCCAGACTCTTAAAATTCTAAAAATTTAATAGTATTCAATTATGACTTTTAAAAATCTATGCAAATTGAATGATATTCAAAAAATTTCTGATTTTAAAGGATTTTATAAAATTATTGATTTTGTTATTTTAGAGTGTTAGACCTAAATAAAATAGTCATTCACAAATTCATCCTCTAGATTAAAAATTTTGTTGGGTGCTACGTATATATTTTTTTAATTTTTGATTTTAAATTAAACAAAATATATATCTAAACTTGTGATTTTCCGACGAGACGGTTGTAAGATATGTGCAAACTTATTGACCAAACCGAACCGAAAATCAAATCGAATCATTTTGATTTGGTTCGATAAGCTAAATCAAGAAAGATTTAATTGTCGGTTTATTCGGTTTGAACTGAATTAATTATTTGGTTCGAGTCGAATTCATAAAAATCCATTGGTTGGGTTTAAAACCAAATCGAAATGGTAAAATCGACCAAATTGACCAAACCGACTAGTTTGATTCGATTCAGAAGACAAATTCAATTCGGTTCGATTTGTTGATAAAAATTTTTCAGTTTGTATTTTTTAACATCGGTTCGTTTTGATTTGAACCAAAGTGACCATTTGCTGACCCCTATCTGTCGCGGTTTAATTAAGAGACGAGAAGCCTGTGATCTACACCGCGGCTGTTATGAGGCACAGGATGGCTAGCAGCGACACCGGCCATTACAAGCTTTTCCCTATCCATAGTGATAAGGGTTTAATGAAAAAGAAAATAAGTTTTTGCAAGATGACGTATTTTTTGGTCCTTCATTGTTTTTTAGTTTTTCAGTTAAACTCAAAAACCTTTTAATTTATTCAATTAGGTCCTAAAATTATTTTTAATTTGATACATAAAAATCATTGTAATACCATCAAAGTCAATAAAAATTTATATAAAAAAGTCTCACAAATTCCATAATACTCTGTGTAGAATTCTAATGGAATATGACTCAATAATTATTGTAAAATCTAACACAATCTTAATCCAATACACTCGCTAAGTGTAAATAGCAAATCAAAATCATTAATAATAACAAATAAAAATAATAATAACGCGGCACATGAATATCTTAGTTAAAAAATAAGGTTTTAACTTTAACCAAAACAAAAATTAAGGTGCTCAATATCAATAAATAAAAAGTTTAAAAACTTAATTTCAATAAAAATAAATCAAATTCAACGCACGTTTAATATGTGTGATCATCAGTCTCTAACTCTCAATTTAACCAAAATCAAATTTAACATGTGTGATTGTCGTTTTTTAATTCTCAGATACCGTTAGGCCCAAGTTTAACAATATTGTTTTTTTTTTTTTTTTTTTAGAAAAATATTGTTAAATGCAAATCATATCCAAAATTCCAAATGCATGAAAAAACTACATGTCGAGTCAATAGCACATAATATACATTTCATGACAGTTAGATTTCCAAATTCCAATTAACGTGAGTCTCCAATATTTAATTAACATATCCTCTTCAATTTACTCATAACTCACATACTTGAAAGAACAACATTTTCTCATTTTCCTCCTTTGTTATTGCAATGGCAGACAAGTTGACTGTGAACATTCAAAATGAGGATATGAAACTTGATTTTTTCTTCTCGCCATCTGATTCTATTCTTCAAGTGAAGAAAAGTGTAGAAGATCTCGTGGAATGGGAAGTTGAAACACAATCTCTTTTTTATAATGGCGAAGAATTGAAAAATGATCGTACACTTGAATCTTATAATCTGACAGAAGGAGCATATGTTGAGTTTGATCTTATTAGGAAAACAGGAGAGTCTTCTCAACCTCAACCAGAACCAAAATTCAATGTGCGAGTGAAATCTAGGTACAACGAAGAAGGTGTTATAAGAGTAAGACGAGGTTATCTTGTGTCGCACTTGAAGAATAAAATTGGAAGAAAATGGGGCTTTCTGGGTCCTGACATAAGTCTATATCATAACGACGTAGAAATGAGAGATTTTTATAATCTCTCTCATTATAATATTTCTGAGAGTTCTGTGATCAAACTGGAGCTGAAAATGGATTTGAAAGAAAACGTTAAAGAAGATGTGAAAAAAGTGAAAGAAGAAGATATGGCTATTCCTTATCCCTCTCAGCATGGAAGATAAACATAGCATTAGCTATTTCTTTTTTTTTTTTTTAAATAACAGAAAAATAAGCTTATTTTTCTTTTTTTAGTCAATGTTGGTGTTATTAATAAGTCTTATAATAAGCTTTATAGCTTATGAAGACAAACAGTGAGTGTTCTTAATGCTACTTTTTTTTTAATCTATGTAATGAATAAAATTTTAAATACTTGCCATTCTTCATTTTCTTAAGCAATTTTTTACTTATTTATTTATTTTTTTCTTAAACAATTAAGTTAAATACTTGTGAAAATAATAATCTAGTTGCTAAAATACCTTCATACATTTTAATTCTGTAATAAATAATGTAGTTACAATTACAAGTTCTAGTTCATCCATGAAACATTTGGATTTCAATTCATTATTCACATATATAATAATCAATTACTATACATAGCAGTCCAAGTAACCATATTTTTTGCTAGGGAGAGAAATAATTAAATTAAGTAAGTAAACTTGTACTTAATTAATTATTTAATAAATTATAATTAGCCATTTAAATTTTTTAAATTTAAAAAAATTGCATCAAGGTTTTATATTCAGATTAAGTTTTACCAATTAAGCCTTTAAACCTTAATTTGTCAATATTCAACCTTCAACTTTAACTTTTATGTTAATAAACATCAAACACTAAATTAACCGAGATTAAATAACAAATCAAAATCATTAATAATAACAAATAAACATAAATAATAATGTCACACGTCAATGCATATTTAATAAGTGTGACTATCATTCTCTAACTCTTAATTAAATAAAAATTTAAATTTAACATTTGTGATTATCGTTCTCTAATTCTCAATTACCGTGAAGCCCAAGTTTAACAATATTGTTATTTTTTTATAAGAAAAATATTGTTAATGTTAATTATATTCAAATGCATGAAAAAACTACAGGTACAGTCAATAGCACATTATATACATTAAGTGACAGTTAGGTTTCAAATTTCCAATTAACGTGAGTCTGCAATATTTAATTATCATATCCTCTACAATTTACTCATAACTCACATACTTGAAAGAACAACATTTCACATTTTCCTCCTCTGTTATTCCAATGGCAAACGATAAGGTGACTCTGCACCTTGAATGTGAGGAATTGGAAATGGAATTTGAGTTTTCTTTCATGCCATCTGATTCTATTTGGAAAGTAAAGGAAACAATGGAAGATGAGTTGGAATTTGCAGCTGAAACATTCTCTCTTTATTATGATGAAGAAGAGTTGGAAGATGAACGTTCACTCCGATCTTATAATTTCGAAAAGGGAGAACGTTATAATGTCGAATTTACAAGGGATAATGAACATGAATTCTATATAACAGTGCAACCTGGCCGCCGGGAATCTAATTACGAGCGACGACGTATAGAAGTGGGACCAAGTTACCTAGTGGCAAGTTTAAGGAATAAAGTTGAGAGAATATGGGGAGTTCCTGGTTATGCTATAGATCTATCTCACAAGAATGTACTAATGAGAGATGATTTTACACTCGCTCACTATGATATTTGTAAGAATTCTGTGGTCAAGGTGGATGTGAAAGAATAGATTATCTATAAGAATAGATAATCTCTAGTTATTAGTATTAATATGAATAAGTGATAGAACAAAGTTAGTTATTACTGGTCTTATTAGGAGACAATAAGTCAAATGATAAGCTTTATAGCTTATTAATTGATAAAAAATTGAGTTGAACACTTGTGGAAATAATAATAATAATATAATTGATAAAAAATACCTTCTAACACTTTAATTCTGTCAAGAATAATAAGCAATACTGGAATCTTGTAGTTACAGATTCTAGTTCATCCAGGAACCATTTGGATTTTAATTAATTATGCACATATATAATAATCTATTCTTGAATTGAAGGGTGTCAAAATTATATATCTCAAGTGTTAAAATTTATAAATTGTAAAATTTATAATAATTTTTTTGAATTTAACTTAAATTTTAAGCAAAAAAATTTAAATTTCCATATTGAAATGGCAAAGAGCAAGTATATAAACAAAATCACTATTTGCATTTTATGCAAATGATATGAACAATGTTATCAATCTGAATTCTATGTACAATTCATTACGACGATTATTTCAATCGTTGATGCAATCAATAAGGGACTCATCTTTCAGAACAGTTTATACTTAACAAGCATTTGGCATTTGCTGCCAAAAGACGATTCGGACAAACAATCAAACACTGCAAACCAAGCTCATTACCTGAGACTAAGATGGCTTGAGAGCTCCAACATCTATTGAACAGTCTTTTATCAACGTCATCCACATTTTTTGCCCCTATGGCCTGCATAGAAATGATAAGAGAATACAATTATTGAGGATCATAATGCCTAATATAGAGAAGAACAACAAGAAGAAAACATTTTGAGGAAAGAATAGAAATGAAACACTACTTTTTTCACTTATTTAATGCAAATGCGCACTATTGGCTTGACTGTCTTGGTTTGGTTCAAATTAGTCTTCATTAGTCTCATGTTTGATTATGTAGATTGTCTCTTTCTATTTACAATATGAAGAAATTGACTTGTGAGACTAAGCTATTTACAAGGAATCATAGTCTCATTTTTGTGGTTGAAGTGAAAAACAAAGGGCATATCGCATAACAATATGAACTCCCGTGCCTAATACAGTGTTCAATCACACAACAAAACCAAGCAAAAGAACTTGACTCCCTTCTAGATTATATTGTTGCCAAACATATAAAAGAGGTTAATCCAACCCATATCTTAACAATATTAAGTTATTAACAATTTGAATTTTCAGGTTAACTTTACTATTCTTACTCAACACCTATCATCATTGTAAGTACATCTCCAAGTCAGGCTGATTGGGATGCCTTATTCACCAGATAAGAAGTCATATGCTCCAAAGACAATTTAGGTTCAAAGGAGGCAAAAGCTCGCAGAAGATGACAAGAAAAAACAAGAAACAGAGTTGAATAATCCATAAGGCCAATATCTCAGGTACTGTCAGCTCTATACTGCAAAGTTCCATTCTTAAACCATTAAACCTAAACTATTGAAAAGCCACCATCTATTCCTATTAGATGATTAAATAGATTAAGAGACCAAACTGACATGATGCACATGAGAATTTCCTGAGCTTTGAAAAATAGCAGAATGTGGTCATGTTTAATTAATAAATTAATAGAAGGTTACAACAAAATAAATTATCCTGCAGCACAAAGTAGAATTGCATTTTTAGTATAACATTCTGACAGACCAATATTACCAACAGAATATAACCAAAAGATCAGACAGAAATACGAGCAAGGTGTTAATGCAGTGGCAATGCCAAGTTTTAAATTCATTACAGAGGCATGTCAGATAGACACAACCAGCAGATTTGTCAGATAACACTCTATCAAAGCTTCAAAGTTGGTTCAGAATGGCAACTTTAAGGAACAACTGGACAAGAAAGCATTATACTATAAAGGCCTATCTTGACAAATTAAGAGATGCAAGCCAATTAAGCACCACAACAAACTCAAGTTGTCAAGTTGACAATTGCTATATATATATTGCTTTTTTGTATAATCAGGAACAGTAGAAGGATATGATACATTACCACTGATTCAATGACCTCAAAAGAAGGTCGAAAGCAGCAAAAAGAAATTAAAATTGTATCTACCTAAATCTATGGTTTGCTCATAATCATGGTAATTTCAGGAGAAAATAGATAACATCTCAAACCAACTTGCAAAAACAAAAGAAGACACTGAACCACCAAGGGTAAACTAAACCAGCCAGCAACAAATTCGTGCAGCTATTTGGTCTATATAATTTCTAAAACCAACAGTTCCATTGCAAATATTTATGATAGTTTCCTGCTCTCAACAACTTATTAGGTTATCTTTAATGATTTCAGGGAAAGAAAGTACAGTTTTACAGGTCTTCATTTTTTTATGTATAACCAAAGAAAACATGTAGATGAGATACAGTTTTACAGGTCTTCATTTTTTTATGTATAACCAAAGAAAACATGTAGATGAGATACAGTTTTACAGGTCTTCATTTTTTTATGAGCGCACTATCTTGGACAAAAAATTTAATTATGCAAGCCAATTTAAGCCACCCACAATACAATCTCAAGGTTTGTTCAAGGTTACTAAATTGACTAGATATCATAATCATATTGCTTTTCTGATACTTAATCTAGGAACCAGTTAGAAGGATATGATACGCTAAATACACCACATTGACTTTCATGATTGACCTTCAAAAGAAGGTCGTATAGCCCAGCTAAAAAAGAATTAAAAAAAATTGTGTATCTACCTAATTCTAGGTTTGCTTCATAGATTTGCATTGGTTAATTTCAGCGAAAAAATAGATAAATTCTCTCCCAACCAACTTGCGAAAAAACATCAAAGAAGACACTGAACCAACCCAAGGCGGTGAAAACCAATAAACCAGCCAGCAACTATAATTTCGTGCTAGGCTATTTGGTCTATTATATTTCTTAAAACCAACATGTTCCATTTGCATAGTATTTATGATTTAGTTTCCTGCTCTGCAAACAACTTTAGGTGGTATCTTTAATGTGATTGTCAGGGGAAAAGAAGTACGTTTTTGAGCAGGTCTTTCATTGTTTTGTATACAGTTTTACAGGTCTTCATTTTTTTATGTATAACCAAAGAAAACATGTAGATGAGATACAGTTTTACAGGTCTTCATTTTTTTATGTATAACCAAAGAAAACATGTAGATGAGATACAGTTTTACAGGTCTTCATTTTTTTATGTATAACCAAAGAAAACATGTAGATGAGATACAGTTTTACAGGTCTTCATTTTTTTATGTATAACCAAAGAAAACATGTAGATGAGATACAGTTTTACAGGTCTTCATTTTTTTATGTATAACCAAAGAAAACATGTAGATGAGATACAGTTTTACAGGTCTTCATTTTTTTATGTATAACCAAAGAAAACATGTAGATGAGACATGGTGTCATGTAAGACTGTAGCATATTGGCATAAAATAAAGGTAAAGAACACAATTACTTGTTTCATCCTGTTCGAAACCATGCACCAAAAGCGGAATAGTAAAGTTTTATGTATCCCCAAACAAGGCCAAAAATACTACTCATACCTTCAGCAACAATCAAATGACGTGCTTAATCAATTTCACATGCAGGGTTACACAAACAGGCATTGCTTCGGCATTCGTTGACTTGTTATAGCGTCATTTCATTGATTGCTGTGCTCGTAAGTTATATATTTAGAAAATTTTTTTCACCTTATCTCTCCCGCATTAAACTATCACAGGCTTTCTCAAAATCTAAATTCCAAATCACTTCCAACATAATTTTTTACTTAATTGCAAATGGGAAATTTCTACTTGTGAAGTACATAGTGTTCTTACTTCCTTTTCTCCCCAAGAAATTTAACTGGTTTGCATTGCAACACTTATTCTCAATCTCACAACATGCTAAATCTCCAAATTCTATATTCTATGGTTGACACTGTATTCTTATTTCACTGAGTACATGCACAACATCATAAAAAAATTTGTTAAGAAGCTGTCACAAGGAGATCGTTGAAGAAATGGGAAAGTGGCGCTACAAACACCAACTCCCAAATTCGCTCGCCACATATATATATGGTACATTGCATGATCACAATCTGCTACGAATATTAATTGCCGGAAGAAAAAAAAAAGATCCAAATCTGAAAATACACGTTTGATATCAGTAATCTAAAACCTTAAGCCATTGGAATAAAGGCCTTCCAATTATTTCAATTACAGGGAACTCAGAATTAAAGATATTAATTATTAACAACCCAAATTAAAGATATTAACAGTTAACAACTAGCATTTATATCATTATAGCAGTATTTTAGTCCATTGCTTCATTATTCTTGGAGAATAAAAGCTATATTAGACTTTCTCTGTCTTAATCTTCTAGGTTAAGTAATTCTTCAATATGCTATCATAACCTCTTGAACCAATACAGGGGACAGAGAATTTGAACCTAACGAAACCATATTTTTCTTAGTGAGAAACACCCCCCCTCTCTCTCTCTCTCTGCGGCCAAAAATTACCCTTTTAAGCCATAGAAATTCGCATGATACAACAACAATTATATAATTTAACAAGAACCAAAAGATACCTATAGTATTCACAAGCATAAAAAAGATATCAGTTCAAATCCAAAATCTGAGGCCAAACTGAACTAAACCCAGTAAATAGATAAATAAATAAAATCAGAAAAGATATAGACCTCTACCAAAACAACAATTTTGATCCAATTTCTCCATAATCAAGTAAAGTAGAGATTGGAAAACTCAAATAAAGTAAAGAAATACAGATTAACATAAAAAGAAATAATTTTGTAGGTTAAAAGAGACTAACCAAATATGAAAGAACATAAATCACCCAACATGGAAAGGTCCAATATCTCCAGTTCTAATAGAACTAGCAACCTCATCAGCTACAGTCAAGCAAGACGAGACCCATCCGCTTAAGGCTAGCCAAACCATCTTCATCATCCACAGAGTCAAGTTCCATGGCATTGCCATTTCCCTTTCTCCCTCTCTCCAGTTCTAAGACACCAATCAAAACCAAACCCAGTTGTTTTCTGAAGTCAAAACGCGAAAAGAACCAATCTTTCAATAGAAAGGAAAAGGTTAAAGGTCAAAGAAATGGACTTTGATAGTACTTTTAAGGCTTTTTGGGGCTCTTATAGATATTCATTTGATCTAATTTAACATGGCGTATGTGGAAGAGCACGAAACGTGTTTTGAGTTATGGGGACAATCTGATTTGCAGTAGAAGTTAAGGTGGAGGAGAAATTAATGGTAAAGTTTAAAGTTCAAGCCAATAATGCAATAACAGTGGTTGATCCTATCATTAATTGATTAATTATGAGATTCAATGATTACGTGCGGATAAGGATTGCTGTGATTCATTTGTTTAAGTGTAAAATGTGTAATGGTTTGTTAAAAATTTTTAATAAAATATTTTATTTTTATGGACTATTATTGTAAAATCACATTTTCTCGAGGTTGTAGACTTAGAGCTGTTACTACCTTTAGTAGCTAAAATTAGGAAATAGCAAGGGAATTATTTTTGGAATAAATAATCTATTTAGTAAGTTTCACATGTATAAAAAACGCCGTATATGTAAGAGCCTATTGGGCTTTTTTTGAAGATAAGATAAAACAAAAAGGCCCGTTTATCTCTTTATTTTAAATTATTCCATGAGCCAAACTTCCAACCGATTTCGTATTTCCATCGCTTACCCAATTTTGATGTGAGTCGAAGCCCGACCCACCTTAACCCAACCCAACCCAACCCAAATTTAGTTCCTAAAGATTTCCCGCTCCTTTCAAATTTGGTTTCATCACTTTGAAATTGGAGTGTAGGCCAACGCCTGAATCAAAGAAAGAAAAGATACTTGAAAATTGAATCTTAGAGAAGAGAAACTCTCTGTTTTTCATTTCTTTTCCTCTCTAACAATGGCTCCTCACTTCGTTTTTCCTCAAACCCTCCGATCTCTGGAGGAGGAACCCGAAGACCATCGTCTCTACGCTCAGAATCCAATCGACATCTCTTCTCTTCGTCCATCTGAACTCGAAGAGTTCGTCAAAGGTGACTTCTGTAGTATTTTTTTTAAAACTTTATTAATGCGTATTTTAAATTATATTTTAATTATTTCAGTTAATTTTGTTCTTTTGTTTTTGGTTTTCATAGAAATGAATTTGGTGTCAGTAGTATCCCTAGTTAACTCCACAAATTCCTTGTATGTCATAATTCTTTGGTCTCCTTTACTGATTAGAATCTATACTTTGTTTAGTACTTCGATTTTCTTAGAAATCAAACATAAGTTTGTTTGTTATTTATTTCTTCTATTTTTGCGTTTTTATTATTTGAACAGATAGTTTAACATGATCAGGAGAAATATAAGGCTATGATTGGTTAATGGGAAAGTATAGGAAACAGAATAAAATTGAAGTGGTAAATTTCAGTTATTCTAAAGAAGAAATTAACTCAAATGAATTATTGCTCTTATTTGACTTCGTTCTATTGGATTTGGATTTATTAGAAGCTGGAGAAACTGATCTTATTTCCGAGTGAATAATTGAAAATAAGAAGAATTTAATATGATTTTTTTTTTTTTGGTTATAATGTAAACAGGCGTGTCCTTTGATTTGTCTGATAAAGAGCTGTTCTGCGTTGAAGAACAAGATTTATTTGACCGTGTGTATTCATTGATTTTGGGTTTCTCTAGCCTGACACCATCTTCTAAACTCAATCTTGTGGAAAGCCTACGATCCAACCTCAGTGTTCTTCTTCCAAATGTTGATTCACTCTCACGGGTTTCTCATGGCCAGGATGATGATCCTCCAGTGTTTGATAGGGTCACATCACATAGGAATGCTTTCAAAATATATACATTCTTTCTCCTCAATATCGTTCTCGCTGAGGAGTCCCATGCTAATGCCAATAGCAATTTAAAGGTACTGTTATGTGACTTAAGTCCATATTTCAATAAGCAACCACATAATGCTTGAGGAATCTCTTTACTAACATAAGTTTCTACCGCTTTGCTTTGCTATTTTGGTTGTCAATTATAGAAATTGGTTGGTATTTTGTTTAGGCGACAGCAAGTTCCAGGAAGAAACAACCATTGCACTCATGGAATTGGGAACCACAGAGGGGTCGGATACTTAATTTAATTGCTAATTCTTTAGAGGTCAATCTTGGGTTGATTTTCGGATCATCAGATCCAGATGAAAATTATCTTTCTTTCATTGTGAAGTAAGCTAATAACTATTATAGTCTTACTATGTCTGGTTTACATTTATATGTGCATGTAGTTTTAAAATTTTCTACGTTGTATTTTACAGAAATGCGTTCTCCATGTTTGAGAATCCAACACTTCTTAGAGACTCCGAAACGAAAGATGCTCTGTGTCGTGTAATTGGGGCTTGTGCTACAAAGTACCATTACATAGCACAATCATGTGCGTCGATCATGCACCTAATTCACAAATATGATTTTGTTGTTACCCACATGGCTGATGCAGTTGCTGGAGCTGAAAAAAAATATGCTGATGGAACTCTTGCAAGTACTCTTATCAGAGAGATTGGGAGGACTAACCCAAAAAATTATGTGAAGGACACTGCTGGAGCTGAAAATGTTGGGCGTTTTCTTGTAGAACTCGCTGATCGGCTGCCAAAGTTAATTTCAACTAACATTGGTGTTTTGGTTCCACATTTTGGAGGGGAATCTTATAAGATAAGGAATGCTTTAGTTAGTGTTTTGGGAAAGCTGGTTGCCAAGGCATTTAATGATGTTGAAGGTGAAATGAGTTCTAAATCTGTTCGTCTTCGAACCAAGCAAGCCATGTTGGAAATCTTGCTTGAACGATGTCGAGATGTTTCTGCTTTTACAAGGAGTCGCGTTCTTCAGGTTTGGGCTGAATTGTGTGAAGAGCATTCTGTTTCAATTGGCTTGTGGAATGAGGTTGCAGAAGTTGCTGCTGGGAGATTAGAGGACAAAACTGCAATGGTAAGGAAAGCTGCGTTGAATTTACTTATAATGATGTTGCAACATAATCCTTTTGGTCCACAACTACGAATTGCTTCATTTGAAGCAACCTTAGAGCAATACAAGAAGAAACTGAATGAACTTGAACCAGATAAAAGCACAGGGACTGTTGGGGATGGCTCACAATCAGAAAGTGATACCTCTGGTGGTGAAGGTGAGGTTGATAATGTAAATGCTGAAGGGGTAGCTGAGAAACAGCAAGACAGTTTAACTGATAGTTGTCTGCCTCATCTGGAAGATGAAATTACTCAGAAGGACAGTGCAGTACCAGATGTTGGGAACTTGGAGCAAACTCGGGCCTTGGTGGCATCTCTTGAGTCTGGCTTGAGGTTTTCAAAGTGCATCTCTGCCACAATGCCTACTCTTGTTCAATTGATGGCTTCATCTTCTGCCACAGATGTCGAGAACACAATTCTCTTGCTAATGAGGTGCAAACAATTTCAAATTGATGGGGCAGAAGAATGCCTCCGTAAGATGTTGCCACTGGTGAGTTTTTCCTTTTGGTCAAGCCAGGGAAATAATGACATGATGACTTTGGAATTTGGACAATGCTTTCTTTATCCTTCTGTAGACAAAACTGAAGAATTTTGACATCAGTGTGATCTGTATATGCTGTCTCTTGTAGGTATTCTCACAGGATAAAGCTATATATGAAGCCGTGGAGAATGCATTTTTAACTATTTATGTAAGGAAAAATCCTGCAGAAACTGCTAAGAATCTTTTGTATCTTGCCATTGATTCAAATATTGGAGATCTTGCAGCTCTGGAATTTATTATCAATGCCTTGGTGTCTAAAGGTGATATATCTACGAGCACGGTGCGTCTCTCTTATGACGGTGGATAGTGTTTCACCTAAATTAATTGAAAGCCTCCGGATTTATCATTTTGAGTCAAATTTTGTTCTTTTTTTTTCACATGTAAACTTTTTAGAATGGGACTTTCCACTTTGCTTCGTACTATATTAGTAAAAATCTTTGTCTAAAGCTTAGCAAGGAAAAAACAAAAGATGAAATACTTTGAAGGATGTATAACAGAAAATAAAAATGAAAAGTAGCATGCTAATATCTTACAATATAGCTTGATAGTTGAACAAATAAATTAGCTTCAAGTTTGGAGCTATAGATTTGTGGCAAATGCTAGATAAGCGCAGTTTTATCATTTTCATTCATTGATAAAAAAAAGCAAATATTAACTTGTAGATTGAGTTAACTAGAAAAAAAAAATGTTAAAGCAATTTATTTTAAGTTGACATTCTGATAAAGAAGTTTTTCCAGTATTCTCTTTTTTTTTTTTTTTCACCCTATGTCTTAAGGTCATTTTGCGAAGGCCTATAAATTCAAAGCAGAACTTAGATGCTAAAATGTATCCAGTTTGGAAATAATTAGTCCTTCATAAGGACGTGTTTAAATGTTAAATTGCTTGAGTGTAAGCATTGTAGGAGGATGATTTTGTTTTAAAGTAGTTAAACATCTTGGCATACAAAAGTAATTTTTAAGTGCTTGTATACAAGAGTTTAATCTGTTTAAGACACCGAAATACAATATTCAGTTTATGGAATGTCTTTTTGTGATAATCAATGTCGATTCTAATCTATCTGTTATCTTCTTGTATTTGGATTGCTCAATTCATGCAGGATTATTGTGTAGTTATGTCAAATTTGTTTTTTGAAGTTCCTAAACACACTGTTTTTCCAGTTCTCAATTTTTAAGGAGTCAAACACCTTACAACTTTTTCTTCTTGCAGATATCAGCGTTATGGGATTTCTTTTGCTTTAATGTCAGTGGAACAACAGCAGAACAAAGTCGTGGTGCTTTATCCGTGCTTTGCATGGCTGCAAAATCATCCGCTGGAGTTCTTAGTTCTCACTTGCATGATATTATTGATATTGGCTTTGGCCGTTGGGCTAAAGTGGACCCTTTGCTTGTTAGAACGGCATGCATTGCAATTCAAAGATTGTCAGAAGAGGACAGAAAAAAATTATTGGTTAGTAATGGCAGCCGTGTTTTTGGCATACTAGAAAGCTTAATTACAGGCTTTTGGCTCCCAGAAAACATATGGTATGCTGCTGCTGATAAAGCAATAGCTGCCATTTATACAATACATCCAACTCCAGAAATTGCAGCTGCTGATATTGTAAAGCAATCTTTTAGTTCTGTTTTTGACTGTAATGGAGGACAAGAATTGCAGAGTGACATTGACAGCGGCAGCACTAAAGCTCTCACAGCAGTTCAAGTATCAAAACTTGGTAGATATTTATTTGTTGCAAGTCATGTTGCCATGAACCAGTTACTATACATAGAATCCTGTGTTCGAAAAATCCAGAAGCAGAAGACAACAAGAGAGAAAAAGGTTGCTGATGATCAGAATGTTCATAATACTGGCATAGAACCAGCAAATACACAAAATGTAAGTTGCTTATTTCAAACCATTATCATCTTAATCATTTATAACGAGTTTTTGATTTTCATTCAAAATGGATTTTTTTGTTGCAGGTTAACAATATCAATGCTGAGTTAGGTGTTGCAGGCTCAGAAGACGCAATTCTTGATACGCTTTCTGAAAGAGCAGAGCAAGAGATTGTTTCTGGCAGTTCCAGTGAAAAGAATTTGATAGGGCTTTGTGCACCTTTCCTATCAAAGCTCTGTAGAAATTTTACTTTGATGCAAAAGGTGATTTTCTCCGGCTTCTTTGAATCCTCTTTTAAATCCTTAACACTTACTGAGTGATTTGCACAAGAACATGCAATCTCTTTGTTTTCCTTCATCTATAAGAAAACTGAATCTATCCTTCTAAATACATCTAAAGCTGACACTTCCTTTTTTTTTTTTTTCTTCAGTATCCAGTACTCCAGGCATCTGGAATGCTTGCTCTTTGTAGATTTATGATTATTGATTCCAATTTTTGGTGATTTCTCTCTCTCTCTCTCTCTTTGTTTCTCTCTCTCACACACTCACACACCATGCTCGCGCGCATGAAAACATAATTGCAATTTTAAATATGCAAACCTGAAGCCTGCGTCCTTTCACACACCAACACCGGAGGTGGAAAAGGGTGCACACCTAACTTTAAAGTGTGTATTTTCAGTGATGCGAATCTCCAGCTTCTCTTTACAGTTGTGGAAAGTGCACCATCAGAAACTGTTCGCTCCAATTGCACTATTGCTCTTGGAGATTTGGCAGTTCGCTTTCCTAATCTGTTAGAACCATGGACTGAAAATATGTATGCGCGTTTACGAGATCCTTCAGTTTCTGTTAGAAAAAATGCTGTGCTAGTTCTTTCGCATCTCATCTTAAATGACATGATGAAGGTACAAAAAACTTCTAAATTCAATACATGTTCATAATCTTCTGTTATGACCATAAAAGATCTGATTCCCAATCATCCTGATTAGGTGAAAGGTTATGTAAATGAGATGGCTCTATGTTTGGAAGATGAAGATGAAAGAATATCAAATCTGGCTAAACTTTTCTTCCATGAGTTGTCGAAGAAAGGTTAGATATGATCCTCAGAAGGACGAACTGTAATAGAATTTCATCTCTTTGCAAAATGATATTGAATCTTTTCCTTCCCTCCTAAATTGTAAATGCAGGAAGCAATCCAGTGTATAATTTACTTCCAGATATACTTGGTAAGCTATCCTCCAAGAATCTGCAGAGGGAATCTTTCTGCAACGTTATGCAGTTCTTAATTGGTTCCATAAAGAAGGTACATATTGCTTCAATAAGTTGCTTCACATTTTCCCAGGGGTCAAAACATTGATGCAAGTATTATATTTCTTTGATCTTTTCAGGACAAACAAATGGAAGCTCTTGTTGAAAAGCTCTGCAATAGGTTTACTGGCGTTACTGGTATGCCTCCGGACTTAAATATCTTTTTTCTATATTGTTAGCTAAGCTGGCATCCTTTATGCTTTTAGTTCATACAACTGTGTGGCACAAACTGATGGAAACACTGGAGCCATTATTTTTGTATTGTTATTAATATATTTATTTAGTTTATTGATGCTGCGATTTTATTTGACACCAGTTGGTTACCTTTCTTTTATCATTCATCAGGGGCTTACAAAATATTAGCAGCTGCAATGATGCTTAATCACAAATTCTGAAATTTCACTGCTCGTTTTAGATATCTTGCTTATAGCTGTGGTGGAATAGTTGCTTGCTGTTCAATGCTCTTTTTTGCTTCCTTCTTCTTTTGTGTCAGAGAAGGAAGGATTAACTGAAAATTAATTGTTATAATTATGAGAGCAGGGACAATAATTCTCCTCAAAAAAAAAAAAATAAAAAAATAAAAAAATAAAAAAAAAAAAAAAACGTACGTTTCGCGACAGAGTCAACTGATATTGATCTGATAAGAAAGATCCCATAATCGGCCTAAACCTTTTCTCCCATTGAGTGGTCCTAGAAAGGATAAGAACGAGTGATAGATAATGATCCCTCCTCATGTGCAAGGGAACGCAATTACTATTCTTAGTTGAAGAACTATTTTTACTATAAATGGCTTCGGTGTGTGGCCCAAAATTATATTTGAAATCCCTTTTATCCCACCTTCCCTTACTAAATTGTAAATCCAGGCATAGTGCACACAAATCCACCCAAACATAGTGAAAAAGATATACATTCCAGTAACTTAAATTCAATTATACTTTGGTAAAGCTATCCTTTACAAGAATCATAGCGAGATGGGGAGTCTTTGCTGGCGACTTATTACTGAGCAGAATTTCCGATAAAAATCTCCGGTCTACCTATAAAAATAGTGTGAAATGAAAAATGGTGTAACTAAGTAATTGCTTTTTCCAGGAATAATGTGCCGTTCACATGCTCTTTCCCAGGGCGCTCAAACACATTTTGTTGCAAGTAATATTTCTCTACTCATTAAGTCGTGAACAGGAGATCACCTCACAATTTCGCGAATGCATCTTGTGGAAAAATCTTCCCGTCAACTAGGTATTTTCCTGGTCGGCACCTTCTCACACTTCCCACTCCTGTGGCCTGTGAAACAATAATATCGGTTTCTTCATATATCTACTACGTAAAGGCCCTTTGAGACGGATTCCTTATATTAATAGACTCATCTATCACACACACACTCTCTCACTCGTCATCGCTCGGAAATCTATTACACAACAAAACTTGTATAGAGAAAACACATTTGGATGTCTAACTTGATACTGTATTTTTTGTGTCGAATTACGTTATTATTAATAAAACATAGATTTATTTAGGTGTATTGATAGCTGCGATTTAATTTGACACCAGGTGTGGTTACCTTGTCTTGTTATCATTTCATCAGGGGCTTACAAATTTTAATATCTAGCAGCTATGTGCAATGATGCTATAACACTAAATTTCTGAAATTCCATGTTCGTTTATATATCTTATAGCTGTGGTGTTGAATAGTTGCTTTCTGTCAATGTTCCTTCTTCTTCTATGATTAATTGAAAATTAATTAGTTATAATTATTTGATGGAGCTAGGACAATATAATTTTCGTCCTCAAAAAAAACAAACAATAAAAAATCAAACAAAACATAAAAAAAAAAAAAAAATAAAAAAATAAAAAAAAAAAAAAAGCAAAAGCAAATTTAGGTCTTACGATAGTATTGAAGCTGTGTCTCAATATTCTTACTAGAAGAATGTTTACTTTAGGGAGAGAATAGAGGGTGAAAAATTTAAGAGGAATAAGGGCGAGAAAGTCTAGGGACAGAGTAGTTACTCTTGAAGAGAGTGAAGAGCAGGAAATTGTAGAGTGCGAAGAACTGGACATTATAGAGAGAATAGAAGACTCTTATTAATGATTATTAACCAAAGAATGTTTACAGCTCAGCTTATCGGTTAGTTGTTGGTTTAACTTGTCTTTTAAAAGGGTGAACAAGGAAATGCTTTTGTGTGTATGTATTTGGTTTCTTTTCTCCATATAATTTTCACATTTCCATAGGCACAGCAGTAATGCTCTTCAATCACGCTAGATATCAGTGAGACAACCCTTTGAAAGCACGTTGAAGTAGAAAAAAGAATGATTCTTAATCCATGTCTCCACATGAAAGGAAAGCTTTAATTACCTCTTGGTCTTATTAAAAATTGTCACAGATTAAGGGAAATACACCCACCGAGGAAGCACATTTTTACCCACCTAACTCTTGGGATTTTCTGCTGCTGGATTCTAGAAATTGCTATATCTAGAACTAATACTTGCTCTTATTTTCTCATAAATGGTTGAAAGAGGCTCCTTTATTTTCCATATTAAATCATCCTGCATTGTATTATTTAGGCAATGATAAATAACAAAATCCTTGGAAATTGTAAAATATAACATCTTCAAGTCAGATAAGTAGTTCCTTGATATTCAAAGAGCTGTGTGTCCATATGATCATAAGTTCATGACTTGCGTCCCATATCTGTCGTAACAAAGAAGCCAATATAATACTTGTTTTTTTTCCCCATTGTCTCTTTCCAACAGATGTTAAGCAATGGGAATATATCTCTTACTGCCTCTCTCAGTTGACTTTTACTGAAAAGGGCATGAGAAAACTCATAGACTCATTCAAGTCATATGAGCATGTCCTGTCCGAGGATTCAGTTATGGACCATTTCAGAAGCATAATCAACAAGGTAGTAAATTTCTATTTCTTAAGCATCTCCTTATTTATAAAGTCTAACGTTTAACGTTCATTTCTTGTTCACGTTAATCTTAAACAGGGTAAAAAGTTTGCAAAACCAGAGCTTAAATCGTGCATTGAGGAGTTTGAAGAGAAGCTCCATAAGTTCCATATGGAAAAGAAGGAGCAAGAAGTGACTGCAAGAAATGCTGAAATTCATAGACAGAAAGTTGAAAACGTAGAACGTGTTGTCAAAGCTAGAAATGAGGGTGAAGAGAGCGAAGAATCCAATATCACTGAAGGTTGGTGCAATTATCAAAATACTTTAGTACTAATTCCTTTAACTTTCCACTCTCTTCTTGAATTTCCTTGGCCGTTGCTGGGAAAAAACATGTTTCCCTTTTGTTTTATTTTATATATGCTAACAAATCAAGGATGAGCCAAACTTTCTACTAAACATCATATTGCATGCATAACTTTGTTCTTCCATAAGTTCTACAACAACTGAAAAAGAAACCAAGTGGCTTACACTTGAAAGAAGAATCAATATATTGAAGTTCTATAAGTTTCAGAACAAATATCAGGGCACCCGTCTAAGGTTTCACAGTTTCTTCTTGGACTGTGTGCTATTTGTGGTGGGATTGGCCCTGATGCAGAATGTACTTTACTTATGCAAACAGATTTGTTCAGGTTATTGTATTAATAATACGTTCCTAAGCTTGGTTTGGTTTACTTTTAAATCAGATGAAGACATTGATCCGTCCATGGAAGGGACTTCTCCGTCTTCGAATGAGGTATCAGATGCAAAATTTGATGATTCAGATGAATATTCAGGTGTTTCCAGTGAGGTAACAGAGGCAGAGGCAGATGGGACTGAAGTTCAGTCACCAAAAGTTACAATGAAAGGTAACAAACATTCTACTTCTGTTGTATGATTAAACTAAAAGTCCATCTACAGTTGCTACAACATATTATGATTTACAGGAGCCTCTAAATCTAGAGCAAGGAAAAACAACATGAAAGATCACAAGAGTGGTATTTCCACATCCACAAGAAAAAACATAAGATCAAACCAAAGGTAGGTTTCGACATTTGTGTCTGTAGCCGGTTAAAATAATCTCAAACAGAATTTTTAAGAAATGTATATTCAAGTGGTTCTGAAGCTGAAAAAAAAAAATAATAAAACCAAACTGGACAGAGCCGGTTCCCAGTTTAACTGGTTAGTTTTAAAGAACACTAGTTAAATGGGTCAGAAAATGTATGGCTAACTTTAAAGGTGATTATGCAGGTAGAAGAGTTAGCAAGTTGGTAGATCAAACCTTGTGTTGCTTTTCATAAATGGATCAGCATAAGAAGTCTCTCTTGTCGTTTTGTTGTTAAAGAAAGTATTAACATTTTGTAGTAATATGTATGTTTGCATATAATAGTTGCTTAAGTTTGATAAGTTTGATGTCTATGGAGGACCATACCAATTATATTTACTTAGAAGTGGGTATTTCTTATGGATAGAATTTTCTTATTTTTATTTTTCAAAATGGTCCAAGTAAAAATAAATAAATGAATGAATCATTCCACATTTCTTTATAAATAAAAGAATTTGTACGAAAAAAATTCTAATGGCAAGTGGAAACAATCAAGAGGTTAGTTGGCAGAGGGTCAGTGGCCAGCTACCTACTACAGGAACATCACCAGGCATTCTTGATAGAATGCGCAACGGTAACCAGCCTTCCAACAATTTGGCAAGTGTATAAATTTTAATTTTCAATTATTAAGGAGACTATTGCAGGACAGGATGCAGACAGCCAGCTACCCATCTGACAGCTCTTTCTCAGATAAAATGGACCATTCATACAACTCTGAATTTACAAAATTGGACATAAGTTGGTTATTGTCATCATCCAAATTATTGCTAGATTCTTTTTATCCTACTCTGTAATCCTTTTTTTTTATACGACAACTAAAATTGTTTATCCTTCCAATTAATATATTATTAATTAGTTGTATACGAACTGATTTTGGTACCAGTAAACTAAAAATATAGATATAGATTTTTTTTAACAAAAAGAAATCAAATTCACCTAATGAAATTTAACTTTGGTTGATGGTATTCTTTACTTGAATTGCCTATTGGCCTCTGAGCAAGATAAAAGAATAGGGTGTTTTTGGAAATTTCATCTGCCTAACGTACCAAACTCTTTTGAGTCTATCATTTTATCACTCTAATAAAGTACCTATATATTATATAGCATGAACGACTTGCTCTACTTACCCTCCAGGAGACTTTCACACTCACGCTCACTCTTTCTCTGTCTCTCTCTTTTTCTCTCTCTAGAAAATGCAGGGAGGGCATATGGCAGTTGAAGAGCCTGTTAGGCTCTCCTCAGTTCTATCTTCTTCAAAACCTGTAAGATGTTTCTCTCCGTTAAATGTGTATGCACCAAAGAGTTTTAATTATGTGTTTATACTTTATATTATATAATAATAAAAATATGTGTTTATGTGTCTATACATAAGGGTATTTATATAGAAAAATATATTTAAAAAATAATATTTTTTTTAATTTAATTAAAAGTACATCATCCATCTCAAGTAAGGAACTAAGTTTTGGCTTTCAACAATAATTGAAAAATAAAAAAACGTTTTTTGTTTTAGAAAAAAAAAAAGTGAATTTCCTAATAAGTAATATCTCCAATTATAAAAAATGGGAAAAATGAAAGCATATGATTTATGACACGTGGAGGCCTCTCCATCCATTAATCTTCGTAAAAACTCATATTTGGAAGTTTCAATCTCTGTCTCCTACATTCATGGTTCTGTTCCTGTTTTCTACTATATATATTAGCTTTCCGAATGCATCTTTTCACCTTGATTTATGGCTTTATACTTTTATTTGGATCTACATTTAGTCGGTTCGATTTGAATTTAGTGCAAATTGAATGTAATTTTTCAAAATAAAAATTGGACTTAATTAAGTATTATTCAGAATTAAACCGAATAAATTTGATTCAAATTAACTCTTTTTTTATATAAATTTCAATTTATTTTCTAAATTTAACGAAAATAATCAATTAACCTATTTTGGTTTGGTTGATTTGACCGAATTTTTACGGTGCCAGCTCTACGTTTATCTTCTCTTATCTTATCCTTCACATTTTTGCTCCACCCTCAACGACACTTTAGTCTCATTTTGAATCTTGACAAATGACAACCCTCCCAAAAAGTTTTTTCATTGGAAGGCTAAATGGATTTCGACGGAAGGCTACATAATAAGAGTAACTCTTACCTTTAACTTAATATTATATTAGTGAAAGGATACGAATTCCAAGCCTCCCACTTGGTTCATTACAACCTAAACTATTATTGCTTTTTAGCAAATATTCCTAATGAATAAGCCTCAAGATTATATTAGTGATGTATTCATTTGAAGGACCAAAATTAAAACTGAGAGTGCAAAAGTTTTATGTTTGAGTAAAATTTCAAAAATGATAAGGTATAAGCTTCATTCTTAATTAATTAACTCAATCATTGAAATTTGTTTGGAATAAATTCAAATGAAACTTTTTTTTTTTTTTTTTTTTTTTTAATGAATAAGCCTCAAATATCACTTAGTTGATGTATTCATTTGAAGACCCAAAAATCTAACAACTAGAGTTGCCAAAAAAGTTTTCATGTTTTGAGTAAAATTTCAAAAATGATTAAGGATAATAAGCTTCCATTCTTCAATTAATATAACTCAATCATTGAAATTTGTTTGGAATTAAATTCAAAATGAAACTTTTTTTTTTTTTTTTGTTTTTTTGAGAATTTCTTTTTATTAATGAAGATCAATAGGAAATTATTTGGAAAATATTTTTTTTTTTTTTTTTTTTTTTTGAGAATAATGAAGATCAGTAGGAAAAATTATTTGGAAATAAAATTTTCATGTTTGGATTAACATGTATTATAGAATTCATTTTAAATATGAACTTTACTAGCTTGTATCTAGTGCTTTTAGTTTAATGACTTGTGCCATTATTAAGTTTAGAGTTTATTTGTAAATTCTAACAATTGGTTCACGTATAACCAAATCCATGAATTTCAAGTGAAATTTTATAAAATTCATTTATACCAAACAAAATTAAAATTTCATATTTTCATAATTGATATAAAAAATGTTCATTTTACTCTTTTAAATTCAATGTCAAAGTTTAATAGACTAATTCAGATTCTATGAGCTATATACTTCTAATTCATTTATCGTATTGTATAATTGGTGATACTAATTTATTGATCAATAGAATTCAAGAAATATACTTATTTATATGTTGGAACTTGCAGAGCTATTTACCTTCACTAACAAAAATAGTTGGAACACTTGGACCTAATTCGCAGTCAGTAGAAACCATTGAGGCATGCCTTAATGCAGGAATGTCAGGTGCATTTTGCATTCTTTCTTTCATTTTGCCTTTCTTGAAATTTATGCTCATTTCTTTCTTTAATCTCTTATAAACTTGGCAGTTGCAAGGTTTGATTTTTCATGGTTGGATGTTGACTACCATCAACAAACTCTTCAAAATCTCAGGATAGCTATGAAAAATACTAAGAAATTATGTGCTGTAAGTGGAAAATGCATATATGAATGACTTCATAGACTTAGGTTCAAATCCTGGATTATTGAAGAAGAACCATTTTTGTGATAGATTGAAGTTTTCTGCAATGTTTTCTTCCACTTATGAATTTCAGGTTATGTTGGACACTGTTGGCCCTGAACTTCAAATCTGTAATCAGACTGGAAAACCAATCGAGCTGAAGGCTGATGACCGTTTGACTATAACTTCAGATATTTCTAAAGAACCATCTTCAAAGGTCTTACCTGTTGATTATTCTGGACTCTCTGGGGTAAGTGTTGAATGACATTTATTATCCTTTTTTTTTTTTTTGAATAAGTCTTCTACTTGAAAAGATCTTCTACTTTTGACATTAGTGCGGACTAAGTTATGAACAGAATGGAATGGAAAAAAAAAGGATTCATATAGCCGACCCCAACTAGTTTGGATTAAGTTTTAATGCTGTTGTTTTTGTTGTTGTAAGTTTTCTACTTGAATGCTAGCAATAAGGCTGGTATAAATTCCCATTTTCATTCTCAGCTTTTCAATTCTTTCCTGTGGCAGGGCTTTAATAATATATGTGCATTTTGGTCTTCAGAGCTGCAATGCACAATAGGAACTTCTTCGTCTCTCTTTACTTCGCTCAAAAAATGATTTTATTTTATATGCTTTATCTTTCCATGCCAGACAGGGCTCTTGCCAACTGCTATAGAAAATTTGTTGTCAAATAATACTTCAGTTGCTCTACATTGAGGCTGCTTCAGGTCATTCAGCATTTTCTTTAAAGCCAAATGGCTCGGTTCACAGTAGATGGAGTAATAATATATTGTGCTCCTACGTCTTGTTTCTGGGCTACTGTGTCTTGTTTCTTGGAACTCCAACTAATAACTCTTGCTCCAATGGAAAACATTGAAGAACTAGCCCAATAACTATCAGTGAACTCCAATAATTTCACTTCAGTTGATCTCCTATACCTATTCCATAATCTGCTACGATGATGCATTAAATTATCTTCTTAGCAGCTCTGAAATGAATTTCACTTCAAGCTTGCATGAATCTTGATAAAGCAATTCTAGCATCAGTATGCATAATGTCTGGCCTGGTAGTAAAAACAGAGAAGACAAATAGTCAAGCTTTTATAAACACAGGAACTCACCTTTTTATTTTCCATCTTTACTTAGTTTCTCTCCTTAAACTGAGGGATTGCAAACTAACTAGCAATTTTTTTTGTCTCTTGCATACTTTCCTGACATATAAACTGCCAATATAGCAGTTGCATAATTTCAATCCCCAAGAATTAAGACATCTTTCCAAGATCATTCATCTCAAATTCCTTCTTCATTTCGGCCTTGAATTGATTCACAAGCAAGGAGCTACTGCTTGTGACTTAAAGATCACCTACAAAGAGAGAAATATCAAGTAGCTCTCTTTCAACTTGCTTCACATAAAAAGTTGCTTTATTGCAGCTTCTTATTAGTCCCGACTTGAATGAATGCTCATCAATTCTGTTTTAACAGGCTCTAGGGCTCGTTTAAACCCCCATAAAGCTTTCTCCAGTAACTATACCTTCCCTTCATTACATTTCTCAACTTCATCACGTTGTTCAACATAAATCTCCTCTAGCAAGTAGCCATTTAAGAATGAAGTTTTCTCATCTAATTGAAACACATCCCAATCTCTTGATCAATAAAATCTAGGAGTACTCTAGTGGTGTCAAACCTTGTCACAGGTGCAAAGTTGTCTGTTAAGTCTATAACAGCTTGTTAAGAGTACCCTTTCATCTCCAATCTCGCTTTATATTTGTTAACAGAACCATCTAATTTTGTATTTTTTTCACTCTATGGAATTGCAGATTTTAAAGAAGGGTGACACTATTTTTCTAGGGCAGTATCTCTTAACAGGAAGTGAGAACACCTCAGTATGGCTTGAGGTGATCATTTTGTTTTTCAATCCTCTAGCTATTTGTTTCACTGCATGTAATTGATAGGCAAGTTCAATTGCTAATCCTTTTTTTTCCCCATGATCTTCAGGTTTTAGAGACAAATGGTCAAGATGTCATATGCCTCATAAAAAACACTGCTACTCTTACAGGCTTTATATTAATGCATGTTTCTCAAACACTGGCAAGCTTACCAACTTTAAGTGATAATGATAAGAAGGTACACTGGGTTGATTGTAAACTTCCTTTTCTTTTCCTTTTCCATTTCTGTTTTTGATTGTAATCTAGCTTTTTCTTTGAAGGAAGAGTTAGACAGATAGTTTTTCTTGTTTTTAATATGTTAATGACATAATGCTCGATCGACAAAGAGGATCTGAATCAATATATATGTGTGTGTGTTTTCTGTTTAACACTGTTTGTTGACATGATCATAGGTTATTTCAGGGTGGGGAACGCGCAACAATGTCGATTTCATATCTCTGTCCTATACTCGCAATGTAGAAGATCTACGAGAGGTCAGTTTAACTTTTATACATCAGCTTGTTGTTATTATTGTTATTAGTTATTACTGTTCTTCATTTGGACTGAAACATCGCAGCTTAGAGCTTTCCTTACAACACATAATCTCCAAGAAACTCAAGTATTTGCCAAAATTGAGACTGTGGAGGTGAGTTAAATTATGTTTCTCAGTTCATGCATTTGATTATATTACATGCTATTATGGTTCACTAAACTGAGATTTTTTCAATACAAGTTAAAGTTATGTTTGCACATTGCACCTGCAGGGTTTGAAGCATTTTGATGAGATCCTTCAGGAAGCAGATGGTATTATCCTCGGTCGTGGAAATTTAGGAATTGACCTTCCTCCAGAAAAGGTCAAGAATCTCTGATTAGTTCTTTTCATAATTTAAAATTCTAATCATTTATATAACAACAGAATCAATTCTTGTTTTGGTGGTGTACAAATAGGTTTTCTTATTTCAGAAGTCAGCTGTATATAAGTGCAACATGGAAGGGAAACCAGTGATAATATCTAGAGTAGTTGATAGTATGATTGCAAATCTAAGACCAACTCGCGCAGAAGCAACTGATGTTGCTAATGCTGTTCTTGATGGTATGCAAAATTTTAAAGCTTTAAATCGCTTTCTTGATTTCTTGCCATCTTAATTAATTTATATTATATTGTTTAATTAGGTGCTGATGGTATATTACTGGGCGCTGAGACGCTTCGGGGACTATATCCTGTCGAGACTATAAGGATTGTGGGGAGAATTTGTGCTGAGGTCAGTATATAAAAACTGTTCAGTTGCTGAATTTATAGTGCATGCGGTTTGGTAATATTAGTGGTTCATTTATACTAATTCCTTATTGTTTTTGGTTTGTGTAGGCCGAAATTGTATGCAATCATTCTGTTCATTTTAAGAGAATTAACAAACATGTTGGAGAACCCATGTCTCACGCCGAATCCGTTGCTTCATCTGCAGTAATATATCCTTTTCTCCCTGATATAGATATGTTCGATCTTTTGATGTGTCCGTGCAACCTAAGCTATGTACATTTTCTCTTCGAAGGTACGTGCTGCTATTAAGGTTAAGGCTGCACTGATTGTTGCTTTCACATCATCTGGAAGAGCAGCAAGGTCTGTTTTTCTATATTCTTCTGAAAACTGACCAAACATGACCTTACAGCTTTTGTATTCCGATATATACAGGAGCTAAGTATTAGGATTTGTTCGGCAATATTAGATGTTTTAGTAGCTGCAAAGCTAATTAAAAAGCTGTTGCCGAACATAGTCTTAGAATGTAAAATAACTTACAAGCTGATTCTTGAACTTTGATGCCTTTAATTTAGGTTGATTGCTAAGTATAGGCCACCAGTGCCTGTGTTTGCCGTTGTTATTCCTCGTCTTAGATCGAACTCATTGAAATGGACTTTCACTGGTTCAGCACAGGTAAATAATAGTAGTAATTAAAATTCATCTAAAGTCGTGTGAAATTTGTTTCTGATTTTTCATTGCAAGTTATCAAATTTTCTTATTTTCAGGCTCGCCATTTGCTTGGTGTTAGAGGAATTTACCCTATTTTGGCTAGTCCTAATGTGGTAAGCAAGCATCATGGCCTTTTCCCATGTTGTTGGATCATTAATTTAATTGTTTACATGTTTTTGGCTCTCCTAAATGTACAGGCAACTTCAGGTGCTTCAAGTGAAGAATCAGGATTGAAAATTGCACTTGATCATGGAAAATCTGTGGGATTGCTTAAGCCTAACGATCAAATTGTTGTTTTCCAAAAAATTGGGGACTCATCAGTAGTGAAGATAGTGGAGTTTTATGCCTAGGCCTAGCTTGTTTTCTGTCAACCCATTTGTCTCTGCCTGACGTTCTGCAACTTACTGTAAAAGGGATTCAGCAATTTGAGTCTTGAACCCTCTATTGAGATGATTATGTTAGGGATTATCAGCAAGCATAGAGATTTGGGAGAAGTTTTTATGCCTTTTTTTGGCACATTAAAGAATTTTTATGAGCGTGACAAATATCACAGATTCCAAAAACTGTGGTGTGTTGACGAATAAGAACAACATTAAGATTAGTAGCAAAAAAAAGAGTCTATAAATTTTTCAGTCATTACTTAATATTTAAGTAGTAATTTGTCACTTAAAAATTACTCAAATTTAACTGTCTCTCATTTTTATCACTCAAAACAGTTCCAATCGGTGGAATTGGTGAAAATGATAACAAGAAACCTGTAATAATTAAAAAGAACAAAAAAACATTGTAAAAAAGGAAGAGCAGAAAGAACTTGTTTCTTAACAGTTGCGAGTGTTGTATAAGTACAACGAAGATTGGAGTAACATCACAATTCTGACTAAGATGTTAGCCATTGCCTAATACAGTAATAACACGGTATATAAACCAACTGTTTGATGCTTTGGTGGTAAGTGATCTGATTAAAAAAACCAATTCCAAAACCATTAAGTAATTCTTGCAGGTGCAAAACCATTGTTCAGCTTCCATCCTTGCCACCATATACTCCCTCAAAAAGGTGAAGATCATTGCCTGATAATGAAAGGCAAGCAAGAAGACAACAATTTTGCTATATTCAGGTCATATTTCTTCATCCTCGAAAGGATCTCTTTCTGGATAGTCACCAACCTGGAAAATAACCATCATAATTTAGATCCATAAAGAAAACATTACAATGTCTAGCCCAAAAATAAAAACTACAAACAGAGACCATTGAGATGGATCAGAACTCTTCACGTGTCTACATTCAAGCTTGTTAATTTAAAGGACATGGAAAATCATTTACATTTTCCGCATCCATTTCAAGAATATGCTTATAGAAGGCAGAAGCGGAGCTAGCTACCTTAGGAATATCGACATCCAAAAGGATTGAGAATGAGGGCTTAATTTTTGTTTCTCAAGGTTGATGTTTTATTTTATCAGTATTAACTGATACATAATCTAAATCTCCTGTTTTATGCCCAGAGGCATTAATGATGAGAGTATTATTGGCCAAGGCCAATCTGCATCATTACACGCTTAAGTATACAGGAGGGTCCTATGTCCCACTTTGTTGCAGCCTTCAGCAGTTCAACCTAATGGTCCATATATTTCTAACGTTGGAATTTGGATTCTGAAATACGTAAAAAATTATTCCATATGAATCATTATAGCAGATAGTAAACTGCTCGAAATTTCTGTTCACTATTAACTCATGAGTTCCAACACTTGAGCAGTATGAGAACAGTTCTACAAACCTTTACTTTGTCAGGCCTAACCATGGCACCATGAAGTGGAGGACAATCAAAGTAGCGTATTCCTTTCACCCTAAAGTAAGACCAGGAAACAAATAAAGAAAACACAAAACAGAATGATCTATGCAATGAAACAACGAAAGAAAAAAACCTGTTCAAGTTGTTACATTGTTAAACCTAAAATTAAATATCATTACATGTTGCAAATTAAATTTTAAATGTTATCAATTTTCTTGAAACTTTTGCCAAACAAATCTCATTCATTTCCAATTTTAATCATTTTCTGAAACAGATCCTTACCATATTAATCTGCATACCTGAAATCAGATTTTTATCAAATAGATAATTTACCAAGTTAAAGCTTAAAAACTGTCAGCCTGAAAACCCTAAAAATTGTTTCAATAATAAGTTCACATATGATCAACAAACAACATTTATATATAAAAGGCCTTACTGCAGACATTTAAACTAAAACAATAGATCTACAGAAAAGTTTAAATAATGGGAGAAATTAATGTACACACATGCCATCATGTTTCCCCAGTGGCTCATCATATTGAACTCCAACCCAAAAGCCAGGTGCAAGAGATTCAGCTCGACCGACAAATTTGACAACTCCTCTTTTTTCCCCAGGTTCAACTTCACATCTGTCTCCCACCTATTTATTCAAGAATCAGGCGAATGGGAATGTAAAAACAAAGTTGTGGCAAATTTAGGTGCACAAGAGGAAAAACTAATGGATATTTGATACAAGAAAGAAAAGAAATGAATGTAACAGAAAATTGATATTCATTCTTTGCATTTGAAGGTATAAAATTTAAGTCCAAAAACTTGAAAACTTAACCATAGTGCAATGCAAAAAATTCACCAGCATGCCCATTCCTCACCCCATTATGGCCTAATCCATGATGCTACCATACAGATATAGAGACAGATAACTTCATGGCAACTATCTTTACAAATGCTAATGCTCCAAACTCCAAAGAACACAATCTGAAAGATTTTGGAACCACAGTTTTGACATACTTCCTACAAGACTTTCAACAATGATGCCATTGCCCTTTAGTGATGCAGCTGATAGAGTAAACTGTAAATGACTTGAATAACTTCACAAATTTAAACACATGTAGAGAAGCTTTTACAATATTCTTGTAACACATCAATTTATATTAACTTCAAAATGAGTATGATGCTTGAATCTGTTGCAAACAAAACATTGAGAATGTAGTTTCAACTATATGGGCAGGAAATAATGCAATAGATTAGAGGAGATGGCTTAACTTAAGAATAAATTACTGAATCATTTTTTGAGGTTGTTTTCAAGATCTGCATGTCATGAATCATGTAATTGAAATGCAGATCTCTTTGACATGTTAAGAACCTCAAGTTAAGATCTATTGTCATTGATTGGTATACATATGGCTTCCATGCTTAAACAGTTCCCAGAACTATAAAGAACAAGAAAATAAATAAAGAGAATTGCAAACCTTGATATTTGCACACAGGTCTTCCATGTAGCTGTCAGTTACCTAAAATGAAAGATGAGTAAACTAAAAATGAGTACAGCTGAGGGATTGTGCCCCACGTTATGGCATTCCTACTTACTTCATTATTGAATTAAATGGGACGAACAAAAAAGTAGTTCACCCCCTCAAAGCAAGGAAAACTTGAATTACAGGATCCTACCTTAGGCTCAAAGGCTGATGGATTTTGAGAGACTATTTTTTCTTTGAATTTTCTGAAAGTGCCTGTAAAACACAAAGAAGTAATAAACCTCTAGGCAAGTTAAACCTAGAATGTGGTTTCCAATAATTATTCAGAACTTTCTTAAAATGAAGCATGTCATAATAAAAGTGAGTAAATTCTTGAATATTGAAATCATGAGATGAACATAGTGAAAAAGATACAAGCATAGAGTTGAGATAAAATTGCCAACTGCCAAGCATAAAAGAAACACAGTGATCAAACTCGATCCAAGTATAAAAAACCAGCCATACGATTAGAAGCTAGAAAGCACCAATACTTCACATACACATATTTATATCTGTGTCAGACACTTCTCCAACACTTTTGCTACATGACACGAGACGCTTCCATGGCTTATCTCATATGCTATTTTTTTTTTCTTTTTGAAAGAATAGCCATGTCAGTGAGTTCATACGTGTCAGTGATGTGCCTCATATCCGTTTCCATGCTTCATAGATTAGTAGTGAACTACTTAAAACCAGTCAAGGTAGTATGCTGCACTTAAACTCAAATTTTTGTAATAGCACAAATAGACTTTGCCCCTCAAAATACAGTATGATTAAAATCTCACCACCAAGTTTCTCATAGGCCTCTTCTGAAATAGTGTATTTCTCCACCAATGAAGTGTCTTCTAACCACCCTCCTGAGGTTATCGATGAAGGATCAAGATCTATCACATGTAGCCGATACCTTTTATCCCCAAAAACAAAAAAATCAATTCAATAAACCAAGAAAACGCATGTATACCTAAATTAAGATTAGAACCATGAACAGTTATAAACCATTGAAAAAAAAAAGAAACCATAAATAAAAAAATAATATGAGAGAGATGAACCCATCAAGAGGAGAATAAAAACCAAGGGGCCTGAAATCATCGGTTAAATCAGAAATTTTGGAGTTAGTGTCATCATAGAGCTCCAAAGACATTGAATTAACTGCTGTACCACATTTCTTCCACAGCTTCTCTTTCACAGATTCCACAGTAGACTAAAGTTTTGACAGAAAAGAAAATTAAATTGACAGCAAAAAGAAAAAAAATAAAATAAAACACTCATAAAGTAGCAATATTGGAAAAACCTGAAGGGAGAATCGAACACTGGCACAGCTTCTCTTTCACAGATTCCACAGTAGACTAAAGTTTTGACAGAAAAGAAAATTAAATTGACAGCAAAAAGAAAAAAAATAAAATAAAACACTCATAAAGTAGCAATATTGGAAAAACCTGAAGGGAGAATCGAACACTGGCAGAGAAGGTCTTGAGGTTAGAGTGAGTAACACGCAAAAGAACTGAGTCATCACCCTCTATCTGTAGCTTTGCCATTTCTTCTTTTCAAAATTTTCTTTCTTCTTCAATTGTGTATTTAATTCTCAAGTTTTCTCATGCTCTGCAAATCAAATTTCTCAAATTAGATCAAAATCTGGTCACCATTTTATAGCATTGCACCTCAAAGCAATTGTTTTTAGCGGTAACTAAACTAAATTTGACAAAATGGATTGATCTTAAACTAGGGTTCGATTTGGGGGAAGGACTAAAGCTTAAGTTGATGGTGTACTAGTGATCCGAAACCATGAAACCAATGCCATTAGATCAACAAGAGCATACTCCGTATATAATTACACAGACTCGGAGATAAATAGAGTACCTTAGCATTGCCGCCGAGAAAGGAGTTTTCCGGCCGGTGCTTTAACTTCAATAAGAATCGGCGGCAACTGAAGACTGAGAGTGAGAAAGTAAACAAAGGAACAGAATCCAGTAAAAATGGAAACTTGTCTCTTTTCAAGAAAATTCTGACCCACTAAGAAACACGGGCTGGGCTTTGCTGCGACGAGGATGCCATTTTTAATCGGCCGACGCCAACACCTGCAACAGAGTATTGCCTAATTTAAATTTTTTTTTTCAAACATAATTTAAATTTTCTTCTCAGAGAAAAGTAATAATGATTTAAAAGTTAATATAAAATTTTATAAAATAAAAATTAACTTGAAAGTATTAAGAATTTAATATAAGAAAATTACTAATTAGTCTCTGATTTTAGGTTTTAATTACTATTCCGTCCTCCTATTTTGTGATATTTTGAGCCCATTTTATATTGTTTTTCAAAACTCTAAATTTAATTTTATTTTTTGGATATAATTGCAATAAGTTGATAAGTTTCATGTGTTTAAAGTTAATTTTTGAGTGCATTTACATCTTAATTAATTTTTAAAGTGCAATTGAATCATTTGAATAGGAAAATTACCACTGCTCAAAAAACTTTAGTGAAATTTATGATTAAGCCGAAAAAAAAATTACATGTACTTGAAAATTTGGAATTAAGATTAGAAACAATAGAAAATAAGAAAACATATGAAAATAAAATAAACGTGAAGAAAATAGATAGTATTAATTAATTAATTTTGTGATAGAAACGTGTATTTTGAATTGTATTTAATTATAATATTTTTATTATTTTATAATTATGACACGATATTTTAAAAGAAAATCAATTATTACAAAATCATTATCATCTCCGTCAATTAAACTATTCAAAATATCCAACTAACAGCATCTAAATAAGTCATAATTGAAAAACTTGAGCTTTATATAAAAAAAATATTCCTTTTAATCTAAAACATACAACCTAATGTAATGAACTATTGTTCATCTAACGATAAAAATTCGGTATGCATAGCTAGCTTACTAAAACATCTATGACTGCTTGGTAGTTTATATTAAAAAAAATGTATTTGCAAGTATTTAAATAGATTTCAATCAATAACAAATAGACAACTATTATTATAACTTAATTTTAATAATTTATTTATTTTATAAGAAATTCTCATCACTATATATTTATGTATATTATTTTTATAAATTATATATTTTAATTGGATCCATTAATGAATGTTATGATTACATCACTGCTTTACTGAATACCGCCGCCAACCTGAATGTTTAGAAATAGACACTTACCAAAGTGCCACTAGATATTTCAGCTACAATAAATAAACTTCAAGAAAATATTACAACTATTGAGTTGCTGCTGCTTAGCTAGCGTAAGGCAGAAGTGCCGCAATATTTCTTGAAGTTAGAGTAGAAAAAAATAATTGCCTATGCTTAAAAAATTAATATGGCCTCAGTAGCAACTGACTATCATTAATGGCAATTATTTATTTGTCTTCTCTTTTTTTTTTTTTTTGAAAAAAAAAATTTCTCATTATATGGCAATTATTTATTTTTCATTCTCTTTTTTTTTTTTGTTGAAAAAAAATGACTTTTTTTTTTTTTTTTGAAAAAAAAAATGACAATACACCTGATTATAGACAGAGCACATTTGTTTAACAAAACGATAGAAATTTTATAAAGAACTATTTATTTGTTTAGACAGTAATATATTATTTAATGGATATATTTTTTTTAAATTTTGTTCTTAAGGCTCCGTTTGAGTAAAATGATTTTCAGAAAAATATTTTTTACAATTTTTCATTATTTGGTGTGTTCAGAAAAATAAAATCAATAAAAAATATATTTTTGGTTAAAAGAAAATTAAGTCATTTTTTTAAAAAATAACTTCCCATTTTCGAGATAATAAAACATTTTCCACATACTGACAAACATTATAAATTTATATTTTTTTTATTTTATTAATCATAATAGTTACTGTTATCGGTCAGCATTTATCACTGAATACTAACGGCTGTCACCAAGGGCGGCCGCCACCACCACCGGCTGGCCAAGCTACTTTATTTTGTTTGGTTCTCGAGGTCTCAATTTTACTGCTAGCTAGGCCAAATGTCATTGGTCAATATAAATTTTCTTATCCATTTCCAATCAATGGAAGAAAATATATTTCTTCCTCCTCAATCTCTTTCCCCATTTACATTTTCCTTTTTTTTTTTTTTTTTTAAAAAAAAAACTTTTTTTTTTTTTTTGTTAAAAAAACAAACAAAATTAAGAGCCACACCGTATGAAACAGGAAAGGTCAACAACGTTACGAGCTAATCAAGGAAGAATACCATCCAAGAATGATCAAAGACATGGAGACCCATTTATATTTTCTACTCACTCTTTTCTTGGCCTAATGCATAAATTTATTCTCAAAGTTTGTGCGATTTGCCTTGTAATCTTACCGGCAACGACGGAACCATGGGTGCCCAGCAAGGGCCATGACCCCCGGCTCAAAAGATTTATTCTATATATTTGAGAAAATGATTAATATGTAGTGTAGCTTGGTGGAAAATTTGTTGAGTGTTGTACCTTATGATTAAGGCTCATATCTTGATTAAAGCGCAATTTTTGGTTTTGTTTTCTTTTTAATATTTTCATTATTTTTTTTTAAATTTACAATAACTAAAACATAAAACCAAATACTCATAAAATAATTATTCTATAATTCAAATTAGTCATTTACTTGTTTGTTTATTTAATCAAATAATAAAAAAAAAATTCTCAAAATTATATTTTAATATAAATGTTTATACAAATACCAAAATTAAAATAAGCGATTTTAAAGTATGATGATTAAAAACTTATGTCTATATAGTTTCCATTTGTTGTTGCTATACGAATAAAAATTGACATATTATATATTATTTAAATAAGTTAAAGTCTATTTTTAACATTTGAATTTATTTAGTTTGTTATTATTGTTTGGACTAATATATATTGATTGAACTTTTCATTACTCATCAGTTATATTTAGAATTTGAGATCAAATTAAAAGTCTCATTTAATTCAATGATTTGACTTTTGACTATAGTAAGTCCAATTTGTAAAAAATTTACTGGAGTTGTTTTTTTTGCATAAAACAATTGTAAATGATTTATTAATTAAGGAAATCTTTAAGTTTTATTTCCTTAGAAATGCATTTAAGAATAAACATTAATTAAATGATTAAAGCATATTATTTATTCTTTTATGATATTTTTCATTATGTTAGTTTTACGTCTCACTGTATACATTTGCCCCCTCTAAGTTTAAATCTTAGGTCCACCACTGCTTACGAAATCTACCATGACCACACATTTTCACATTTCAATAATAATCATGTCTTGGCCAAAGTAAAATGTAAAATTATAGGGTCATTATCAAATACTTGCAAAGTTATCATTTTGGCAAGAGATATAGTTATTATTAAAGTGTGGAATTCCTGCAAAGTTACCATTTTAACAAGAGGCATGGTTATTATTGAAATATAAAAGTTTAGAATTATGATAGATCTTCGCAAATTTGAAGGTGGTACACGAAAAATTGAAAAAAATTGAGGGCAAATCAATGCTTTTTTTTTTTTTTTTTACTTTTTTTTTTTTTTTTTTTTTTACTGGTCTTTTTTTCCCAAATAGAAAATGTTAATCAACTGAAGTGGTCACCTATTCCTTAGCATGCATACAAGAACTTTAGACAGGGTCATTGTATTCTACCTGGACATACATAGACACTTAGACAGGGTCATTGTATTCTTACCTGGATTTTTTTTCCCAAATAGAAAATGTTAATCCAACCTCAAGTTGGTCGCCTGCTCCTTAGCTTACATACATAGACACTTAGACAGGGTCATTGTTGGACAGGAAATAAAAAAAAAAAAAAAATGAGTTCTACTTTTTTTTCAATAATATCCATTTATAAAGAAAGATATTTCCCAGAAAACAATTTGAAACTCAATCATATGTATTATTTTTTTTTAGTAGACCCAAGAGCTGCAATTTCTTTCGAGCTGCAGAGAATAAAGATTTTTTCGCTCTCTTAGTAAATTTCTTTCGAGCTGCAGAGAATAAAAATTTTTTCGCTCTCTCTTAGTAAATCCGCTTTTGTTGATTAAATTTATATTCTCAATTTTATTAAGATTAACGTCGCTTACTATTCCAATTAACTTATTTCTTAATATTAAAAAATAGTTGATAAAACTGATGAAATATTAGGGAACATAATCATATATACAACGTATAAAATGTAGCCATGCTTGATTTAGCAACGACTCAAAAGTACGGCTACTGCAATGTCTTAAATAGAGTAGAAATTAATAATTGCTAATGGTTAAAAGAAACCAATCACCACTTCTACTTTTTTTTTTTGGGTAAATGGGAGAGCTAAAACTCAAAGACCCAGAGTACGAAATACCAGAGACATCATGAATCAACCAAGGGACTAACTCTACAGGGCGATCATGCAGAACATGCATGCCAAGAGGACAGTTAGCTGCAAGCTTCGACAAATAATCCGCAGATAAATTTGTTTCCCTATACATGTGTTTCACCTTGTGGATCCAACCACCATTGAGGATCTCTTTGATGGCCAACACTAGCCAGTAAATAGCACTTGAAGGAGAGACCTTTCCTAAAATAAGATCACATTCTACAATAATATTACCATTTTTTTATTAGCATATATGATTCAATCCTATATAAAATCCTTTTGATAATGGAAACTAGTAGAATTAGGAGTCATCAGCTATGGATATATGGATATATTTCGATTAATAATAAAAATAATTTTATATGATTTTTACATCAGGTTAAAACTTCGTAACCGCAAACCGACCAGCATATAATATTTGCAGTTATTTTTGTCCGAAAACTGCATGGAAGAAAGGAATAGAAACATGGCCCTTCCTCTCCGGTCCAAACTTTCCGCAAGCTGATTTCTGTCCAAGATTTACATTTATTAACGGTACGATTCAATTCAATATGAGTTTTCTTGTTCCTGCTTTTACCCCTTTTCCTTTTCCCAGTTGTACAGAAAAGAACAAAAGCATCAATAAATGAATTGTCCAGATTTAATATTAGGTTCGAATGCGGTATGATACTAGGATGAATTGTTCACCTAACTAATAAATGAAGGAGAATGAACGCTCATTATTGCATCAATCCCAAGTCTCTGCTCACTGTACGTAGTATTGCTCAGACACACGGGAAAATAACAGGAGCGATGTAAAAAAAATACAAAA